ATAAGATTAATAAAGTTATTTAAATATTTATATTAATTCCTTTTATTAAAATTAATAATATAAAAGTAATTAAAGTAAGAAATAAACTTTTATTATAAAAAGAAATTATTTAATAATAACTATTTAAATTATAATATATTAAGATTATTATTAATTATAAAAAAAATATAAGGAAAATAATATCTTTAATATAAATTAATTTAATAACTTAATTTTAAATATTTAATATATAATAATATATAAACTTTTATATAACTTAAAATTAATAAAGTAAAACTTTAATTATATAAGCTTTTAGCTTAAATATTATATTATAAAATATTTTAAAGCTAATAAAAAATACTTACCTTAATATATATAAGGATTTTTCTTATTTATTTATTTTAATAATAAATATAAATAAAACTTAAAATGCATTAATTAATTTTAAAAAATTAAAATAATAATTAAATTTATTTAAGAATAATTTAAAAGGTTTATAAATAAGCTAATTAAATAATTAAATGCAAAATATAAGATTTAAAAGTAAAAGCTTTATAAAAAGTTAAAATAAAAGTTAATAAAGTTAATATATTATATTTAATATAATAATTAAAAAAAAGAATAAATTTACTTTTTATTTTATAAAGAAATTTAAATTTTTAATAGCTATATTAATATTAATTATTAAATTAAACTTTAATAATTAAGAAAATATAATTAATAAATATATTATTAAGTAAGTTTTAAGAATATTTAAAGCCTTTATAAAGAAATAAAAGTTATAATAAAATAAGTAAGTAAGGAATTAAAAATAGTAATAATAATTAAGATTATAATAAGGTAAATTTTAAAACTTAAAGGCTTAATTAAAAATAATAAGATTTTATTTTAATAATTTTTATAATACTTATTATAAAGTATTTAAAAAAAAGTATATTAATAAATATAAGGAAATATATAAAAAATAATATTATATTAAATTTTAATTAGTTATAAAAAGTTAGCTTTTATGCTTATTTTAAATATTTTTAAAGAAATTAACTTTTTTTTTTCTTATATATTTAATGCTTTAATTAAGCTTTTCTTATTTTTAAGAATTTTTAAAATATTTACTTTTTCCCTTTTTTAGCTTCCTTTTATTTTTATCTTTTTTTTTTATTACGTTAAAGCTCTTCCTTAAGTTATCCTTAAAAGGGTTTAGCAAAACCTATTTCTTATTTATTTAAGTAGCTTATTTTTAATATTTATATAAAGAATTATATATTAATATATATTAACTTAGTTAAATTAAAAAATATATATTTATTTAATATATTATTAAGTAAAATGCTTAAAATTATTTCTTATAATATTTTAATATAAAAATATAATTAATTGCTTATTAATATTATATAATATTAAATCTATTAATAAGTATTAAGCTTAATACTTTATAAACTTATACTTTAATTTTAAAATTATATTTAATTATCTTTATAATTATTAAAAGGCTTTTTATAAAAATTTAAAAATTATTATAAATTAATTTAAATTACTTTATAATATAATAATTAAATATTAAATTAATTTAACTTAATAATAAAAAATAAATAATTATTATTAAATATATTAATATAAATAAATTATAAATTTTATTATTTATAATTATTTAAAGTATTTATTACTTTATTAATTAAGTAATAAAGTTAAGTTTTATAAATAATTAAATTATTAAGCTTATTCTTAATAAATAAATAAATAAATAAATAAATAAATAAATAAATAAATAAATAAATAAAAATAATAAATATAAATAATTAAATAATAATTAAATAATTAAATAATTAAATAATTAAATAATTAAATAATTAAATAATTAAATAATTAAATAATTAAATAATTAAATAATTAAATAATTAAATAATTAAATAATTAAATAATTAAATAATTAAATAATTAAATAATTAAATAATTAAATAATTAAATAATTAAATAATTAATTAAATAATAAAAATAATTAAATAATTAAATAATTAAATAATTAAATAATTAAATAATAAATTATAAATATATTATATATTTATATATTTAATTAATTTATATTATTTTATTTTAACCTTATTTATTATTTTATTTTAAAGTTTATTTCTTTTATTTATTTCTTATAAATAATATCCTTTTTATTAATATATTATTATATATATCTTTAATTTTCTTTTTATTTCTTTTTAAATCTTTTTATTTCTTTTTCTTTCTTTTTATATAAATATATATATAAAATATATATAATATATAAATATAAATATAAGCTATATATATATATATAAATATAAATATAAATATAATTATAACTTTAATTATAATATAAATATACCCTTTATTTTTATAAATGCAAATCTTTATTTTTAATATTTAAGCTTTAAGTTTCTTTTAATAATTTTTCTTACTTAATAATATTACTTTACTTATGTTATGGGCTGGCCTTAAAGGGGCTGCAGGCTGGCTAGCGCCTTCTTCCATAAGCTGCAAAGCAGCAACCTTTTAACTAAGCCAAAAGGTACGTAATAATCCAAGCTCCCTTGGATTACCTAGCCAGCCACTATAAGGCTTGGGCTTCCAGCCCAAGCCCATTACAACTTAATTAATTAATATTTAAGCTTTAAGTTCCCTTTAATAATATATATATATTAATTTTTCTATTTATAAATTATTTTAAATAAATAACATAAGCAGGATCTTAATTAATTAGCTTTTAAGTTTCGCAAACTCCCATTTACTGTGCATTATCGCGCCGAGGTACTTAAAGATGGGACCCAGAAAGTGCAGGTACCTTCGCCCAGGCCGCCCGCACGAGCCACCCGTGGGTAGATCCTTAGCAGCATTTGCAGGCAGCAATATAATATCATAGAAACAATACATTACCACAACCACCTGGAAACGGCGCCAGTGGTTTAGCGGTAAAATCCATCGTTGCCATCGATGGGCCCCCGGTTCGACTCCGGGCTGGCGCATAGCTTTTGCTCTTCTGTGGTTCATGGGCGGATCGCTGTGGATCTTCTCTTTTTGGATGGCTGCGAGCCTGGCGGGGCTGACTCGCTCATCTTGGATCCACCCTACTGCCTTCTGGGACTGCGCTGGAGGACTGTATAAAGGTAAACTTGTTAGGTTCCATATGGGGTTGGGTTTGAGGAATTCCTTGTCTAAAGATTATGCTGGAAAGTCAGTGCGATCTCGTAAGCTTGTTGCTATCCCACGCCCTCTTGCTTCCTGTGCGGTCGACAGCATGGGGACTTACTGTAGTAGAACACCACGATTCTGCCGAGTTGTAGAGTGAGGTGATATAGTAAGCGTTTGGGGATATTTAGGAAGCTCAATCGTCCTAACCTTATTACCTCATTGTCCCGGGCTGAATCGTTGCGCTCAGCTTTGCCAATGGGCGATCTTCGTGTGATAACGATCAATGATCATCAGTGTACAATTCATTGTCTTTTCGTCATTTGCTATCTTGGTAGGGCCTGGCTCAATATCTTCTCAATTTGATTGTCTCTCCCCTTTGACCTTGACGCATCCTGATCTGGCGAACATACTTGTTGGTTCAACATTCCAAGCTCGGCGGCTGGCGCGGTCTTTTAAGATATACCGTCTTCACTGTCTCTCGCACTCCTAAGCTGAACATTCTAAGGGACTACAGATCTACAGGACACCCTGCCATCGTGTAGTTGGAAGCGCCTATCTTTACAAATCTCTGTGTAGAGTTGTTGTGCCCGGACCTTTTAGACTAGGGTGGTTCCGATGGCCACGATCTAATACATCTCAGCCATCCCCTACGGTTGTTAGGAGGGAAAGTCGACTACGTAGATTCCAGGTTGTGGCACCAAGTACACCATCAGTTGTTGGCATTCCGCAATGATTGGGAGAGAGATGTGGTTAAACCTTGCAATTGAAAATGGGATGCAGGCTGTTGAAGACGATACACTGGCCCGACGAAACAATTCATGAACAGCGAATGGTGGCTCAGGCGGGAAGTGTTGGCAACAAAACAAGGAAACAACGTCAGTTCAACAAATGTCTTCTACATGTACTCTTGGGAAATACGTACCACTCACGATACTCTTTGGCCACAGTGCGCGGTTAGAACCCGCCACAACCGGAGATATCTGAAATAATTGACGGGCAACAAGTTGGCAGAAGGTCACACACCGGAGTGGATCTCCGCAACCACCAACTTGCCTTCAAATCCTTGCAGTTGTCAGCTAGCTGTAAGGTACTCCAAATCTCGTTTCGAATTACCCCACGTCCATCCACTACCAAGCAAACACGCGATGGTTCTCTTTGCCTCACGTGCTTCATTATTTTCAAGGCCTGAATGGTTCAACATATGCCCATGGCTGAATTTGGAGTGACTCAGCCGAGCGACTTTTGTTCAGCCATGGCATAAGTGACTGCATGAAGACAAGCCGTTGTGTTCATATTTCCTCCATGTGTTCGTGTAGTCCGCTGGGCTGCCAACGGGGAAGCAAAGCCTCCATTCCGGGTGGAGTCGCAAGAAGTCATAGCCGGATCTCCACCTCAGCAACACCAACAGTCTCCGGGTGTGGAGCCCCGCGGTATAGTGCGATGCCTGGTCTTTCTGTCCTTGTCTCTTGGACGCACGACGGATGCTCTAGCCAACAACAGCGATGGGGGTGCGGGACACATCCATCTGATCCAGGTAAGTGGTTGGCTGCTCTCCACGCGAGCCTGGAGAACGAGCACCGTTTCCACTTCCAAAGTGGATGAGCAAAGTGCGGCTCTTGGGTCACGATGGGCCCGTACGAATTTGTGCTATCCACTCGAAATCCTTCGGCTTAATCAGAGGCAAGTGCAAATCACAAAATTCCATTTACATGTCAGTGGGCAAACCTGGTGTGCGGAGAATTTCACGAGTGCAACCGTTGTGTCTGGGTTTACATACAACAATGCAAAGAGGAAATTGCTGCGCAGTAATCTCTCGTTCGCACTTTCATTCCGAGAACGGCGCACAAGTTCTCGAGCACGCCATGTCAACGTACAGCCAGCTTGTAGAGCACATGCTCGCACAGTATTGCCCAGTGCGTGTTCCAGCCTCTGCCAGCCCTCATCACCGAGCACGGAACCCCGCGCGGCGGAACGTCCTCGGCCTGGACAGACCCACCGACAACGCAATGCTGTGGCTCGCGACGCTGGTTGTCAAGGGGGCTGACCAGGATATGTTCGGGCGGGCCAAGATGTCGGCGTGGGTGGATAGCATCAGCGACTCCGTGAAGTCCGTAGGGTCCGATATCGAGTGGCAGCGTCTTGACAGTGGTGAACACTCGCAGGATCCGCTGGGTAGTTGCGGCCGGGGGGGTGTTATCTCGAGCTCGCCTCGAGTTATATAGATAGATGCCGCAGTGACGGAGCTCGCCAGCGATCGATACCCAATTCTACCGTATGACATTTTCGCTTGGTATTTTTAGCCCTATTTGATTTCGGAGACGGTGTCATAATAGATGTGCGGTAATTCATTGCTGAATCTGCATATGCTCAAGAACGATGTCTTCAGCCAGGGCTGACAAGGAGGAGGTTGTTAAGATCGGTCACCAACCGGCTCCCTCTTACTTACCGGAACATTTTACATACATTTCAGATTCCCCTCTTTCCCCCCGACCACGGAGCGCGATCAAATATCTTCGGAGGGGAGTGAAGCCATTCCAATGGCTGCTTACCTGTTCAAAAGGAAATTTCCCTGTCAAGCAGTCTGATTCTACGGAGGCTTCCCCCATCCCCGTTCAGGGCGCACAATTCACGGGATTATTGGCAGGTTTTCAACCCGTAGCCCTAATATTTCGAACAATCAGGACGCTCGTCTATTTTGACCACGACGCATCTCGCACTCGCTTGTTTTCCCATTTCCCATTAAACCCGGAACAGTATTACCGTGTTATCACATGCACCGGCAATAACTCACGCAGGGCTCGTCAGACCCTTGCATCGACGCGCCGGGATCATGGGTTGATCAGCGCGTCCCTCGGCGACGGCACAGCTTGCCATCACGACTTGAAGGATCACGGCCACAACCCGTGGTCCCTGCAAGCCTTGCGATCTCGCTGGCCTTATTCGAGGGAGCCGCATAACGTCCCCACGTATCACCTTGCATAGGCGGATAGGGTCGAGTCGGGGGCGGAGCGAGCACTCACCCGCTGTGTTGGCTGGCTGGCTGGTCGTCGGCTGCCGCGCCTGGCGGGTAACCTCACCACATCATCGAATCTCGACAGGGGCGAGGGGACTTCTGGGGGTATTCCTGGGAATTGCATGCATCACATCCACATCATGTGAGCTGGGCACGGTCGTGTTGATCCTGGGCGAGTCGGCTGGTCTTTTGTGCTGACTTCCCTTTAACCAGTTCCAAGTCGCATGATTAAGGCAGACATTTTGATCGTATTTATGAGGCTGCAGTGTACAATACCACCAGGGAACAAAACTGAGGATACAACTGGTTTAAACTCAACAAACGGGCGTCGCATTGGACAGTACTCAGTTCTCAACTCCGGGTGGTGTGGTGAGACGCTCCACACATGCATGACTGCAGCTTTTGGTTGCCTTCGGGACTTCGGTCATGCGGGCCATGCATCGAAGACCACGACTCCTCTTTCCTCCACGATGACCTGCCTCCAAAGTTGGAGGGTCGGCACAGAACAGGGAGACTTCGGCCGGGTGACGTTTCTCTCGTGGGTTTCGAATCCTCGTTGGAAGCGAGTACTTTGCGGTCGACGTTGGCGATGGTGACATGCAAGAAGACCCTAGACCCCACCTGGCCAGTCCGGATGGCCTCCGCGGATGGGTCTCTCTGTTGCTGTGGGCCCTCGACCCACCCGCGATGGAGACCTCTACACTTGGTTTGAGCAAACTACAGCTCCCCAGGATCCCATATGTTTCCCTGCAAATGCATACAGCCCTTACCTTTTTCGGAGGAGGTAACTTAGCCATATACTTTGGCTGTGAAAAGTACAGATCTTCGATAATTCTGGAGAAACCCACTGTTCCTCAACATGTTCTTCCAGTAAGAAATCTTGGTCAGAAAGACTTGGCCACAAACGGGCCAATCATGAACTGCGTGACAGGGAAACATTTGGGATCCTTACACGCTGTACTGCGAGGAAACCCGCCGAGTTCTTCAAGCGCCATGGCGTGGCCGGCCAGGGTCCAACTACTCCACGTCGTGTCAGCCTTGATCTGGCGCCAGTTGGTGATGAGCCGATGGCGACCTGCACCACACCTCGCCCGCAAGTCCATGATCAAGCCACGCCGCCGTGGGCACAGAGCAGCCCGCCACGTACACTGTGTGCGCCCTTTCTCTGTGTGGCCAGGAATGGATTCAGTCACATCCGCTTGCACAGACTCAGTAAGGGCCGTCCCGACAGTCTGGTAAATCCCATTTTATTGCGTCAACCCTGGCCGGGTTGGTGCGTTGGGAGACGCAGAGTCAGCGTCGATCCCACCCCCTTCTTCCACCTTTCTTGCTCTGTCTGCCTGGGCTGCTCGATCATTCCGACTTGCCGATCAATCTCCCAGCCCGACCTGCCCGAGAAATGGCGGAAAGATCTCCCGCTTGTCTGAGGCCTGCACAAGTAGTTGCGAGCCCTTGGTCTTGCAACCTTCCTCATACCGATACTGCACCAGAATGCTCTCATTTCCTTCCTTGCTTGTCTCGGTCTTGCGAATTGATGTAGATTTCTCTTTCGATCATCTCAGTGGCTGTAAAAGGGCGCCTCCAATTTCACGGACGAAAATATGATGCTCACCCAACATATTTTCGGCTCTGGACCATTCAGCCCTTTTTAGAATTTGAGGATCATGCTCCAGTGGAATCTGGGTATCTGCTCATATTGCAGCTCGAGATATCCGGAAAGATTGTGGGATGAACAAACTGGGGCCAGTAACATCTGCTATACCCTCGGCCATCTGCTCGATTGCGCGATGACAGAGATATTTACCTGGAGACTTTCTTCCGTGCCCTGGACACTGATCTTTGCCTAAGACACCACGAGTATGAATCCTTCAGGGGTTGCAAGATCGAGTGGGGACTCCCACGTTCCAAGCCCAGGTTCGAGTGGGATGCACCGTGCTTCGACTCATTCGATACTGCGAAGTACTTTTGTGTGGGTGTAGGCATCCGAGAATCTTGACCAGCCCACGCCCCGTAGCCCAGCCCTGGAAGATCACGCAGCCTGCTTCCAAAGGGCCACATTTTCGACATCCTGCAGCACAGTGTCTGGTTAAGGTGCATCATGCAGCCTACACCTGCAGCCAGGTGCAGACAGGGTAACAGTTTCCACCAGGCAGGACAAACCAACAGGGGCTTCAACATGTATTGCAGCTTTCTCGTTAATATGCATGCTCTCAGAATCTCGGCCCTGTGAGTCCAGAAACGACCGGTCCCCTCATTGTCCCCTCCAATGGCGCTTGAAGGCCTGTCCCGGCTCTCTGGGAACGATATCGACAGGTCTTGTGGCGCTTCAAACTGTGTTCTTTATTGGTAATCCGCTACCAACAGACAACTGCTTTACGCAGTAGGTAAGGTGTGAAGAAGCTGCGGGGCGCAGGGCCATGGCTCCCATCTCCCCCCTTTTCCTTCGCCCTGCAACACTGCTTCACTCAGCGGGGGTGGATCAACTCTGAGCGGCTTTGCCCAGATGACTGCCTAGATAAGTTGAAGACGACCGAGTACATCAGTCTATTGTTCTTCACAGTTCTCGCCCCGCTGCGTTGATTTGCCTCCCCTTTCTCTCAGTGATCAGCCGCTCTGTCGCCGAGGAAGGACCCACAAGACCAGTCCATCTTCAAAGATATCCTGCCCGAGAACATCACTCCTGGATCTTGGTCCATCCTATTGAGAGTTCACTTTTATTGGTTTCCCGAAAGAAGTGTGCCAATGGACCGAACATCGAGAAACCTATCGTTTACTCCTGGTCTTTCATCCGAGAGCGACCTCTGCGAGCTATCAGCGCGAAATATGGCTACTACCTCTGTCCAACCTCATCAGACGCACCCTCCATACCATTCAATGTCTTGTACGAGCCCACCGTCCATCTCATCCGCTCGATATCTGCCTCCGATTCAGAAGCCACAGGCACCCAGCACTTACCCGGCGTATTCCATCAAAGCCGACAGGATCTTGCCCCGGGACTTCTCAAGAGACATGGTCGACTTTCCTGTCGCCCCCTGTGGAGACCAGTATCCACAATCTCAACACTCACAGTGGCTCGACCAGCCACATGCGCGCAACGACTTTACGCGGATGACCCCAAGTTTACCCAGGTCTGGTCCCCAGGTTGGCGAGTATCCACTACCAATCCGTTCACAAGAGCCCGAGTTCAAGCGATGTAGGCTTGGATCAGAGACCTGGCCTACATCGCTTGAAGTAGGGGCTTGGGAAATCGACGCCTTGGCTGTTGCGAGGTCCAAAAATGCATCTAGGCAGGCTTCAAGTCAACAAGGCTCCTTGACAGACGGGCCAGCATATTCTTGGGCCCCTCCAGGAATGCCCACGACAGAATCTCCTGCCCCTGATTTAAAGTTGGATCACTCGCGCAAGACTGGTACCTGGCAGCAACATGTTTCATCTTACCCAAGTCCTCCCCACTTTCTGGATGACAATAGCAGACAGCTCAGCTACGCAGGTGTATCTCAGCGGAGACCTTCGTCTCTATTCTCTGGCAGCACACTCAACGGAAGCCCAGAAGCAAGCCGGGGTACTGTAGCTTCCAGCAGCCACGGCTCCCCTCCTCCTAGCCCAACCATTGCCTCTACCACTTCAGGCTTTGACAGTCGCCCAGGCTCGGCAGTCCCAGGCGACTCGATGCCGACATTTGAGGAAATCTACGACGTCCCACAGGTTAACCTGGCACCGCGAGAGACGGAGAGGAAGTCAATTCTCGAAAGATTTCCCCCGGAGATATTCATGCGGATCATGCTTCACTGTGACTGGAAGCAACAAATCCTGCTCAGGCGTTGCAACTCCAACATGTATGACATGGTCAAGCTTGATGCAATCCCCTGGGAAACAAAGACGGCCATCTTGCTACATGAAGAGAATTACAACCCCAAGAACTTCTCCAAGAAAGTTTCAAGAGGCCAGGATGGCACTGGTCCAGGCGGCCAAGACTCAGATTCTGTGTCCTCTTCGGATGACGAAGGACCGGCGTCTCTGAGCAAGGCCATCAAGGGGAGGAGGAACCAACGAAGGGATGCATCCAAATCAAAGCAACGAGCAAAGGACAAGTCCCGCCAAGACAACATCGACAAATTTGCATGTTACTCGTGTTTCAAGATACTCCCGGCGTATTACTTCGAGGGGAAGCATCTAGAAAACAACACCAACCGGACGGCCAAAGGCCAGAAGAAGCGCGGGCACAACGCCCAGTCAGACAAGAAAGTCGACACGCGCGTGGAATACGTGCAGGTCATCTCAGTCAACCCTAGCCGGCCCCCGGAGTGGCTTGTCAAGGACAGGGCGAAGGTCAGGGCGACAGACGTCGAGTCGTACGTGACGGAGTACATGAAGAAGGGGGTGAACTGCGACGACCTGCGCCTTTACTACAAGGACATTTCTTCAGGCACGCATTGCATCGCCCCGATCAGGGGAGTCAACCCATTCTTCACGGCCTCCTCCTCTGCAACGCCCCCGCGATGCGAGACGTATCGCCCTGTCTATCAGGTCGAGGCCGGCAACACCGCCGGGGCAGGCGTGGACAGCAGTGCCTACACATACGAGATCTGCATCCCGGAGAACTCTTTAAGAGATGAGGGCCTAGTGGGACGACCACACATCAGACCATCCACCAGGATCTGCCAACCGCAGCAGCAGACCACGTCCGTGGCTTCGGTGGCGGGTCCTGCAGCTCCGGCGCCACAGTTGAAGGAGATCATTGCTCTTCGGCGTTTCTGTATCCTTTGTGGTGCAAAATACGGGGCCTACAGGAGAGAGTGCAACCGCAAGATCATCAGTAAGGTCACTGAGGAAGGGTGGTGGGTCTGCGCTTGCCCCAAGGTCAGGCAGGCAGGTATTGGCAGGAACTGTCCGGACTGCGGTAAGAGTGTGATTTACTAGAAGGAAACCAGGAGTTACTTTGTATCTATCTCATGCGAGGGAGGCTATTTGATTTTGTGAAGCGTTCTTGGGCGGACATTTGACTTCTCCATTTGCTAGGGGCGAGTTGTACACAGGATTTCAAGTGGTTTTGGCGCCATGTATCGCTCCTCGTGAAGCGAGCTTTGCTAGGGTTTAGCTATCTATTCACACAATCTTCGCCAGATTGCGATTTTCTGCCGTCTGTCCCAGAAGTACCTGGACTCAACAGCGGCTGTTCCTCGGACTCGAGAGGCGGCCCAATGACACTCGTGGTTAGCTTACCAACAAAATGACACAAGCATTCGCCACCAACGGCGGAAAACAGGCGGGTGGGCTTTGAAGGAAGCGGGCCGGGATGGCTCGTTCGGGCTCGGGAAGGATGAGGGCAGCCCGGTACGGATCAGCACAAAGCCGACCAGAGACGGCCCCCAGGTGCCAACTCGCCTGGGGCAATGCTTCCCGAGCGGACAGGCAGCTGCCCACGGGTACCCGTTGCATGTCCTTGGCGCCTAACCCGATGGGAAATACTGTGCGCTGCGCCAATCTCGGTTGCTGAAAGGGGGCTTGGGATACCTCAGGTTTGGCCGCCCATCGCCAAGATTAGACTCTCTGTTGGCAGCAGGGGAATGCTGTGCGTGCAGCGCATCTTTGTCATTGGACTTGAAGACGCGGTGGTTGAGACGAGAGACGCCGCAGAACGCCCAAAGATCTTCAGGTGTTCATTTGTCATATTCACCTTTTTCCGTACGACTGTGATGGCTTCTCAGGATGTGCGGCTCTATGTTCTTCAAGAGATAGCAGTGATGCTCATTAGTATTCTCTTCAGCTGTCTGCACATGGTTTTAATCATTACTCCCTTTTCTTTTGTATCATAGCATCTTGATTACAGTTACGAGATGGTTGAAACTCTATGGCGATGTAGCATTCGTTCTGCAAAATGATAATAACTGTAACCAAGCAATACGTTCCAAGCCGTCCACGCAACCACTAACCCTCGTAGGGATGCGGCCTCCCACCCACCCAACTTTCTGTGATGCTTGTCCCCTTTTGGTGGCTATCTTCAGCTTCTGCAACAAACCGTTGCTTAGTGGAGTGCTATTACCCTTTTGAGCTACCAACACACATGAGCATGCATGTTTATACCACACCTTTTCTCTCATCATCGATATCCAGCACTTCCAGAACACCAGCCAAAAAGGTCTAGGGGGCTAAGGCCTGCTTGATACGAAACCATTGCGTCCTTTGACCTCGACACCCTGTCGCTCCTACTGTGCGAGCTAAACGGTGCTGCTACATGCCAACAGGGGTGTTTCCTGAGGACGGGAGATGCAAATCTCAGTCTAGACCTTGACCTTGTTGGTAGATCATGTCTGTTCCAAGTAATATGGCGAAGCCTTTCCACAAGGCACATCTTCGGGCAGCCGAGATGACCACGCGCCACACGCGATGGTTTTGCCGAATGGTCCTTTTCCCCAACCTTTTTCAATAACATACGGGTCTCAAGATTCAGTAGCCATGGTCCCTCCACCCTGTACCAGGCTTGTCCCCGACCTCCTCATCGTGGACAAAAGTTTCACAAAGTGAAGAACCTTCGGTCCCCGTTCACTAGAAATAAGCCATGCCAAGGAACACTGCCAACGTCGGCGTGCCTTACGATGGCCAAATGCGCAGTCATTTTGCAACGGCTGTCAGATGAACAGAGATAGGGCTGTCATCGTTGACGCCCCCCCCCCCGACTGGGCAAGGCACGATGTCCCGTCCAGACGCACCATCAGAAAGACTTCAGTGACTGGTTGGCCAGCACAACAAACAGCCGCGAGACTGTTGGCTGTGCTTGGCCACTCAGGTTGTGCCGCGGCGCAGTAAAAAGGGCAGCGTGGCCGGGCACGCGCATGTTCTCCCCAACAAGTGCCTCACACCCACCTGCTTGAGAGATAATGTGACCGCTCATGTGCAGGGGGGGAGGGGGCAGGGGGGAGGGGGGGAGAACTTATCCAACGGGCTTTAGGAGTACAGGCCGGGGTCAAACACCCTCCTGCGTCTGACCCCTGGCTTTCTTATATCTGCTAAGGGTGTGTGCCGATCAAGTGAGGCAAGGTGTAAGACTTTCATCACATCTGATGTACTTTGCGATCTCGGTCTACCCCCAGATCTACGTACACAGTATTCATGTAGTGACGTTTAAGATACAGTCCTTGTCACTGATCGGAGTACAACACCATCTCGTGGTCTTTCTTGTTGGTCAACGGTGGCTGGTTGCTAAATTATGCGTTTCGCCACCCACGGGTGCACACCATGACGACCTGTGTCAGTTGGTTCAACTGAAAATATATTGGGCTCAGGCATTTCCACAAAGATGAACTGCTGTGTCATTTCTCAAATTGCATTCTCAAATTGCATTGTCAAATTGCATCAACTGGCCCCCCCTGAAACGCCTTGGCTGTGTCTGGAAAGTGGTTGACCTTTGCCGCTTTTTTTGCAGCCGAAAAAAACCCAGGGTGGTCTGATTTCGTCTACTACCAATCGACTACAGAAAGTGAACCGTCCTAAAGCCAAACTACCTGTAAAAGATGTATCAGTTTCATGTGAGACCGACCGTCCAAAATTGTACAGTTGGCAGCCGGTTGGGTACCTGTGGCGGATTCAGTGAACCCATTACCAAACATGTGTGCCTACGACAAGTATTGTGAAAGAACAGATGCTATGGAGACAATTGCCATGGAACTATTCCGGTGTGGTGTGATGCCAACGGCCGGCTCCAACGGTCGGCTCCGCCCCCTGGTTGAACGTTCTGGGCCCAAGGTCGCCATCAAGGGATGGGCCCCAGCGGCAAGGATATCTCAATGAGGTTTTGTATGGAAATTCTTGTGTAACACACGTTAACTTCTGAGTAAACTTCGAAGGGCTAATCAATCAATGTGTGTGTCGAGAGTACAGGCTCTTGTTTGGTGTTGACTCTGTGGATCATGATATTAGACTTGAATTTATCAAATCATCCATGACTGGTCTTCTTCGTAGTAGCAGTCACATTTTCTTTGGGCTCTCTTATGTTTCAATGCGGTTATGAATTTGAATTTACGTAGCGTTAGGTGATATAGGTATGATGTGAGAGCCCAATTCTTTCAAACTCGATTCAGTCATCAAAGCCACGTGGATCTCCTGGATATGTATACATGATGATTGCAAAATTGCGATGCTTCGAATATGCTACTCTCTGTTGAATGATCAAATCTCGTGTGAGTTGCCGCCCTTGCTGCTGTGCTTGTCTATTGGTTGTTCACAGCGATGAGGCAGCCAGCCTCCGAGCAGAAGGCGAGTAGCCCAAAATCATGAAACCCCTCAATGCTTTCAAAGTTTCCACCATTACGCAAAGATTTGGAACATGGAAGGCAGCATAGCTTGCAAGGAAAATGAGAATGCAGCGCTGAAGTGGCCACCCGCTTTGTGTCACCCTGGTCTTCCTGTGCCAGCTCTTTGCCCATGCCCACATAACGCCATCAAGCCTGTTGCAAAACTCCCGGCCTCATAGTTTGATATCTGAAACGCTCTGAACACTTGAAGGGTCAACTGGACAAGCAGTCCCCTTGGCCGCTCAATGTCACGGAGAGTTGTTGATCCTTGTGCAAATGATGGCGTTGTCACAAGCAACAGAAGTCGTGTCCAGCATGGGGCAGTACTAGAAGTTGGTCAACATCAAGGTCAGTCAGACGAACACTTATTGAAAGACAAATGGGCACCAGAGATTAGCTATGGAATCATAGAATTCTGTCAATTATTGACGTCCACCATACCACGATCTAGTGCTCATCTGTCACAAGCGGCCAGCTGTACTCACTGCAGTTATGGTCGGCAAGGGTGCACTCGTGCTCACGGGCCTCAACGCAATGGTAGTTGTGAAAACAGGCATCGTTGTTGTCAAAGTTGTTAGCGACTCTGCTTCCGCCTCGGAGTTGCCGTCACTGGCCGTCTCACTGTTGACCCCACCGCCCATGTCCGGATAGCTACCATAACTGCCATATTTGCCATAGGATCCATAAGCTCCATAGTTATTGACCTCAGCTCGAGAGGCGATCCCAACAAGCCTCTTGAAAAATCTGCTGATCCCATGGACGAGATGTCCAAGGTCTGGGTGGTCTGCCAGTGGGATAGAGCCTGGTGCTGGTGCTGGTGCGGTGACTGCCACCTGAACGAGACAAATTGTTATGAAGGGTCGAAGCAAGAGCATCTTGCACTCTTCTGTGAACAAAGTTGGAACAGAGTGGCGACTTGGGCTGACACTTGTCAAGCCAACGGGCTGTCCAGGGCCGATTCATATCTTCTGCGGCTTGACCTTTGGGATGACATCTAAGCCCAGACACTGCCTTTGTCACCGGGATCGCCCACCAATCCTTTCTACTAAGCACGGCATCCAGGTCAAGGGATGATGTCGCTGATGTAAGTGTAAGATGCGGAGAGAGTCTGAAGCCTTGTTTGTCCTTGCTATGTCTCAGACCCTGACAAACTGCCTCACATGGTGTCTTGACAGCGTTGTCAGACCACACTTCGAGAACCGCAAAGTGAGACAGGTCAGCAGTTTCGACCCAATCCTTCGGCTTTGATTGCTGTATCAACCGCAGCAGATGAGCTGAAGATCCTGCGTGCACGTCTTTGTCCCCACTCTTGTGCGATATACGAGTGTAACACGGCTTGGCTTTCAGCCAAATCTGTGAGAGTGATAGGACGGAAGAGCTCTTGCCCAACAAGACTGTTCCGTAGCCCTCAGCTCATTGGCTCTTGTAGACGGGCTGCGCCGTCTCCATCCCTTGCGGCTACACCCAGGCGGTAAGGACCGCAGACCAAGGGGCGATGAACGCCTCTCCCAAACAAATTCTTGATCGTCCCTGAAGCCAGAGCCCTGCAACATTCCACTTGGTTCAGCCTGGCCTGTTTCGGTCAAGAACTGTCTCTCTGTGTGCCAGTTACACCAGGAACACCAAGCCAGAAGCAGACCTGGCATTAAGTGTCCACGGCTGAGATAGGCAACCTTCCGTCATACGAACACATGACGTGGGTTTGTCTGAGACATGGCACACGAGATCCAGGGCTTCTTGCACATCTAGCCGACCCCTTAAGGAAATACACCGGCGGCTCACCGATCAGATGGACTGCAAATCATAGGCTAGCAATATCATGTCCGCAGACGGTGATTCTCCAATATGATGCAATTTCTCAGTGGGGCGCTTTACACTCCTCTTTCTTTGCAAGTGCCACAAACAGTGACCGACGAGGAGCCTTACCCGAGAGCAGAAGCTCAACTGAGACACACCCGACGACTCATACTCTCCTGTCTAACCACCGCCTGCCTCTTTTAATAGGTGTTAGGTATCTGGACAGCTCGTGTATGGGTCACCGACCGGGATTGTCTACGTCGCTCTTCCACCAACTGCAAGTCGCACACACTCGGTACTGTAACACAGAGACGAACGTACCTTCAGCTGACCACTTCAGCCCCCATTCTCGAGTCAGGAACATAGGTCTTGCGATTGTCAGGTTCAACGGGTCTCTTTTCCGTGAGAGCATTTTTCGACAGGAAGCAAATCCCAAAGTGGATGCAGCTTGGGAGAGTCTGGGTGTTGATTGTCAGAGGCAACCCCCCCCCCCTCTCCTCCCGGCCGAGGTCCCTTACCCGGGTATCCCTTGGCACTCCAAACAGAATACTTACTTGCATATCATAGATCGGCCCAGCGTTATTCCTGAGACATTTGCAGATTTATCAGGAATCAAGCCTTCACATGTGAGGGTATCATCTGAATATGGCAGTGGATTCATAGCCAACGTTAAGGGCTTACACCACCTCCATTGCTTGGTATGCGATCCCATCATATGAAGATTGTTCCCTCCTTGGTGTTTGCCTGCTTGCCTTCTGACTTCTCCAGGCCTTGTCTCAAGGTTCGCTTCCATCTGAAGGACTGCATGGGACTTCGTATCTCGAAGCAGCAGGGCACAATTGTTCTCATAGCCCGTCATCCTCACTGACCTTTCACAGAATCTGATTCGACGATCACTCTTCTTCAATTACGACTATTATCTCAAACAAGGAACAGGTGTATTCAGGAACGAGGATCACATTCTTCGATCTCATATCAGTGAGAAGACCTGATGCTCTCTACCACCGATATTTAAACCCTCTCACCAATCTTTTCCAGCTCACTGTGTGGACATCCTTCGGCAGCAGTTGATGTGTGCAGTCGACGTTGGACTCCTTGGCCAGATTTGGTGGGACAAAGAACATCCACAAGCCTTCCCGGATTTCAACACAGAGCACATCTGCCGTAACTTTGAAGTCGTCAGAAACTAGGTATCGGATCATCAAGTCCCAGCTGACGTTCCCGGGGACTATCATCAAGTGCCAAGGCCCGAAGACGTGCTCGAGAGCATATCGTAGCCAGCACGTTTGTCTCCTATCACCACCCGGTCTGCTCGTCACTACCAGGGGCGTCCCTCCTCGACTCATACTTCTGCCGGGCCTCTCCGGCAATTGCGACTGACCGTCTTCGACACGGCTGGAGATCTGCGGAACAGCAACATATCGAGCACCAGTGCTTGCCAATTTACCCCTGAGTCCATGAGCCAGGGTGCAAGCTATCTTCACATTACGAAACAGATTAGCCGACGAACGGCAAAAGGCCAAGAACACATATTCGGCCACTTCTACCTACCCCTTACTCTTTACACACCTCCTCCTTGGATACAACATCTACCGTCAATCTCAGGGGAACTACCTTCAGGCTTGCTGCTGGCAAATTCACCTCTTGGTCCGAGATCTTCCGGCCAACATATTTCTCAACAACAATCCGTTGTGCGCCTGATAGAAGGCATCAAACATACATCAATCATTGGATCAGCAAAGCCTGTCCAGGAATTATCACACAAACGTGGGATCTCAGAGTCATACATCACATACACCATATACACACGCTCATCCGACCATATCTCAAGCAAACACCTGGCTACCAGAAAGCCAGAGATCGCACTGATCGATCTTGCTATCTCTACCGGACACACACCAAATAACTCGGACTATTGACGAGTCACCCCATTATCTACTGTTCGACCTGATACGTTACCCAGGGCGACGGAACCAAGATCGGAACCGTTGCGTTGAGACTCCATTGAGCATCCATTGCCACAACATACATAGCGAACAGCACTTTGTCGCTTTCAATAGCGGCCAAGACATTGTGCTCTTCGAGCATTGGTCTCTACAATCACTCTAGCCAAGCCTGTGAGTATAATGCTATAGTCGCCTTCACAGAACCCTATTGTCACGCGCTGTCATCCCAGCTCATGACTTGCTATCTCTGTTGATTGGTAGTCTGCTCGCGACGCGCTAACCCCTTTGGACACTTGCACCAGAAGAATCGGACGAAGTTAAACAACACAGTGGAAAGCTTCGTTTGAATGACATTGAATGGACAATTGACTGATCAGACTTTGCAGAGGAGCCTAATCTTGGCTAAACATATTTAAACCCTCCCTCCCAGCCCCTCTTCTACTTCCTTCCAACTCCCATCTCCAGCCATAACTTCATACTCGGGTCGTGTGTTAGAACGTTCCTCATACAAACTTTCTGGCAGACCACAACAGCGGTCTCCCGCATACAGTCTTCTACGTTCCCAGAACCCGACTCTCTCTCACCTCACCACCTACCGACCCAACATGGCGACGCCCACCCCCGTCGACCAAACGGTCCAAAGGGACCTACCCCCTCCTGACCAGGCCGACCCCCCTGGATCACCCAGCACCAAAGACCTCGCAGAAGAGGCAAACGACAACAAAGTCGTCAACGACGACTTTGCCCCGTCCACAGGCCCAGACACCCCTGATGTGACGGCTGAGTTCTCCACCCTCGCCCTCTCCCTCCCTCCTCCTCATCCTCACCTCACACATCCTTCACCGAGGATTGCCCACCAGAGGCATATCCATACTCATCCTCCGACCACGACTCCGATTCCTCGGATGAGGAACCCGTCACCTCAAAGCGGGCAGAGGCCCACTCCAAGAGCGTGACCGAGGAGTAAGTAACACATCCCATCCCACCACATACTCAGCCACATGTGAATAGTATACTAACCTATCTCCGCGCAAGCAGGGACGACAACGGCTGGCAGTGCCTCGCGCGCCGGGCCGACACGTGCCTCGGTGCGGGCTGGGCCCCCGGCGACGCCCTGCCCAACCGCACCTACGCCAACGAGCACATCGCCGTGGCGAGGTCGGCCCTCCAGGGCTACGGGGTGTTCGCGGCGGCCGACATCAAGCACGGCACCGACGTCCTGGTGGAGGCGCCCCTGCTCCGCGCCAGGGGCTTGGAGAAGCTCTGCGCGAAGCACGCGCGGCTGGGCGGCGAGGAGAGGGCCGTCTACGACGGGCTGGTCGGGTACCACGAGTGGGAGGCGTGCCCGGTGCGCCAGAAGTGGAACGCGAACTCGTAAGTTGCACCTCACTCCCGCCTTCAAGACAAAGCACTGACATTCTCACCCACCTCCAGGTTCGACCTGGCCCGGGGCTACAACGGGGTGTTCGCCATCGCGTCCAACTTCAACCACGCGTGCGGTGCTCAGAGGAACACCAAGTACGACTGGGACGAGCGCGAGCAGGCCATGACCTTCACGGCCACCAGGGACATCGAGAAGGGGGCGGAGATGCTGGTCTCGTACTGCGACTACCGGCACGTGCTGAAGGCCGTGTACGGGTTTGTCTGCCACTGCGGTGGCTGCGAGCACCAGGAGGCCGACCTGTTTGCGAACGTGCGGTCCTAGGGGAGGGAATGGAGAACTTTTGGAACGATGTGCTCTTCATGAAGAACCGAAATCTTTTGGGAGAGGTGTGAGTGCGGAGGCACTCGGTGCCTCAGTAGAAGAATACCAATACGTGTTTTGCCTTCCACATGCCACTTTCCACCACCGATCTTGCGTGTGAATGAACCGTGCTCTTCCAAGGGCACGGTGAGGGCGAGTTGCCAGAAGACAGCGAATATCCCATCCTTGGCTGCTTCGTAACTCCGGCCCCTACCCGTTTGTCCCATCAGTCTCCGCAGGTAGGAATGTCTTCGGCGATAAATCTCAATTGTGACCGCTCCTAGGTAGTCTTCCCCGGCGAGGGAGGCCTGGTCTCTCAGGGGTTGCCAGACAGCGAAGTGGTTGCCATGTGGCCAGGCAAAGCCTTGAACTTAGCTGGTAGGGCGCCATATCGCCTTCAGATCCCGAGAGCACGGCCTCCTGCAGGCAGAGCAGTCAGTTTGCGCCATTGGGCGGTGTTTGCAGAGCAAGCTGCGGCCTTTGACAATCCCTACCCAGAGGAGCACAATGCAACTACTAATCACGCCTTATATCCGATCCAGTCTACACCCGAAACAGAACACCTCCCCCTCGCGTCTTCGGCTTTTGGCCCGGGACATAACAGGGACCGCGTGACGGTCAGAAATCCGCAAGTAGGGAATATAGATTTATCCTCTTGCATCTTGCATTGCTCAGTGCACAAGTGCTCGACGAGTCATCATTTATCTACCCGGCCCATATCAGTTGCAAGTAAGTAGACGGGGCTTTCAGTCGTATCTTCCTCTGCTTCGAATCGTCATCGATACTCGGCAATTTCTGCGCAGTCAAAGAGAGCCGTCCTTGTTCTGGTTAGTGTCACTGGCAGTCGCATACTCCAACCTAGTGAACTCGGCGGGGACGCCATGGACCGAGAAACGGGCTTGGCGGCCCCATCTGACTCCGACAAGCCGTATGTCTCAGATCGGGAGGAAGGAAAAGAGCCACGAGTGGACCCCGAAAAAGATATCGAGCCAAGTCCCGGATCTGATAAACCAGCTGGCTCGGATTCGCCGACTGCGCCGGGCCCGGGGCAGAGCGGTGCACCTCAAACCTTACACGGCCCGATCCCCGATGGCGGGACCGAAGCCTGGCTGCAGGTACTCGGCTCGTGGGTTGTGTTGGTTGCAACCTGGGGTTTGGTGAACACATTCGGAGTGTTCCAAACGTACTACGAGACGACACTGCTCACGTCATCATCGTCGTCCTCTATATCGTGGATCGGGTCGCTTCAGGCGTCCCTGCTGATGCTGGTTGGTGTTGTGGCTGGACCTTTATATGATGCAGGATACTTCCGCCACCTGCTCATCGGCGGACTCCTTCTCATCGTCTTTGGGCAGTTTATGACATCCCTGGGCACAGAGTACTGGCATCTCCTGCTGGCGCAAGGCATTTGTATTGGTGTGGGCATGGGCTGTACATTCCTTCCCTCAACGGCCATACTGTCGCAGTACTTCACCACGAAACGGGCGTTTGTCATTGGTATCGCCAGCACAGGGAGTCCGTTGGCGGGAATCGTCTTCCCAATCATCTTCAGTCGGCTCGTCTCTGGCATAGGCTTTGGTTGGGCCACGCGTGTCATCGCCTTCATCTTACTGGGACTGAGCGTGATCCCAATCATATTCATGAAGACGCGGGTGCCGCCATCTGGCCGGAAGAGAGCGCTCATTGACTCCAGTGCTTTGAAGGACCCAGCGTTCGTCCTGTTCGTTGTGGCGAGCACCTTCATGTTTCTGTGCCTGTACACGGCTTTCTTCTACATCCAGCTCTTCTGCGAGAGGCACCATCTGTCGAGCTTGGACTTTTCCCCGTACACAGTCACCTTGCTCAACGTGGGCAGTGTGTTTGGCCGGATCGTGCCAAACTACCTCGCCGACAAGCTAGGGAGTGTGAACGTGGTTATCGCATGTGCTGCCGTGTCAGCCATCTTGCTTTATGGCTGGCTAGGCATCCACAATCTGGCCGGCTTGGTGGTCTTTGCGCTGCTATACGGCCTGTTCTCAGGGGGTATCGTGTCTGTGACGCCTTCAGCGATCCTGACCATGTCGCCTGATATGTCCCGTGTCGGGACGCGGATGGGAATGACGTTTACCTTGACTGGCTTCTCCATCTTGGTGGGTACGCCGATTGCTGGAGCGATCCTCGGTGGATACAGCGAGCGGGAGTGGATGGGGGTGATTGGGTACTCGGCGGCCGGGCTGACTCTTGGTTCGATCTTGTATATGGCTTCCAGGGTGGTTTTGTACAGGAGAAATGGGAAATTGGCTGCATGAGGCATACAAAGCAGGTTGGCCTGTGGCATTTACATCCTAGGTATGAGAAAGAGCCAGTCATGATGGTAACTTAGAGGCGTTCATTGCATGGGACAGTCGGAAGTGTCGGATGAAGCACCATCACAAAGGTCTGGTAGAGAAGGAACGAGCTGTTCGAGGTATCAGTAGACATGTGGCGTCCTTCTGCGACGGGAGGCCAATACTCGTGGAATAAGAAGGAACGTCCCCAGCGCGAGCCTCCCATGTGCGCGAGATGCACGTCTCATAGTTTCGGGAAACTCCACAGTTGCAAGCCTGCGCGTCCTTTGTCCTTCCACGTCGCCGATGACCTACACTTTGTAATCTTGCTTCCCAAAACAGCTGTGTGCTTGGACGCAGATGTGTGCTCACGCAGGTGCTGACTCAGTACATCACAACTCATGGAGAAACTACCGTGGAGGTTGTGCGGCTGTCTCCATCGATTACGGTTTGACTGCATGTACATAGCGGAGCTCAAGGTTCTAGCAGCAGCAGTAATGTTAATCATAGTATTCGCCTGGATCTCGATCAGTACTCAGCACTATCGCACACCAGAGCGCATCTGTCTGATTGCCAACGGTTTGTCAGACACGACAAACCCAGCCGGCATTTGATCCACCTGCTGGTTGCTGATGGCAGTAGCAGTAAGCCATGATTAAGCAGGACGTCTAAGCCAAGCTCCAGGGGGAGGCAACAAGGTACATGGGTACATACCCCACCATCTTAGCTTTGGCCGCACCTTGCAGGCCCTCATGTCCCAGCATGACACCGCAGCAGCCCAGCAACGCAGCAACCCCTGCCTCGATCCAACTGCTGCTGCGGAGAAGCTATCACACCAGCAGCGCTAGCACCATCAACTGCCAAACGGAGATCCGGGTTGCCATGCTACCAAAGCTTCATCAAAGCCAAACGACATGCTGGTCGCCTTGGATGGGAATAGACGAGGGCCTCTGCGCGCAATTGACCAGTCTGGTCACCTGTGCGGCATGCAATGCGTGCTGTACCGTGTTCCGCCTCCTCTCGATGGACCGAGTTTGATACGAGCCGCAGCTCCAGTCCACAATTCGTCACCGTGCCGTGCCAGTGTGCCCGTGCTGGGGAGACGCGGCCCCACCACACCATCTGGTCTGCTTATACCATCATGAGCTGAGACATGACAGGCGGGCAGCCTACGGAGCAGAATACCTAATGGTACGTACGATGTTCTAGAGCTTTCCCTGTGGGTGGATTGCCCTGACAACATTCGGCGGCACGGCCGCATTCCCGCCCTAGCAACCTGCCCTAACACCTGCCGTCGCATTCAAGGCGCTGCATTGCGTCAAGACAACTGAGCAATGGACGGAGCTCTATATAAGGCGGCCGGACTCCCAGGCTCATCCGTGCTCATCATCTCAACAACCTGCTCTCCGTATACACAACAGACCGTATTGGTGCCCCTCGATTAGCTTTTGTATACTCCAATTGATATTATCGCTGTACTGCTAGACCAGCACAAGACATCCAAGATGGCTCCCAAGATCGCAGTTGTCTACGTGAGTACCCACTCGCCCCTCCCTCCAGAGCTATATCCCATGGTCCATAACTAGCCATGTTTCTACGATGGCTTTACAACATTGTTGCATACCCATACGCGTAACAATAGCCGTCCAAGATTTTATGCCTCTACTTCCAAAGTAATGGCTAACGACTCCACTCTAGTATTCCATGTACGGGCACATCAAGCAGCTCGCCGAGGCTGAGAAGAAGGGAATCGAGGCTGCTGGCGGCACAGCAGATATCTTCCAGTACGGCTCAACCACCCTCACTCGCAATCTCGTGTGTGATCCCACGGATACTAACACCTTGCCCGCAGAATCGCCGAGACCCTGCCGGAGGATGTTCTCGCCAAGATGCACGCCCCGCCCAAGCCGACCGACATAAAGGTGCTCAGCGACCCAGCTACGCTCGCGGGGTACGACGCCTTCCTGCTCGGCATCCCCACGCGGTTCGGCAACTTCCCGGCGCAGTGGAAGGCCTTCTGGGACCAGACGGGCAAGCAGTGGCAGGGCGGCGACTTCCACGGCAAGCTGGCCGGCGTCTTCATCTCGACGGCCTCCCCCGGCGGCGGCCAGGAGTCCACGGCCCTGGCGGCCATGTCCACCCTCGCCCACCACGGCATCATCTACGTGCCCCTCGGCTACGCCAACAACTTCGCCCAGCTGACCGACCTCTCCGAGGTCCACGGCGGCAGCCCCTGGGGCGCGGGAACCTTCGCCGCCGGCGACGGATCGCGCCAGCCAACCCCCAAGGAGCTCGAGGTCGCCGGCATCCAGGGCAAGACCTTCTACGAGACCGTCTCCAAGTTCACGGGTTGACTGCATGGAAGTAATGCAGACGGCAGCAAGGCTGCCTCGGCGCCTGCTGCTGCTGATAAGAAGGATTCGGCGTCGACGCCCGCTGCTCAGCAACAAAATGGCGGTGCGGCCAAGAAGGAGAAGGATGGCGAGGGCCCTTGTGGACTCCCTAAGAAATGTACTATTCTATGAGATACCAAATAATATAACCAATTGAGAAAGAAGAAAGCATGGTTGTGAGCATGCAAACATGGTTATGCTTATTTGTTATTTGCTTCACATTTGCTAGACGCTCTCTCATAGGCTCGGCTATATTTTGCATGACAAGTCCACAGAGAACTCCCAGCAGGGGCTGTCGCTTCCGCAGCTCACAGTTTCGACTGCGGCCCCTTCAACTTGTCTTCCCACCAAGGATACACACTCGGCGCATTCTTTTCCATGGTCCCCTTGAACCGCGGCTCCCTCTTCTCCAGAAAACTACTCACACCCTCAACCAGGTCCTCCCCACGGAACAGGTCATACAGCACCTTACTCTCAAGCAAGTGCGCCTCCTCCGGGCTCGAAGCGCCACGGTAGATCATATCCCACATCGTAACAACACTAACAACAGAGCACTCCCTCGCCACCCCCTCAGCGATCCCCAGCGCCCGCGGGAGCACTTCTTTCCCGTCACCCACGAGCTCCGTGAACAGCCCGTCCAGCAGCCTGTCGCCCGCGGCGTACGTGGCGCCCGTGGTGACGAGGTGCAGCGCGCGCGACGTCCCCACGAGCCGCGGCAGGAAGAAGGAGCTGCACGCCTCCATGACGAGCCCGCGCCGCGCGAACACGAGGCCCACGCGCGCCTTTGAGGGGGCCACGCGGATCGCGCAGGGCAGCGTCATCGTCAGCCCGACGCCCACGGCGGACCCGTTGAGCGCTGCTATCACGGGCTTGCGGCAGCGGTAGATGGCGAGGCTCACGCGGCCGCCGCCGTCGCGGTCTGGTTTGTTGGGTTTATCGGTCAGCCGGGTGTTGCTGAGAAACTTTGAGGAGGTTGGGGAGGGGGCCGGGGGAGGGGGGGATTTCTAGGACTTATACTTACGTGTGTCCCGGGTCACTGGCCCCGGGGCATCCGGAGGACCATCGTTCGCAGCTCCGGCGGAGGGAGAGCCAGAAAGGTCCATGCCGGCGCAGAATATCTTGTTCTGCGGGTCGGAGCCGGTGAGGACGATGCACTTCACCCGTGGGTCTGAGCTGAGCATGCCGAAGGCCTTCTCCAGCGAGTCGATCATATTGGTGTTGAAGGCATTCTTGTGTTCTGGGCGGTTGAGAATGACCATAACGACGGGCGTGACCGACTTAGAGGAGGGCGGGTGGTGCGAGAGGCGCACCGCTGGGAGAGAAACCGCTTCGTACGAGTCTGGTGGGCTTGTCATTGTGTTTGTTTCAGTGTGTTGACTTCAAATTACTATGAGTTTTCGAGTTCCGAGTATTGTGGGAAAATAGCAACTGAAGATGCTCGTTCTCATTGTTGTAATTAAGACCCCGGGCAAGCCTTCTTGCGATTATCCAATTATCGTCAATATCCTGGTGTAAGTGACCTCAGTCAATTGAGAGGGGTTGTCACAGTGCTAGTGTCGTGCCGAGGTCGAGCGGAAAGTTGAAGACTAATCAGAGACCTGCGACCGGGACCATGTGTGAACTCCGGCAGACAAGTCCAGGGGTCAGATGCTATGGAAGATCAGCGTAAAAATGTCACGACTACATTTCCTCATAAAGGTATGTTGCTCTCCAGAAATGCGAGGCCAATGAACCGAGACGCTTCTTCAAAAGGTGGCCAAACGGCAGGACAATAGAGTGAGTATGGACATAGACATCGTGACAGGTCGCCACAAGATGACAAGGAAACAAGCCTTGAAAATCATCGATTCATACCATCATCCTACAGCCAACACTGGTCAGGTTGAGTAGAACGGGTAGCAAAGCACACCAATAATCTACATGAACTTGCTCGCCAGGCTCAACAGCCCGCTGCTGCCGCCCCCGCCGCTCTCGCCGCCTCCCGTCTTGCTCTTCAGGTACATCTTGAGTGCCATCTCGCCGGCCTGCTGCACGGCGGACTCCTTGGAGGTGTCGGCGCTGACCTTGCCGGCGGCGCTCTGCTGCTCGAACAGCTTGCTGGCCTCGGCCATGGCCAGGCCGATGAACTCGCTCTTGGAGCTGCCCGCGCTGCTGCCACTGCCGCTGGTGAACATCTTGAGCGCCTGCAGCGCGGCCGCGTTGCCCATGCTCGACGAGTCGTGCGCGGTGCTGCCGTCGTCCTCGCCCCCGTACAGCTTCTTGTGCTGGTTGACGGCGGCTGTTTTGATTGAGTCTGGGTGTCAGCGGGTTTCTCTGATCATTCTCATAATCCCTCCCCGTCTTTCGTATACTTTGTCTTCTTTCGGATGTGAATGGATTCAGGCATGGAACGGTGCATACCCTGCTCGTCGACCTCCTCATTGGCCAGCTGGTTCTTCTTGCCCAGGAAGTTTCCGATCACGGCGGAGAAAATGTCGCCGCCGGAGCCGCCCGCGTTGCGCGTGGCGTGCTCGGCGGCACCGGTGAAGTCGTCGTCATCGTCGTCGAAGGGGACCTGGCCTCCTCGGGGAGGTACTGTGGAGGGGGTGAAGTCGTATTAGTCGGGGCTGCTCCTCTGGGCTGACAGGACTGGGTTCTACTTGCGTCCACCGCCTGCGCCTCCGCTGCCGCCATAGCTACCGCCTGGGGTTCACAACGCACGTTAGTCTAGGGTATATGGATTGTCACGATTAGGGCGTCGAGTCTTACTGCCGAATTCTATCCATTCAAGCGGTCGTTAGTTGGGACTCATAGCAGAGCTGGGAGCTGTGTCGAGCATCGTGAAACTTCCCCAAGCTCGAGGCTTGGCAGGGGACTTCACGACGCGGGGTAGCTCCCGCAGCGCGATGGGACTCTACTTACCAGGCTGGTCAGACATTTTGATTTTGTGTCAAGTGTGCTGGGAACTTCTTCTCGAAATTGGGAGACGTGGAAGAACAAAAGATCAAAGACGGAGTGGAAATCGTGAATGGGATTCTGTAGACGATAAATATACGTCACCTTAATTCTGGATTGTCTACGATAGACGCCGCAGAATGATGAGGGAGCCGTCGTCACCCACTCGGACCCCCTTTTGGCCCAGTAGCTGGCTGGCTGTGCGCAGTGACGAGGGCGGGGCAGCCAGACAGGCTGCGCATGCTGAAACTCACACGGGGTTGGTAACAGACCGCCAGACTACCAGACTACATAATGCAGATCACCCAGAGATCCCTGATTCTTTTCCCATTCTGGGCGCATCAAGGTCCGCCAGGCTCTCGAGCTGTTTGACAGCGGGCGGCATGGACAAGTTCCCTATTTTAGTCACTTCAGAGGCCAATGAGATCTAATGCCGCAGGATGCTCGCCCACGCGTCGCTACTGCACATGGAAGAGGGGGTGGTTGTCGTTGTGGTGCTGTGTATGGGTGTGTGGGGTTGGAGGTCTGAAGCTTTCCCGAGCTCTGGTCCCTGGTTGACTGTCGATAAAAGCATCTTTTACCGTCCCGCATGGCCGCATGAAGGCTTTCGACGACTTATGCGAGCGCACAACAGCAATCATGTGTGTGCTTGGCGCAGGGAGTCCTCAGCGGTTATTCCCCAAACATGCGAGGTCGGTCGATCCCCCAAATGCACGATCAGCTGAGTTGGGTCAAGCTCTCTTCTGAGACCACAGTTTGGTACGGAGTTGCTGCGGATGAGACTGGCCACATTGTGTTGATGCCCGCATCCTCAGCTGCGTTGTACTACTTACTATTGGCACACAACCCCGCGGAATGTTGGATCGTAGCTTGGGTGCAAGTGAGGTAACAAAGAGTACCGTATACATGTCTCGCTTGGAAGGACCGGCAGATACTGGAAGGAGGAGGATGGTTTGAGAATTGATACCGTCGCGTGGCTCCTAAGAGCAGGGAGACCAAGACCTCACGACTGCCCGAGCCTCCGGTCCATACATAAAGAAGCAACAAGGCTCATAAAAGTATGATTCTGAACGTATCTCATGAGACACATGTCCAGACCCAGCCCACCGGCTTGTGGTTTGTCTTCTCCCCACTATCATCACCACCACTTTTCATCCTTCCCTCCTAAGACAGGTCGTCACTTGCACCAACCATATCTGCAAAATTCATGAGAATTGCCACGACGGAATGGCAACCTCAGTAGTACCCAAGCTCTAATGGTTCTCCTAAGAAGGGTAGGTCCGGCGCGACGAGGTGGAAATCAACCGCAAGGTCCAGCCACCTCGTCGGCGTCCGAGCGCTACCCCTTCCAGCCGAGTCCATGGTTGCATGCGAGTGCGCCTCAATGACCGGTCATTGGCGCATATTCGCTCCGTAACGCCCTGTCTTGCCCTTGGGCCGCTTGCATCTCCAGGACCAATCTCAGAACGGCCCGGCATCTTGGCACAAGAATGTCGTAAACAACACCATCTCTGAGCCACCGCCACATTAGTCGGCCGATATGCCCACAGGAACCTATGCATCTTCCCCACAAGGGGGATCCGTGGCTCGTGATTTCGTGCCCCATTCTCAGGGTTACCGCACGCCCAAAAAAGAGAACGCCTTCCGCGAGGATCTATCCGTAGTGGTTAATTTTGCCAGCGATGTGGCAGGTTCCCAAGAACGCCTGTAAGGGACTAGAACAAAAAGTATGTCTGCACATGACCCGGGCCATTCTGGCCAAGACGCAGCCCGTAGAACATGCGAGAATCTGTTGAAACAGATCGTGGTGGTGGAACCAGCGAAAGTCGCTGCGATGATCCCATCACGATTGGCCGTGGTCCAGTAACGGCACATTCCCTCCCATGCCATGACCACTTCCTCCTCCTGCTGGGCCGGAGCTGCTCTTTTTCTTCTCCTTCTTGGCCCATCGGAGGCCGCAAGCATTGCACAGTGTTTTGGGGCCGCTGGGGCCCTTGCGCCACTCCGGGGAGTCAAGAGTGCCTAAATTAGCATGTCAGAGACAGTATCTGGACAGTAACAGCTTTCCAATTACGCCTCGCGAACTCACCGCAGTCTGTGCAGACATATTCCTCAGCAACTTTGAGTTTCTTCTTCTTCTCCCCGGTTCTTGGGTCTCTGTCCATGGGTATTGCTATGCCGGCATCGCCCTTGATGAGCGTGGGGCTCGCATTACCCGTTGTGATGCCGCGGCTTCTCTCGCCTTCGTTGTAGCGCAGGCCCGTCAACCTCTCTATATTTGTGTCACCGTGAGTGCCTTCGTAGCGGGCCATTTTGTCCCTTATCGAGTCCGGACGGTTCCCCGCTGTGACTCCCTCGAGGTTCTCTCTCGTAAGGGCTATGTTGAGCGGGTTTGGCCTCTCAGGCGGGGGCATCGCTGCCGCGTCGGTGCTGGAGCGGAAGAAGCTGGGGCTTTGCCCGATAGGGGTCATGTTGGTCGCCTCGGATGGTGTCATGTCCCCCCGGCTGTCCTGGCTCTGGCGCCAGCTGCGCGCTGCCTCCTCGGTCTCTGCCTCCTCCTCTCTGCGCAGCTCCGCGATCCTTCTCCTAAGGCGCTCGTTCTCAATCTTGTGCTCGAGGAAGGAGTCAAGGAGGGTGGCGTTCTCCTGCTGCTGGTAGGCCCGCGCCATGAAGAACACGGCCTGGCAGAAGGCTGACTGGTTGTTTGGGTTGGCTGCAAACCTGGCCGCAGCAATGTGTGCGTGGCCGACGGACTCGAAGATCTCGAAGTTGCCATCCTTCTTTTTCAGCCGGTGGAATAGTCTCATTTGGCTGCCCGATGCGATAGCCTCGTTCAATTCAGTCAGCAGTAGACCCTGATCGTCTGGGTGTGTGAAGTCTTTGAGGAACTTTTCGAGGATGTCGTCGGGCAGGTAACCAGTCAGAGCGGTGATGCTCGGGGAGACGTGTTTGACGCGACCGTCGGCATCCAGGATCATCAGCAGGTCCTTGAGCTCCTCGACAACCTTTGCTGGCCAGTTCCTCCTCTTGGTGAACTCGGTCAGGGTCGAGCCGCCGGGCATCTGCGTGTTTTGGGTCATGGCAAAGCTGGTCATGGGCTGAGGGCCGGCTCCAGGGCCGTTATCTTCGGATGGGGAGGGTTGGAAGTTCTGCATGCTGATCGAGCCGGCGCCGAGGCCGTTTTGCTGGGCCAAGGACCCGTGTTGTGGACTGGCCCCACCCATGAGCTGGGGATTGAAGGTGGTAGACATGCCCATGCCAGGGTCGTCAGGATGGTCCAGGCTCATGGACATGGTCGCATCGAGGTTGTACATAAAGTTATCATGGAGCGCCATCATGTCCTGGCTGTCGGTCATCTGCAAGAGTCGAGGGACTCTGGGTCAGCCAAACATTGAGCGATTGGAAACAAACGTGAAGGTAAACGTGGACACAGGCGCGCGGGCGGGCGAGCGTTGGAGAGGGCGGCCCCCGGACCCCCGATTCGGCGGCTGCAGCTGCAGCTGCAAGGACGACATGCACTCTGAGCAACGAGGCCGGTCGAGGTCGGTCTCTGGCCGCTCGTGCGCGGCAGAAGCAACAATCAAGATTTACTGCAGAGGAATAACAGCAGTGAGGAGTGGGGCAGCATGGGCTGGCGCTGGGCTGTGCTGTGAGTGGAATGTAAAGCAGGAACGTACCCCGATTCCGTTCATGTCTTGCATGCCCATATTGCCAAAGTCGAACATGTTGGGCGCAGGCCCCGGGGGAGGCTGCGGGGGCCCTTGAGACATCGCGGCCTAGTAGACTACCTACAGTAGGACCTAGGCACGGATGACTGGTGCAGCTTTCGGATCTACACGGTAGAGGTGGGTGGGGATGCCGGCCGTACATGTATGAAGCTTGTGGTCTGGCATGTATCGTCGCTATGGACAGGGCGCTGCTGAGCATGCGGCTGCAGCTTCTGAGGTTGTCCTTGTGCTGTCCTTGTCCTCCTTACCGGTCGAGCGCGGAGACTTGCGGACGGCGGGCGGGCAGTGGACAGCTCGCGGTGGGCAGAGCTGCGCTGGGGACGCTGTGTCGCGGTATTTCAGGGCGTTTTCCACCGGGGCTGGCAGGGCCGCATCAAGGAGCAAGCAGACAGCGGCCAGGAGACAGATGCAGATGCAGATGGCCGGGAATAAACAGACAGGCCCTGGTGGAGGAGGGCTCGGGAACGAAGGAGCCTGCAGGTGGACATGCGGTCGTCCTCGGGAGAGAGAACTATGGTCAGGTGAAGTGGTGTCTTTCCGAGCAACCCTTTTTTTTTTTTTGCCTTCTTCTTTGGCGTACACAGGTCGACTAGCAGGATCCTTATATTATGTAAAACGGACAAGCCAGGCCAGGGGGACGGGGCACAGGACGGGGTCGGGGACAGCCGCCAGAAAAGATTGCAGAGGTCCGGTGCAGTGCATGTGGTCCCTCAGTAACGAGACATGGTGCTATCCAAGGTATCCATGCGCGGGCGTAGCGCAGGGTGGACAGGCTGTCGAGGGTCCAGCATAGGCGGGTGTGCATGTGCATGCGGGCGGCGGCAACGAGGGCAAGGAGGAGCTGGGCCGGAGCTTAGAGGACGGCGAGGAGGGGAGGGGAGGGGACATGGGATTTCTGGCTGCAGGAATGGGGAATTGCAAAATCCAGTCCCAGGCCTGCAGCTCCGCGAGATCCCCACTAAAAAGCTGCCCAAGCCTGAGCATTCTAAGCGTCTAGACTCGGGCGCTCGATTCATGTGAAGAAGACGATCAAATACCCGCCCAGCGCTCGCTCCAGGACCGCTACTTCTGACACCTTGTCCTGTCAGCAATTTTTCACACAACGGCTGGGGAGCCAGGCTCTCTGGGTCTGCTGTTGTGTTGATCCCCTTTTGGAGGCATATTAGAAGTATGAGCAATGACCATGGCCGTCTATTAGATCCGAGATCCCAGATCCCAGATCCCCACGGACGGTCCCTGACGTGGATCAGCAAGCTGTCGGCTCGGAGTCACACAACCCTTCTCTTGTGACAAAAGGGACGGTCGGAACCCAAGACGCTCTCACACTTGTCATAGCCCCTGCGACTGCGGGATAAACAACGTTCCCTAGCTGATGCTGTGCTGGCCTGGCCTGGCTGGCGCAGAGGACGTCAGTCTTGACACTTGCCCCTAGATAAACACAGCATCCGGGGACGAGCACCCGTCTGATCTTCAGTCTCCTCATCCGTCTTCCAGACACAGCTGCAGCGATTTTCAATTCAAAAGTGCCTTACCTATTCTGAACTGCTGACGGCCACACCTGGGAATATGTCTACCGCGACGGGAACTTCAGCTCCGTGCGCTGAACAACTTTCAAGTTGCTAGTCATCGAACAATGGGTCCCGGACCAAAAGCTCCGGTCTCCGCAAGGTTTGTGGGCATTGATCCGTAGCTTCAAACTTTGCCCACCTCGAATTCCGGGCTCACTGCCGGGCTCGTTGCTCAATCAAGGCACTACTCGAGTCAAACCATACAACGAGCCGACACTAAACAAAGACTTGAGCAACGACGCTGCCTCCTGGAGGATACTTGTCGGCTCGGCATCGGGCCATGTTTCTGTCTCTCGACTAGGTATACTGGCACCTAGTCTGATAACTGTAGTGAGTAGCACTATGCTATTTCTCCTACTCGTAGAGCACGTTATGAACCCACTCGCACTGTTAGTCGAGGAATCTACTACTGAACCTCTCTCATGTGGAGCTAAAATGAGAAACATGACTGGTTGCAAATATCGCATTGTACAAAATTGCTTCGCTCGAGGCGGTTCGAGCCCGAGAACTTGCGTCAAGTATGCACGTAGTCTAACAACCTCGGAGGTAACTGTAATCACTTCTTCTCATCTAGGCTGATATCATGTTGTATTCATATCCGCAGGAAACTCCACCTCTGCTCGACAACAATTGACGAGCCAAAGTAAGCTCTATAGATGTACCGCGATGAGAGAGAAGTAGACGGGTTTCCCAGGGTTGTTAGAAACCCTCGGGGCAGCCTGAGGAGGGGTGCTCTAGGGGGACAGGCAGCAGCTGCCTAGCTGCCCAGCTGACCTGGCGACGGCCCCACTTTTGTCAATGCAGCCAGACGCGCCTGCCTCTGACTTTAATTGAGACGGCACGCGTTTGCCTCGACTTACCAAACTCGAGCTGTATCTCCTGTCTTTGTCTCTGTCTCTCTGCTTGACTTCTTTGAGAGAAAACCCTAATGTCCATTATCGACCATACTCGTCCTCCACCAATCTTTATCGCCTCTGCCTTTCAACCGAGACAACCATCAACAGATCAGTGGCCGCTCTCATGAGCATCGCCATCCCTTGTCAAGATGTCACGCATCGAGGGAATGACGGTCCAGGGAGTCCGTTCCTTCAAACCCCTGTTCCGTGAATCCATCACCTTCAACGGCCCGCTCACTCTGATCGTCGGGTACAACGGCTCGGGCAAGACAACCATTATTGAGTGTCTCAAGTATGCTACAACGGGCCAGCTGCCACCCAACAGCAAAAATGGCGCCGCCTTCGTATACGATCCCGAACTAGACAAGGAGAAAGTTGTCCCGGGTTGCGTAGTTCTCAAGTTCAGAGGACTAGATGGGGCGAGATACGTCGTCAACCGCCATTTCAAAGTCACCTTGACGAAAGCTGGACAACGCAAATTCCAGACCCTCGAGACTACGGTTCGAGAGCAAGCCTCCAACGGAGAGAAATCAACAAGCTCTTCCAAGGTTGGTCATGTCGATAGCATGGTGCCCACTTACCTGGGAGTGGCACCTGCCATCCTTGAGTCTGTCATCTTCTGCCACCAGGACGACTCACTCTGGCCAATGAGCGAGCCATCTGCCCTGAAGAAGAAATTCGACGAAATCTTTGACGCCCAGAAATACTCCAAGGCCATCGACCAACTGAAGGTAGTTCGGAAGAAACAGGCCGAGAAGCTTCGTAATCTCCAGGTCCATCACATGCACAATGAGGAGAACAAGAACAAAGGTCAGAAAAATCTGAGGCTCTGCCAGAAGCTGACCGAGGAGATTGAGGAATACCGTGAGAAGGTCAATGCCATCGAGAAAGAAGTGGCCGAACTTCGGCAGAAAGAGAGGGAGTCGCGTGAGGAGGCGAACAACTTTTTGGGTATCATGAACGACCTCAAGTACAACAGGGACCAGTACGAATTCAGGCGCAACAACGTCGACGAGCTTCGCGAGTCCATCGACATGTTGACTGAGGGTGATGATGAACTCCGGAGATCCCTTGAGCAATATGAGGACCGCCTCGGACAACTGCAAGCTGATATTGACCAGAAGTCCTCGGATTATCGAAGCTTACAGGGCGAGATCAACAAGGCCGAGAACAACTTGAATCTGAAGCTCGGGGAAAAGGGCAGGCTTCAGTCAGACAAGGACAAGTATGAACGCCAGCTGCACACCCGCGTTGAGATGATCCAGGCTGCAGCACGGACCCACGAGATACGAGGATTTGATGGCGATCTGGATGATGATCAGATACGACGCTTCAACGGCAAGATCCACGGCATCTTCAACAGCAAGAAGAAGGAGCACGAGCAGCTGCAGGGCCGAGTGTCGCACGAGGCGGACGCGGCGAACAAAGGCATTTCGGAGATGGAGAATGACAAGAACGCCAAAACCTCAGAGAGGGCATTTGCGAAACAGAAGAAAGCTGAGAATGATCGCAAGGTTAAGCGTTTTCAGACGGAGATGGACTCGGTGAAATGCGACGAAGTTCTCGTCGATCGTCTCGAAAGTGACAGGGTTTCGCTGAACGACCGTTACCAACAAGCTCTGGCCGGACTTGCCAGCAATGACTGGGACGAGAAAATACGAGAGACGCAGAAAGAATTGCGCGAGCTGGAGCAGCAGGGCGATGACCTGAACAGCGAGCTCGTCAACTGCACTCGGCTGGCCTCTGAGCTTGCTCAATTGGATCTGCGCAAGACAGAAGCCCAAGACCGTGAGGCAAGCCTGAACAATCTGACCACGCGTTGGAGCAAGATGCTCGGTGAGCAGGTGCGCCTTGGTTGGGAGCACGGGTCCCTCGAGGCCGATTTCAAAGCGGAATTAAGCGGGAAGACTGCCATTCTGAACGAGAAGAAGGAAGCTTGTGACCAGCTGCAGCAAAAGCTTAAGCAAGTGGACTACAAGCTCTCCGAAGCCACCAAGCAGCACCAGAAGTTGACGGACAACAAGACGGGCAGTGAGACAGCTGTGTTGGATGTCCTCAAGGAAACGGCAGAAGATCCATCGGCAATCTCCATTGATGCGTACAATGAAGAACTCGAAGATCTGGAAGCGAACAAGATGGAACTCGAGAAGGATCTGAGCTTGTTTGATCATATGAAGTCGTATTGGACCCAGGCGCAGACTTGCTTGCAAACGAAAAATAAGTGCCACATGTGCGATCGTGCCTTTGACGAGGACCGCGCCAAGTCGAAACTTGTGGCGAAGATCACCAAACATCTCAACGATGAATCAAAGGCGGAACTGGAGCAGGAATTCCGTGACGTCGACAAGAAGCTGGAGCGTTTGCGGTCAGTCCGTCCAAAACATGATGCCGCCCTCCGGCTAGCTAAAGAGCTGCCGGCAAGTGAGAAGGCGATTGACGAGGCCAAGGGAGAGAGGGACGAAGTCTTGGGAAAGCTCGAGGTAGCAGACAAGCACCGGAGAGAAGCAAGCGAAAAGTTGGAGTCGCTGCAATCTGTCTCTAGCGTCGTCTCTGAAATCACTCAGCTTTTTAGGGCAATCACAGATGCAAAGGAGCAGATTGAGCAACTGGAAAGGTCTCAGAGGCAGTCTGGCGGATCGACACGCACTCCCGGAGAGGTGGATGAAGCTCGGGCGATCTGCACAGAAGAGACGCGGAAAGTCAAGAAGCGACTTGACAACATGTCTGCGGACAGGCAACGAAGCCGTGATCTCGTCAGCCACCTCGAGCTCGAGAGCAGCAAGCTTGATGGCAAGATTGCTCAAGCGAGGCAGCTTATGGACAAAAAGCAGGGGCTTGTCTGATGAGATCAAGGCATTGAGAGCGGACAATCACACGCAGGATGCGAGAATTTCCGAAATTGACGCCCAGCTCGCTGACCTTCAGCCAAAGATCGATGCTGCGAGGGCACAGCGTGACGATGCTCTTGTAGCGGGGCGTAAGAAGGCAGAGAAGGCAGCCGAGGAACGCGATACTGTTGCACGCACTCTCAATCAACTAAAGATCATCGAGGATGACATACAAGACTACGTGGATCGCGGCGGAGAATCCAGTCTGGCTTCGGTCGAGCGATCCATCCACAACTTCCAGCAGTTGCTCACCCGCCTCAAAGGCGAGATGGAGGAACTCATGAAACACATCAATTCGCTGAAAGAGGAGCTGTCGCAAGGCGATTGGAACAAAAAGAACATCAGAGACAACCTCAAGTTCCGAGAGAACGAGGCTGCCCTCGGGAAATTGGCCGAGAAGATCGAACGTCTGCAGTCCGAAGATGCAGAGAATGACTATGACCGTCTCATCGCTGAAGCCAAGAAACATGAAAAGAGAATCAGCGTTCTCACAGCCGACAGGAGTGAACTGATTGGGAAGAGTAGGGCCACAGACAACAATTTGAACCAGCAGATCGAGCTCTACGACCAGGAATACAAGGGCGCCGAGGAGAAATTTGCAAAATCTAGCATCGATTTGCAAACGACCAAAGGCGCCATTGCTGATCTGGCCACGTTTGGCGATTCGCTTGACAAGGCCATCATGCAATTCCACTCCATCAAAATGGAAGAGATCAACCGCATCGCGGGTGATCTGTGGCGCGCCACGTACCAAGGCACCGACGTTGACACAATTGCCATCCGCTCCGAGAAAGACACCCCGGCGTCAAACAGCACGCGGCGGAGCTACAACTACCGCGTCATCATGGTCAAGCGGGACACGGAGATGGACATGCGGGGACGCTGCTCGGCGGGGCAAAAGGTGCTGGCCAGCATCATCATCCGGCTGGCGCTGGCCGAGTCGTTCGGGGTCAATTGCGGCGTCATCGCGCTGGACGAGCCGACGACCAACCTGGACAGCGACAACATCCAGTCGCTGGCGCAGAGCCTGCACGGCATCATCAGGGCGCGCCAGGCGCAGGCCAACTTCCAGCTCATCGTCATCACGCACGACGAGGAGTTCCTGCGGTACATGCGGTGCTCTGACTTTTGCGACTCCTTCTTCCGTGTCAGGCGTGACGAGAACCAGTGCAGTACCATCACCAAGGAGAATATCACCATGATCACCGAGTAGATGGGACAACTGTTGTCGTCTGTCTGTCTGATGGAAGGGGGTCATGCGCAGGTCAGATAGCTCGAGGCTCAATGTGTTTGTGCGTGAGAGAATTTGGGGTGAGTCTGGCGTTTTGGCATGGAAGGGATAGCATTTACGGTTGGCTTTGTTTGCTACGCACATAGCATAATAAGACGAGTGAAGAAATTCGAGCTGGGGTTTTAGATAACATTCACAAAGTGCGGACATCGGACTTGCTCCGTGTAATGTGGCCTTTCTACCACGCTTGATTTGATGACAATGCCTCGACCGGCTGCTATGACTCTCTGACTGCGCCAATTTATCACGATACAATCTACGCCCTCAAGTGAGCGCGTGTCTAAGAACTCGACAAACTCCTCATGACGTGCCCCAGATCAGGTCATATCAAACCACAGTCCCCGAAGGGCCGTCCTGATTCTTCTTGTTCGATGTCTGCCCGCTCCCCTTCCTCCTCTGGTCCGTCTGGACCGTCATCACCGTCATTATCAGCAGCACCACCACCACTACCACCGCCGCCAAGCTCCTGGGCGTCCCTCCTCCCCTTCTTCGGGCTGGGACGCACAGGTATGCATTCAACCCAACGCTCCTCGGCGTCCTCCTAGGCCGTCGGGTCCTCGCCGGTGTCGGTGGTGCCCTCCTGTTTCTCTGCCTCCTTGTCATCCTTACCCTCGGCCTCGCCCTCCTTCTTCTCCGTGGTGGCGGTACCGGAGCCGCCGTCCTCGCCAGCGGGCGACGTACGGTCTGACGGAGCGGCGTCATCCTTACCCGCCCCGTCCTGTGCCCCGTCCTTGTCCGCTGCCGGCGATGTCTCTGTCTCCTTCTCCCCGGCGGAAGAACCCTTCACCTCGGGCTCGGGACCCTCGCCGTCGCCAGCGTCCTCCTTCAGCCGCTTGTGGCTGCTGCTGCCTTCGTGTTCCGAGTCCGCGTCGTCCTCCGCGCCGCGCTTCGACGGCGTCGGGCTAGCGGGCCCGGGAAGCGGGCCGCATGTCGTCTCAACCATTTCGTCGGCTGTCTTCTCGGCGTCCTTGCCCTTGTCCGCAGACTGCTCGGCGGTCTTGGCCTCCCCGCCCTCCTCGGACGAGGCGGGCGTCATGATGGCCGCGCCGTCGTCGCTCGAGTCGGGCGCCTCATCTGCGGCGGCGGTGGCTGCGGTTTGCGCCTCGTGCTTGCGCCCCACGGCGGCCTCGACGTCGATCCCGCGGACCTCCATGTTCCCACCGGTGCTGAGGCTGAAGCTGCTGGAGGTCGGCGCCTGCGGGCCCATGTCTGCTGCGCCGATGATGTCTGGCCCGCGGGCATGTGGTGCTTCCTCCTCGTCGGGCATTTCCTCGTCCGACTTCTCGCTACTGGTGTCTTTGGGAGGTTCGCCCTCGCCCTCGCCTTCACCCTCGCCCATAGCGGTGTCGTTGACGGCGGCGTCTGCTGCTGGGGAACCGTCGTCAGTCGCCGTGGTCGTCGAAGCTTCCGACGAGGTGACGACGACCGGCCCAGACCGCTGCAGCTGGCTGACGGGCACGACTCCGGCCCTTTGCTCCTGTCGGATGAGCTCGCCCTGGGTGATGACACGCTGCTGGGCGGCCGAGCCCATGGGCGGTATGCCGTTGACAGAAATGGAGACCGTCTCGATGCTACCGACGCCGTTGGGCCCGTCTATCGTCTCTGTGCTCTCGGTGCGGGTCTCGAACTGCCTCGAGGACTGCTGCGAAGAGCTCCTCTGTGACGATGCCGTGCCCTGGTTTGCTGCCAGGGGCGATGGCCCGCCGTCCGAGCCCAGCGTGGACGACTCCCCGGACTCGGACCCGCCATCGCCGTCCCGGTTCCCACTCGACCGCCTCTGAAGCCACGGGATTGGTGTCAGCAGAGCACCGCCTAGGGCCTCGTCGCTGCCAATGGCGTTGCCGTTGCTCGTGCTGACCCAGGCCATGGACGTGTCCGACCCGTTCTCCTGCGGCTGGCCCTGGTCCATGACGCCGTTGGGCCCGCCCAGCGACATGGACGACATGTCTGGGATGGCAGGCGGTAAGGGGTAGGTGTTGTTGCCGCTGGTGACGTGGACGACCCTGTCCACGGCGTGCAGATATGACGGCAGCGATTTGTAGTGCTGCCTCGGCCGTAGCACCAGCTCGGCGAGCCGCTGGATGGTGTGGGGCGGGTAGGTGTGGAAGGACTCGTTGAGGACGCCGTTAATCTCGGCGATCATGGCGACGATCTGGGGCGGGAGCGTGCCGGGCTCGGGGGCTGATGTGGCCGCGGCGGCGGGAGCGGGAGTGGGAGTTGGCGCCGGGGCGGAGGTGGGCGGTGTGGGGGCGGCATTCTCCTTGTTGGTCTCTTGTGACGAGTCTGACGAGCTGGTTCCCTCGTTCGGAGCTGATGATGGCGGTGGCTCAAGGGCGTCGGAGGAGGGGAGAGGGGCGAGGAAGCGTGGCTCCTGGGGGGAGGGAGCTACTGGGGAGGCTGGTTCGGGGATTCGTGGGATGGGAAAGTCGTTCTTTGCGATCTGGGAAGGCCGGTCAGTGTCAGTCCAAGTGGCTGTTGGCTGTGAGCCAACGCAGTAAGAGCATGCTCTTGTCAGCACGATGGGGCCATACCTTGTCGAGACGCGATATAATGGTGCTGAGCAGGAGCGGCCATGCTGAGCTGTGAAGGCGGGCACATGTCAGTCAGGAAGCCTTGGCGGCTGCGGTCGCGAGCAGCCATCGCGACAGCGCAGGTGGATGCCAGACAACTTACTAGTCCATAGAATTGCCAGCTGCGAGCTCGCGCAGGGTATCATCGTCAGATTCCATCTCCATGGTGGTCTGCCAGCTCGACGCTTCCTCGATAGCTAGCTGGAGTGGAGACGTGACGTGACGGGGCGCGATGTTCGCTCAGCCTTGCGCGATGGAAAAGCTGCCCAGTGCGATGCGATGCGACCTGGGATTCGGCGGGCCACCTGATAGGACGTCGGCCTGCTGCTTGCTAGCGCGGTTGGAGGTGGGAGGTGGACAGCCCCAGCCGCTAGCGCCCACCGCTCTGGCTACTCTAGGCCCCACGCTCCCTGCGGATCGACCCCAGGTTTACATTCGGTTCAAGCTTCCATGTGGATATTCGTCTACTGCACAGCACTAAGATGGGGAGCCCCGTCTTGCATGAGCTATCTAGGTACCTACGTAGGCACGTATGAATTTACATATGGGCCCTCTGTACTGCACAAGTTAATGAAAATGCACACGTGAATTGGGTTCTATGGTCCTAAATCACGCTTCATCTTGGCCCACATTGGGAATGACACACAGCTCCGTCAATTTGATTGTGGGTCCCAATGTCCAGCGGTGCTCCAGGAGGCGAGGATAGAAAGGTCGTGTGCTGCCCCATGCTTCTAGATGTTTGCCTAGGTAGGATATACTAGCCGGCAATAATCTATTTCCGCTGGAGAAATATCTGTAATTGAGAATTGGTCTGTTTTTGGGCACCGAACTGGCCCATATCTCACATTCAATCCCATTGTACGTACACGGGCAAATGTCCGTCTGATTAGCCGGGTGGTCGCCCATTTCCTTGGAACAAGCTCGTGTTTGTGACAATCACGAAGCTGACCGAAGATTAGAGACTCAGGGTGCAAGCTCGCCATTCGTTTCAATCCGCCAGGGCCTGGCCAGAATCGCACTTGTCAGCCCCTACGAGAGCTCGGCTGCTGCAACTGACAGCTTTTGTTTGCCGTGCTCCGTTGCCAGTGGTGCGACAGCACAGTTCATCGGATGACTGGCGTGAAGCAGCCCAGCCCAGCTTAGTCCAGCCCAGAGCAGAGGCCTCACAGTTGAGCAAAAGGATGAACTAATCAGATGGCGGTTTTGATGAGTTCCGACTCGTGCGTCGAGATTGTAATTCACGCACGAGGGGTCCGAGGGGCCCGGGGGCTCAGACGACGAGCCGGGAGCGACATTCGAGAATACGCGGACACCCCTCGCAGTCCGGTCCATATCCGTACAGCATCTGCAAGTCCCAGCCCGTCTGCATCATGACTTGTTTCCTGTTTGCCGCTTGCTTTTCATGCATCGAGGCTCTATCGGGGGTGGGCATGTCGGACGGTCGTCGCGGTCGTCGCGATAGAGTTTGGCAGGATCGGCACTTACAGCTGTCCAAGTCCTGCCACACCGTCCTGGTCGTCCAGCGCTACTGATCGGCGCCTTGCAGGTCGTGTTGGAGGGAATGCACCGGCACTGCTATTTTTATCTGACGCCCGCCCGCCCGTTCCCGCTCCCTCGCCTGACACCACCGCCCTCGACGGTGAGACATCCCAATGGTTGTAGATTGGCTGTTATAATCAAGTTTTTGGACGGCCTCTATTGGAATATGCCCAGCTGCCCAGCCTGCATCCCGCATGGCCAACTGGGCAGCCTTGTGGGGGAAGAAATGGGGCGGCGGCGCACTCACAAGACCAAGCCCCTGAACTCCGATTCTGGCGCTGCGGATGAGACACCTTCCGTGGACTTTGGTTGGAAGCGAGGGCCGCAGGCAAACCCAGATATCGGACGAACGAGGCACTGGGCCTGGTTTTGGGTTTTGGACAGCCTCTCGGGGCACTTCTGTGCGCCTGCCATCTGGTTGAGCGTGTGACACCCTTATCTAGCGGTGTTTGGCTGCGGTGGTGACACATTATACGTACTGCATGCAGCAATGTAACTGTACGGAATATCCGTATAGAAGCATACTAGTCTTGGTGGAAAGACAGCTCGGTCTGGAAGCAATCACAGGTCTCCACCCAATCGATGCCCAGCCGATGGAATGGGGAATGGGGAATGGTCTCGATGACGTTGGCAGCGCGTCGGTATCAGTTCGGTAGAACTCCCCTTCAAGGGAAAGGAACGGGATGACGGCAGATGAATGCCTACCGCATGGCACGGTGCTGTGCAGGCACATGCTCGCAGGGCCTGGCAGCAAGGCAGGAAGAAGGCATTGGGAGTCGGGATCTCCCTGTCGTTGTCGGCGTGGCTGTGAGTCCAAACTTCCGATCTGATGGGCCTGTGGAGCCCCCGCCGTTGCGCAACCCAGAGACATGCACGTCAGCCCGTCCTTGCTGTTAGTGTCAGCCCCTTGAGGCCCTTGCATTGGCGTCGCCGCGTGCTGGTCGGCGGTCCCTGGCGCCAAGCTTACTCTAACAACAGTACAGTCATCCCATCCTGTTCGTCAATTACCTGTGTCCCTTTCAGCCCAGCAACATTGCTAAATGCACAGGGTTGGTAGCTAGCCCTAAAGAGTAGTACAATAAAACAGGGAAATGATAAATCAGAGATTAAAACAGAAGTATCAGTCTCGTTTGAGGCGCTTCTAAGCTGCACAATAATTCAACAATTAACATCGTTAACTCTTAGTGTGAGAAAGTGCAAGGCTGTCTTCTTATAGCAGTATCGATGTGCGAGATTACTGAATCTCCAGAGCGCTCTGGAGCTTTTTGGTGGTTTCTGTAATTATAGCACAGCAGCTGGAAGCGCCGTCTTAAGCAGAGTTTATGTAAACCAACTAGAGCCACACTAGCATATGAGAGAGCATGCTGTGAACATTTCTTGAGCTTCAAACATGGCGCGTGGTGTAATGGTAGCATTCCTGGCCTCATTATAACACAGGAGATGCCGGTTCAACCCCGGCCGCGTCAACATTTTTGTTTGGCCTGCTAGCCTGGCTTGCTCACAACGGCTATACAAGCAGAATATTTGCCATACAGCATATCGGTGCGGGTAGACATTAAGTCTCGGGCTCAAAAAGACGGCAGCGACCCTGAGCTTGCGGCTAAATTGACCGAGCGAGATGAAGTATTTCAGTCGCAGTTGGCTGTTTGAGTAAAAGGCGTGATGACACGAGCGGTTGGATATTTTCTAGACGTAAAAAGACTTTCATCTGCCTGGTCGAAGACCAAATTGTAATTGCAGGTCTGCTTCCTCCATGTACCCAGAGTCCATTGCAGAATACGGATCCTCGAGAATGCGTTTCGTGCACCGAGGATGTATGCTCCTGTCATTATCCTGCTGCTGACGAAATCAGGTAGAAGTGCATCTGGGGCGTTGCTTATTTATTAGTTGGACACTAGGCACACACTGAGACGCGGCGGTTTTACTCAAATAAGGCTTAAGCAAAGAGGCCCTCTCACAAGTACATCTCTCCAAGTAACTTCAAATTTTAAGAATCTATTGTTTAGGTAGTCTTGTCGTCAAACGTTAAGTCAATTCAATTCCATTGGCCCACTAAATGCGTCGGATATATCTAATGTCCGAGTCAACACCGGCCATTTTTGGTACTTATTCACTCTCCTTGAGCAGCTTGAGCTGAATCAATTGGTTGATCTGACAAGACCTCACCCTATTCGCTCACTGCCTTGCCTTGATTGGTGGTGTCTTCGAGCTTATCCCGCACGGTTGAGTGCCTCTTGGCTCTATCAATTTAGGTTTGGAGACGGCCTCTCACTCCTTTACACCAGCTTGAGTTTTTGCTCCCGAGTTTGCATACCAAAACTTGAAGCCTTCATAGTCTCGAGTCAAGATGGTGACTGTGGCAATTGCGGGCGGGACGGGTGCCGTTGGACGCACTCTTGTGGAGGTGCTAGCTTCCCAGGAGAAGCATCAAGCGATAATTCTCACTCGCAAGGTATCTATTGAAGAGCCTTGAGATCCACAATTTATCAGATAAAATCGTGCTGATCTCCTCAGGACTCGAGCAAAGAAGAAAACTCCCTAGCACCGGTGTTCAATGTCGATTACGGTGACATCGGTGCTCTCACATCATTTATGGAGGAGCAGAATGTCCACACCGTAATAAGCGCTTTTGGTATCACGGCCACATCCTTGGCGACCTCCCAGCTCAACCTCATCAAAGCCGCGGATGCGTCCAGTGCTACAGAGCGGTTCATCCCTAGTTCTTTTGCCATCCCTTATCCAGAAGAGTGAGCCTCTGACTCACCAACCGCCCCTGTCCCACGCAATTGGCTGACCTCTCACAGCGGTGTCACCATCCTCCCGCCCCTAGAGCACTACTTCATCTCGCTCAAGGCACTCGAGGCGACCAGCCTTGAGTGGGCGGTCGTCCACAACGGCACCTTCCTCGATTACTTCGCGCCCCCGGAGCCTCAAGACACACCATCCCCACAGCGTTATCGTGGTCGACAGGGAGCACAACGCGGCGGGCATCCCCGGTGACGGCGATGAGCCTGTGACGCTCACGTACACCTTTGCCGTGGCGCGGTTCGTCGTGGCCGCGCCGGACCTGGAGGCGTGGCCGCGTGAGCTGCGCGTCGTGGGCGACGAGCTGACGTTCAACGAGCTCGTGGCCATCGCGGAGGAGGTCAAGGGGGCCAAGTTCGAGGTTGCGTACGACAGTGTCGAGAAGCTGAAATCGTCGCAGATCACAGAACTGCCTGGGCACGCAGCGTCTTATGACAAGTTCCCCAAGGAGCGGCTGCAGTGGTTCCTGGCCATCTTTGAGCTGTGGATGGCCACGGGGCGGGGCCGCGTGCCGTGCCTTGCTATACTTCTTACATGTGTTTATACATAATGAAAGGACTTTTTATTTTAATTTAAATACAACATCATTTTGAAAAGTTAAGAAAAATACTGGAAAATATCTGATTATGTTTCAGGAAAGCTCTTCCATGGGAATATTTACTAATTTTCTCTCTTTTATTTGCGTACTGGGGTGCAGGGTGTATTTAGCGAAATACCCCCCACGCGAAGGGGGTGTTGGTCGTGCACAAATACTGCAAGGGGCAGGGGAGGTCGGGAGACCAGAGTACAGAGGTACCAAGTGTGTGATATGCAATGGCAGCAGGACCCTGGCTGGATATTGCCTGCATCGAAACGCTTCTCCTACGGACCCGTGGACAGATCGATCCTCGGTGCCAGGCTAGCAGTGCCATGTCCCCAACGGATCCCTACCATACGCCTGTCCCCAAGTGCTCGGCACGCGGCGATGCAACGGTGGTTCCCTTGCTCGAGTAAAGCGAAAAGGCCAGCCCAGCCCGAGCCCAGCCCGAGCCCAGCCTTCCATCATCATCGTCACTGGCACTGGCACTGGCACTGGCACTGGCACTGGCAGCTGGCGAAACCGAACGTGCTCTGCTCTGCTGCTGCGGCTGCGTGTGAAAGGTTGAAATCCCAGAAGGGGCTCCTTAGCGTCACTTCTGTCACTGCTCCCGTGTCCTCACTGCCTCATCCTCGCCCTCACCTTTCTTTTTCCACTACTCCCCCTCGACCAAGCCCTCCCTTCGAACTTGTTTCACGTTCTCCCCCTCTCTCGTCTGATTTCTCCCGGATCGCAAGGCTGCACATTGTGCTCAGCACTGGGGTCCACGACACGCACCCATCTTTTCTCTGGCTGCATCTCTGCAAAGTTCGGATTGTACAAGCCAAGCACGGCGCAGGACGGCACCACAGTATCCAAGAAGGTACAACCACCAGGTACCACTGTATTCTTGCTGTGGGGAAAGGCCTGGATCCAGCGCCCCATTCTCCCCCTGGTCTGTGGATTCGGGTGGACAACCCCCCAATCTCAAATCTCCCTCTTCCTGCGCCTTGTCGTCGCGTGTACAGCCCATTCTGCCCGTCCTGCCCAGACGGTGCCAGGTCTTGCGAGTCGAGGCTGGCCCATCCTGCTGGCAGCCCTGGCAGGCCCTGGTCCTTCTCACTTGTCAGGCTCGCAGTGGGCTGCGACTAGAGCTACAGTACACTGCCCTGCCCTGCGACTGCACAAAGTAGACTAAGTGCTCAGCCCTCCTCTAACAACCCGCACGCACGTTGAACCCTGGGCGTGTGGACCTGAGACTCTCCGCCAGTGGCCGCCGCGCCGCTTCCCATCCTCCACCAAGCCATCCTTGGGTCCTTGGGACCCCCCCCCAGCACACCATCCCAACCGAGAAAAGGGCCAGGACTCGGGCCCATCAACCACCACACTCAATCAATCGCCTTGTCCCCCGACTCGACGCTCCGTGCTCTCTTTCCTTTCCGCTACTCATCAATCATCAATCATCATCATCATCCTCATTCTCACCCTCCCACACAACCACCAACAACACCACCACACCATCTCGCCGGAGGAGGCCCCAATCTCGACCCTCATTTCTCGTCCCCACCTCTGCAGCCGACGGCCACTCTTTCAGCCCACCGACAACCGCGACATTTCCAATCCTTCTCTCCTAAAATTGTACTCGTCGCCACAAACCGCCCGGCCCGCATTCTAGGTCCTTCTCCGCACTCTTCCCTTGTCTTGGCAGACCATACAAGAGACAACCGCTGCGGCTCCTTTGACTCCTCTCAAGGAGTCGACACGCCTGCCCGCCCTGGCGTTCCGGACTGAATCTCGGCGGAACCTCCTGCCCGCTGACCCGGGCTTTTCTCAGGCCTTTCAAGAAGGAGGATATTTTCACAGAGAGGGCATCGCTCCCTCAAGTCGCGCAAGCATGAAGCGCAATAGCCTGGACTTCATGGATGGGCCCTGGCCCAAGGCCTTCATGGCTGCCGCATCACTACAGGCCATAGTGTGTCTGGCCTTCGAATCGTGAGCGGCCCAATCCCCTTCGCTGTCTGATTGACCGTCCATCTCACCGTTCGCAATATAGGTATACCTTTGCTATGTTCCAGACACATCTGCTGGAATCCGTATTGAAGACCGACGACGACACCAGTGCCCAGTACAAGACGATCCCGACCTTCCTCACCCTCTTCATCTTCGGCTTTTTGTACGAGCTATTACTGGTCTGGGACGCTCTTCGCTTGAAGAACACCATTCAGATCATCGGAATCTGCATCGCGAACCTGGCCCTTCTCGTATACACCGCAATCCAGATTGATCAGATTCACGAGGCTCTCACCCTTCTGGGCCAGAACCATGGGCTGGACGGTGGCTACACCAACGAAAAGGGCGTGGTAATAACACCGCAGCAAGCACTCTGGGACGAAGTACAAGGCTTCCTCATAGCGATCCCCATCATTCTCGCAGTGGGCACAATCGTCCTGTCCTTCATCGCCTGGAAACTGTACCAGGTCTTCGCATGGGACATCCTCAAGCAGATCGGAGCCGACTACAGGATGAAGAAGAGGTTTCTTCACTACCAGGTGAGTCCCAGGGATCTGCGCCAGCAATGCCAAAGACATAGCAGTTAACAGTCCCGTTAGGTTTACATCGCGCTGCTCAAGTTCGATTTCTTCTTTTTCCTCGGGTTCACCGTGCAGTTCATAGTCATCGTCACTGGCTATACCGACGCTGAGATGTACCTCACAATCGCTGCTATCCCGATTACCATCCTCATCCTCCTCGCCGCGGCGTACTTCACTAGGCACGAGGACAAGATTGGAACCGTGGTTGTTATTATCTGTTACGTCGGTGCTCTTGCCTACTTCGTGTTCAAGCTTGTGCGCATCTACCAACCGAGCCACGCTGCATTCTACATGCCGGTGCGCAAGAGTCTGACAGCATTCGCGGTTTTGGCTATCCTGCTGTTGATATTCACCATCACCAATGCATTCTACTGCATGAACAACTTCGGCGCCGGCCTCAAGACGCACCTGCTCAAGAAGAAGCCGAGCGAAGAGAAGGGTGACGGAGGTAGCAGTGTCGACATGCACGCCCTGAAACCGTCAGTGCCAACGCGCATGACAATCGACTAAAGGCCATTCAGCTTGCCGTAAAAATACGAGGTCCACGAGTTAATGACCGCATTGTCCGGAAGCTACTCAACCTCCACTGGATCGCTGGCTCGAGACGGGGCGACAGACAATTCGGTCCAGCACGAAACACAGAGACGAAGCACGAACAGGGTCCAATTACATATAAATCACTGCGGATACACCATATCTGCCTTCTACATCTAATGGCGTTCTTGAGGGTTGTCTTTTTATTTTGGCCCCGATCGGATATCGGAGGTGGTGTTCAGGGTCCTTTTGCTTTGGGGTAAAGGGGCATTCCAGGAAAGAGATGTCAGCCCGTACCTGCTCTCTGGGGACAAGTGAAAAGATAAAGAGGAGGTGGATATTGGATGTCGAACCAAACGAACGGGCTGGGAGAGGAGGGACAGGGCTTCCCCACGACACAAGGGCTACTGAGCATTTACAGCGGGCTATTTTTCTACATCTTTTGATATCCCAGAGGTGAAGGGGCGTTTTGATCCGCCCAGAACCCGCCCTCACCTCACCGGCTGGGAGAGGGATCCTTCCTGGTTGTTTCTCTTTTCTTGTCTCACCTGCTTGGTCAGTCTCGCTTAAGGACAGGCACATGCTTTGTAGCGCAATCTTGCTCTCGATCTTATAAAGATGAGTAACGGAGAAATTGTCTGCCAGACCAGACCGATACAACTGCTGAAAAGATGTTTTGTCCATGAGATCCGTCACCTGGTGCACCAAGAGTCCCATGTTCACGTATGCGAACGACATTCATCGTGCGCATGTCCTTGTTCTTCGCGATAGTTATAGGGGCCGGCTCTGTGGTGGCGATGTCGGTTGTTGCCTTCTGCTCTCCCAGCTGAACTAGAAGTCACGAGATGAAAGCCACAGCTCGCGATAGACCAACAGACAGCGTTGGATAGACAACAAGAACGGCGCGCGCTGGAGGAGACGGATTTGTAGAATAGTATCCAGGAGGCATCATCCTATCGCTCCATTTCTATGACATTCGCAGACTTCGCATTGAGGGCCATGTCACATATCAAGAGACTTTAAATACATGGCGCTTTTAGTCACTAGTGCAGAGCTTGCTCGGATGCCTGCGCAGGGGGTGAGGGCGTATTGTAGCAAACATACGTCAGAGTGTTCATCAACGTAGGCCTGCTGGGCTTCTCTTGATTACCGGCAACAAGGCAGTGCTGATTTATTCTAATACATGATTATCGCTTTGGGTTCAACGCGCTGTGGTTGTTTGACACACAACACAGACAGACGGACGGTCGCACGTGACTAGCCCTGTGCTCTGGTAGGTCCCAAGACCCTTGGATAATGACACTTGTGCCGCGTGATGAAGCCCCCTTCCGTGATGAAGCCCCCTTTACCCTGTTGCTAAGGCGGCAGCCAAAGCTTGGCGCGAACGATTAGAGAGGACTTTTGGACCATCAGGGCCGCCCAGCATGAGAACCGGGTGTCCTGGTTGTGAGAGAAACCAGACCTTGTAGTCTCCCATGTCGAAGCCAACGTCCCACTTGAACGCGAGTATCTGGCGGTCCTAAAGGATGATCTGCCTCGCGTCCCGGAGCAGGCCCTCGACGGGGCAGTAGGGACACTTGTAGCGCTGGTGGCTCTTGACCAGGTTCTTCAGCGAGTCCCTCGCCAGGACGTGGCCGCAGGGGAGCATCATGGGCGGGTTGCGGTCGGTGGTCTGCTCCTTGGAGACGGGGCAGACGAAGATAGAGTGGTAGATCATGGAGCGCGGCAGCGGCGTGTCGAAGGCGAGCTCGGAGGCGGTCGTCCACGACGCCCGCGCCTGCGTCATGACCCCGACGAACATCATCAGCCGAGGGAGGCTGATTGCGCCGGCCGTCGCGGCCACGTACAGCGGGCTCTCGGCGCTGAGGCCTAGTAGCGAGCAGAACTCGCGCGTGAACGAGCTCGCTATCTCGTCGAATCCCGCCTCGCCCACGTCCCCGCCGCCCGCGAACAGGTGCGCATATGGTGACTCAGCCAGGTTCGGTTGGTACACCAGCGCGGACGCGAGCTGCGCGATCTCCTTGGCGTGCCGGTCAGCGAAGCGTGGGAAGTTGGCCTGCGCATACTCCATAGCCTCCGCGGGGCCATCGTCCTCGTCGCCGTCGCCGCTGCCGCTCTGCAGGATGAGGTAGATGTACTGCCGCTTGCACAGCTCGAACTCCAGGTCGGAGCCGCGGGCGTCAAGCTCGGCGCTGTTCTCATGCGCCCACGAGATGGCGGGCAGGAGGTTATGGTTCCTGAGCTCCTTAAGTATCCGATACATACTTGCGAACTTCTCCTGGAGCTCGTGTGACTGTAAAGAGCGGACCTCGCTCATTGGCTCGTCGTCGCCGCCCTCGTATCCCGCCTCCGCTGCGCCCCGTGAATCCTGGTTTGGGATGGTGTCGTCGTCTTCCTCCGCCCCTCCCTCTTCTGCGCCGGAGTGGTCGGCGTCCATGTCGGTGTCGTCGTTGGGCTGTGATGGTGGCTCTGGTGCCCTCGCCTCGTGTGTTGGCTCTTGCTCTTGGAACTGATCCAGCGATGCGGTCTCTTGTATAAACGTCGATGCGACATTGAACTGGCCCTCCCGCAGCAGGTGCATGGCAATAGCGCGATTAATTAACTTGGGGTGTTTTGCCATGGCATCATCATCGGTGGGCAGCGGCCTCGGGGGGAAGTGCTTGTCGAGGACCTTGCCATAGTGTTTTCGGACCTTGTCAACCTTCCTCAGGTCCTGGTCGATAGCCTCGAAGCCTTTAGATACTGGGTTTTGCAGCCTGGCGAGGGTAAGGCTTGCGGTATGGGGGTCGGGAGCTGAGGACGAGCGTCAGTATGGAGTGGTCTCTGGTCATGGGGTTCTTGTGGGGGACGGGGACAATTGGGCCGGTCACGCACACTCAGCTATCTGCTCCCGGGCTTGTGCGAGGATGTCTATTATCTTGTCGACATCGTCGACGGCGGCGCTCAGACGGTCGGTGGTGTTATTCGCTAGCCGATCGAGCTCCTTGAGGAGGGCTGGGATATCGGTGTCGTCTGGCTTGTAAGCCATGGTGGGAGGAGGAGCCTCGATGGGGTTGAGGACTCGCGTGTTAGGGGAACGGAGGGGCTGGTTCTCGGTAGGGATATCTAGATACTCAGGAAGAGGGGTTCTGCAGGAGGTTAAAAATTGGAATGTAGAATGCGGCAGCTGGGTTGTGGTTCATTCAAGGTGTGTGGTATGTTGTGGTCCCGAGAAGGTGATGGGGTGGCTTCCAAAGCCGCCGCTTCGGCATTTGAGGGGAGCAGCTGCAGGTGCAGAGCAAGTCACTTCTAATGGTCCGTCAGTCCCAGACGAGAGCAAGACACGACCCACGGACCAGCTGGCCCATTAGTTCCAAACCCAACAATACCATTGCACGCTTCCAACCGAGGCTGTCCATTTACTGTTCTCCATTTGTTTGTTTTGCTTTGGAGTCCGTAAACTGCCTGTACGTCTGGTTCTTGCCAGCTCTTCTCGTCGAAGGCTGCCGGATACATCGACTACACCTGGGTGGATATGCGGACTAGGTGTGATTCACTGGGGCCTGCTGTCATCACTGCTCAGCATATGGCATGGCACCTGGAAAGCTCATTAGCGCCTACCGTCACAATCCGGTCTCCCCACATGCCCCACCTGCACACCTGGACCAGGCCCCTGGCCCCTATTTGCTCGACCTTAGCACACAAATAACATCATCACCATCCACTACTCCTGCTGCTCGCATCACATGTCAAAAGCACTTCAGCCTTGAACCTCGCGCGTTCTCCTGCGTGTACCGTGCAAGACACTGCAAGCTTCCTCGCCGTTTTGCAAGGATATGGAGCTGGCACACCTGTGGTAGAAGCCAACCACTGCCTTCCAACATGCACCATTCGCTGTCCCGGTGCTCGAGGTCTGCCGGGATTCGTTGGTGGCTGCACCAGAAAAAGCTGTCTCACATGACGGTAGACTACGTATAACATTGCTCTGGCTCCACTGGGGACGGCTACAAATACCACCATGTCCTTCAGGCTCAATCTCCCCGATGGCCGCGCCCACAAAGAGGAGGATGTCACCCAGGCCCGACTGGCCGCCATGAGGAATTCTGCCCTCGCCGCTACCACACCACGAGAAGGCACACCCTTGCCTGGCGATATGAGGCTCGACGGCTCCCTTTCAGTAGATACTTCGTCGCCTGCTCTGTCGCCTGGCCCTGGCCGCCGCCATGTCGTCTTCCCAGACCCTGTTGCTTTTAGGTGCGCTCTCCAACCTCCTCCTGACTCCTGCTACACCTGGACGGTGTTCGAGATTGGCTAGGCTAAGGACTGACACATATCTCTTGACTCCAGGTACCTCTCTGAAGACCCCTTAGTCCAGATAGTCAAGAGCCGAGGCGAACTTGGCGGCTACGAGCTCTACCTTGTCGAACAATGGGCATGCTCTCGACTGTCTCCCACCCTCGTGATCGTCACCTATACGGGCGACCCAAAGTCTTCAGTGGTAGTGGGTGTGCTCTCTGTGCCGGCAGATGAGGATGAGTGGTCGCCAAGACTCAAGGTCTACTTCAAGGCTTTGCAGATATACCATGCGAGACCGAAGGAGACGGAGCTGGGCGAGCTGATGGTCACCAACCTGAGCAGCTTCCCCTCGGCCCTCACTGTCATATTTGTCCCGGACGGGGATATCAAGAGGCACAGGCAGGCTTTCATCGTGAACGAGGACCTGAAGAGGACCGGTTGCTCGGGTCGATCCGGCATGACCTTGTCAGACCCTACCCCGGCGACCCAGGCCAAATTCTACACCACTTACAAGATCCACGAGAAAGTCCCCTTTTTCGAAGCCGTCATGGAGCTGGTAAAGCTGTGTCAAGTGGCATTATTTGTCTTCGGCATGCTGGATCAAGAGTACATTGACGGTCTGCTGTGCGATATCACAGAGACAGCAATCGGTAACTGGTGGACTGAGGTCGGATCCGAGTACTACAACATGGAGCCAACCGACGGCATCCTGGGTCCAACCACCGTAGCCGCACTACTCGGCATGCTCATCGGCGCAAGAAATCGCCTGAGCTCGTACGGTGTCACCGTAGCCAAAGATGTCTTTGAGATCGAAAGTACCAAGCGTGGCATTGGGCATTTTCAGAAGTCTCAGAAACTGGAGAGGACTAGGAGACTCGACCGTCAGACGCTTCTCAAACTGCACAAGTCCACTGCAAAGGCCGCCGCCGGTGAAGAATGGGGCGTGCAAAAGGCAATCGGAGCTACGGTATCTCAATTCGGAAAGAGAGGTGAGATCCTCAGCGGAGTCATTGGGACACGCGAGAAGGCCGGAATCGGGGAAGTCGAGACGGTTGACATCGACAAATTCAGAGACCTGGTGTCTGGTGAGCGTGCAAAATGGCTCTGGCAGGGCAAGCCTCGAAGACTGGCCCTGGAGCACTCTGAGCGATCGATACCAGACATGACCAACATGCTTAATTTTGGGAAAGAGGATGAGAAGGAGCGCGAAAAAGAAAAAGAGAAGCACAAGGAAAAGGACAGGGAGAAGGAGAAGGATAAAGAGAAGGAGAAGGAGAAGGATAAAGAGAAGGAGAAGGAGAAGGAGAGAGAAAAGGAGAGGGAGAGGGAGAGGGAGAGGGAGAGGGAGAGGGAGAAGAGCTTGAACAGCCGAGTCGCACCACAACACGCTCTTTCGGATACGAAGAGCTCAACCCTACCCTGCGGACAAAAGAACAATCGAGTACTATGTACTCGGCTCCCGCCCCGGGCTCAAGCCTTAGCATGGCGGAAACCCCTGGCGGCGAGTCGGGCCTGCACAAGGCCGTCTTCAGGAGTGTCGCGGATCGAGTGAGTGACGCCCGCTCCAGACTCGGCCGTATTGGGGATGCCGTAGGTGGCAACCGCAAGGGGCACTCGAGCCGGCCGTCCAGAGACGAGACTCCAGAGACCGGATACACTAGCCCTAGTATAGGAAGCCTGATCCAGTCTTCCGGTGCTCTGTCCAGTCCCGTCATGTCAGGCAGGGCTTTCACATGGAAGAACAAGCCCGAGGAATACGCGAACGTCTTCCAGAGAAAGCACCCCGATGCTGAACACCCCATCGATGAAGCCACCCCTGGGCCAAGGGCCACCTCTGGGGCCCAATTATCGCCACTTCAGGAGGCGCGCAACTCTGTTTCGGAGGCTATAGACTCCGTCAAAGACCTGCCCGGCGACGTATCGATGGCCCCATCAACTGTCGATGAGAATGACTTCCACAGACTATTCCGACTGCCTGAACGAAGCGGGAATGCGCATTCTTCGTTGCTACAGAGACGACATAGTCTGGCCGTGGCGACAGCTTCCCTAGAGAAGCAGCCCCTGAACGAGGACCGCTGGCCACGACGCATGTCTTTCAGCGCTGCCTCGGAAGCCATTCTCCGCTGGGACGAGATTGTCGACCTGCAAGAGGAGCCCAGTACGCTTGAGGAGCACCTGGCTTCCGCCGAACTCGCACAATCCCTCCATGCGCAAATATTCAACCTCTCCCAGTCACTCTCACCGTGGGTGTCGTCCAAGATCAATACCGTCGAAGCCCTCGAGGAGACGTACGCCACACAGCAGGACACCCTCCAGCAGGCCTACTACGCGTTGTCGGATGAGTACCAGAGAGTCAAGCAGAACTCGGCCGAGATGATCGCCGAAGAGAAGGGGAGGGTCACCGAAGCGATTAAGGATGTGGAGGTACAGGTCGCAAAGCTGGAGTACGAGATCAACGCGCTGGTCTCCAAGGTCCAGGACGTCGAGGACGGGGTGGCAGACTTTGAGGCCAGCGTCGTCGACGTGGAGACCAGGGCCGAGGAGCTCAAGAGCCAGCTCGAGACCGAGAGCTGGGTACATTGGGCCGTCAGGACCTTGACGGGCATCGGGACCGGGCCGAACATCCTGAGGCAAGGCTGATGATGGGGTCCCGCAGAACAAAGGATGCTAACTGAAAGGCCTCAGTCATGCACAAGAAGAGCTATAAGATGGCTTTCATCTTACTGTTTAGCAGCATTCTTTCTGGGTACTAATCAGGTTGACTCGAGCATTTGCGAGCCTCGGCGTATGGAGTTTACACGGTCCCGGGTTGTATGCCCCCAAGCAGGGCCTAGGTACTTAGAAATGTTGGTTTGGAAATGGCGATGAGGCCAATAACCACTGATTTTTCCCGAGAAGGGAGATTGTCTATATCATCATAATTTAACACACCGCATGAGAGATATCTGAACCCCGTGCTCAGAAACAATGCGCAGTCGCAACCATAGACCATTGCCGCGCCCCTTTCGGCGTTTGTACAGTTTTGGTGGTTTCCATCCTCAAAGTCTCCAGCACCCGATGTATGGGCTTCCAAGAGTGATCCTCGGGTCAGGAATCGAATGCGGTGACCCTGCCCATCGAGCATGCCGTATCAGCCCTTCACCCCTGTGCTTCCTCCTTGCACTCAAGACAGACCGGGCCCGCTTCCTCCCGCCGCATCTGCGAATCCCTAAGGGCTCGAGTCCGTCCCGCTTATCGACCAAACGCCCCGCCGCCACCCATCTGCTGCTGCTGCTGCTGCTGTAATATGTCCGAGACCTTGAGGTGGACGTCGAAGAACTTGGCGGCGCACCTGTCGAGGCAGACGGCCTCGCCCTTGTTGATCTCGCCCTCGAGGTAGTTGTTGGGGATGCACTTCTTCGCGCAGGCCTTGTTGAGACTGGAGATCGGGAGGCACGAGGGCGAAGGTTAGCCATTGGAAAAGCATAGAGAGGGAGAGGTGGACGCGGGTGGAGGAGCCGGGGCGACGGCATACCGGTTCATCATGTCGGCCATGAGCTTCATCTCGGCCTCGACGGCGGCGATCTTCTCGGCCGACGAGGGCTGCGGGCGGCCGAATCCGAGGAACGACATGCTGGGCGGTGATATAGGCAGATGCGCGGGTGTGGTCGACTGCGGCGTGGAAGGGTGACGGCTTCGTGGGGGCGCTGTGCAGATGGTCTTGTGACGGCGTGCGAATTGGTTCCTGGTTGAGCTCGAGGTCGGCGCGGGCCCTCAAGAAGGTCGTCCAAAAAATCGGCTCGGCCAGTGACGTTGGTATTGCAGGGTTCAGTGGGCTTGCGCTGACGAGTGGGCCCCGGACAGTAGCTCTATTGGTCAATGATACGTCGAGAGGGAGCTCCTTCCCGTGCTGCCAAAAATTTCGAGTAGCTCCTGCACCTCGACGCCCTCATCCCACTCCAACGCGAGAGCTGTGTTTTCTGCAGATCAGTGTGTCCTCAGAACCAGCGCCGCGCCGCGCTATTGTAAGTACCTCTCTCTCTTGTCTTTCGACACATTCCCACATGATGAGATTGCATTAAACCTTAGAACCGTTGCGACTGACACGACCTTGGTCGTGCGTGATCAAAACTGCCAACTCTCTGACAACCACTTTTCACCCCCGAATTCCACTGCCTGTTCTCGTTTCAATCTACGTGGGTTTCGCAGATTTTCTGACTGGAATTATTATAGACTGATGAGGGATATCGGCTGAACATGGCGCCATCTCTGCACTTCCTGCGTCCGTACGCGGTCCAACCGCTGGCGCCAGGGTCGTCTCCTTCTGGCTCTGCGTACCTCCGATTCTACGAGTTGGCAAGGCGAAACTCTCAGATCGTCTGCCAAAGATACAACTCGACCGTTTTCCCCAAGACCATCAGCACGATCAGGTCGAGCAGTCCTTGGGTGAAGCGCGATGTAGAGACGTACAATCCCGAGGACCGCGGTGCTCTTACGGCGGCTCGCGTCAAGCAGCTCCAGAAGGCTCATGCCCTGTTGTATCCGCGGTTGAAACGCTATGCGAAGCCTTTCACGATATCGAACTTTAGAAAGCAATATGAAGACAAGATAAAACTTCCAGGAGAAACTCTCGGTGACATCGTGACGGTCGGCGGTATGCTTGTCCTCTCTGCCGGTAGCTCTTCACGGGACTGATGTTTCCAGGTCGCGTGTCCTCCACCAGTCAAATTGGTAACAAGCTGGCCTTTATAAAACTCGTCATGGATGGCACAACCGTCCAGGCGGTCCTGAATATCAACAAATTGGTAGACGGCACGGAAATGAGGCATTTCGCCGACCAGATCCGCTTGATAAAGCGAGGGGACCATATCTGTTAGTAGTTCCTCCCCATGCGGACCCCAAGCGGAAGTCAAGTGTCTGGTATCGGCTGACAGTTTTATGTGTAGCAATAACTGGGCAGCCCAGTCGCACGCCGACGAAGGAGTTTTCTATCGAGGCTATACACCTTCCGCAAATAGTCTCGCCCGGCTTAGCACCACTTCCATTTAACCTTCCCGAGGAAGCCAGGATGAACCAACGGCATCTCGACCTCCTTGTCAACAAGCGAGCTGCAGACACTCTGCGTGTTAGGTCGTGTGTGATCAGAAAACTGAGACAGTGGCTCGAAACCAAGCTGGAGTGCATCGAAGTCCATACCCCTATCTTGGCTGCGAATGCCGGTGGGGCTGTGGCACGCCCATTCACGACCAACGCTACCGAGTTCCCAGAGAAGCAGCTCGCTCTGCGCATCGCACCGGAGCTTTGGCTGAAGCGACTCGTTGTTGCGGGCTTCGACAGGATATACGAGATCGGCCCAGCTTTCAGAAACGAAGGCCTCGACTCTACTCACAACCCCGAGTTCACCATGTGCGAGTTTTATGTCTCCCACATCAACCTCGAACAGGTCATGCAGGAGACTAAGGATATGTTTCACGACCTCGCTACCTCTGTTGCCAATTTCAGGGACGAGCACAATCTCCAGACTCTGCCACTGCTTGACCCCAAGGTGTTTGCCAAGGAGTGGCAAGTGATTGATTTCATCCCGGCGATTAACATAGAACTTGGAAGTCCTCTGCCGAGGTTGGATAATAATCCAAACGCCGTCCAGGAGATCATCAAGCTCCTCGAAGACCGCGGCAAAGACTGGCACAAGTCTTTGCTTCCCAACCCATCCCTTTCGAAACTCCTCGACCGTATTGCAGGTGCGGTTCTTGAACCCCAGTCCAAGGACAAGCCGATTTTCATCACCAAACACCCGGCGTGCATGTCGCCCTTGGCCAAGACTTTCACTTGTCCCTTCACCAAGCAATTTGTCTCCGCCCGGGCCGAAGTCTTCTTCGATGGCAATGAGCTGGCCAACATGTACGAGGAAGAGAACAGCCCATACGTGCAGAGGCTCAAATTTGTCGACCAGGCGAAGGCGAAGCTGGCTCAGAAGCAGCACGCAGCTCCGGGCGAACAGCCACTCGGCGAAGAAGACGACGAGCCAGCACATGTAATCGACGAGCAGTACGTCTCCGTGCTGGAGTCTGGCCTACCGCCCACGGCAGGCTGGGGATGTGGCGTGGACCGATTGGTAATGATGTTTACCGGCGCCGGAAGAATCAGTGAAGTGCTGCCGTTTGGGAATCTGAGGAACGTCGTTGGGCTCGCGTCGACCGGCCCGCAGGGCCAAGAGCGTAAGGGGGAAGACATGGACAGCAACTCTGGCTCTATACCCACAGGCGAGTTTTCTGGAGCTGCTGAAGTACAGATATTCTCTCGAGAGGAGCTCGAACAGGCAGCCCAGGTGGGCAAGGAGACGATCCTCCCAAGCGGCGAGGTGGCACGCGACGGGACGAAGGCTGGAAGGGCCGAGCCCTCGCTTGTAATCGAGCCCGAGAGCGCCACAGCCCCAGGCGACGCTGACACCGCGGCTCGAGACCCCGACAAGCCAGCAAGTGCCAACCGTGAGAAGCGTGCCGCTGACGACGAGCTCGATTATATCAAGGGCGACAGGCCATAAGGCCAACCCGGGGCATATCTCACGAAAACTGGATGCCAGGGCACGGCCAGCAACGTGGCTGGCTGATCATGGTTCTAAGGAATGGGAGTGACGGGACCCTGCTGTATAATTCACGTTGGCTGATGATGGTGTACGATTATGCGACGGATGGACAGGATGCGAATAACACACGTTTAGATATATACCCCTGCTCACCTAGGATCAGTTGAAATCTAAGGTTAATTCGAACCTTCAACTACGCTTTTGGACCAGGCCAGATGATCCGAGCTACACTCACCGAGATACTCAGGACTCGAAGAAGAAAAGAAATAAGAGCCAATGCTGACACTTTGGAACCTATAGCAATCAGTAGTCTCACGAGCGGCTTTCCCTTGTTCACCACCGCCGCTACCCTCCTCAGCTTTCTCCAAGCCTACGTTATTTGAGTCGACACAATTCTCGATCGCAGTCTCTGCTCATCAAGGTCCTCCGCCAATGCCAGGAGCTCAGCTTTGCTTGAGGCATCGCACGCCAAAATCATCATCACCACGACAGCCAGAAGTGAAATGCTGCCCACGGCTGTAACCCCCAGCGGGAGCCCAGCGCGCAATAGACTCGACACCAGGCAGTTGAAGGCAGCATTCGCAGGGTCTGACCAGACCAATGACCGTGCGCAGGCCCGCGACGATGAGGCGGAAGGCGCACGCAGCCGCGGATATGGCAAGGACGAGCAGGTAAGGGGGCGAGCCTGCCGCCCGGGGCTCCCCGTGAAGGGTGAAGCAGGTGAGGTCGACGTACTGGCCCCCGAAGACCCCAGACTCGGCCGCCCCGGCTGCCGAACGCGACGAGGGTTGCCAGCAACGAGATAACCCCGGTCAGTATGGCGGCGTCGGCGGCCCTCGCTTCAGGCACGTTCGTGGGGAACAGCTTCTGGAGCGAGGCGGCCGCGGCCGTGGTATCATCCACGAGCATGCTGGCGGTTTCGTAGAGCTTCGCGAGGGCTCGCCCGGGCGCGGGGCCGGGCCCGCCACCGCGTAGTTTCAAGAGGCCTTTTCCAGGCTTGGTCAGGTTCTACCTTTCCATGCCCTGACGACCCGCCGTCCGCGGTGGTGGGTTTCTGGGGCTCATCGCCGGAGGTCACTGCTGACAATGCCACCGGGCTGTTTGACTTGGCTTGGATCTTCCGCTCTCTATACTTCGCTAGTATTGTTTGCACGATGAGGGTTATGAAGCCGGTGGCCGCGATGGTGCTGCTGGCTTGAAATACAATAAGGGCGCCCTCTGCAGGATGCGTTTTTGGATGATTTGAGGTCAAGGCAGGGGCTTGGTATTGTGTGTGCGTGGTCGCTTGACCAGAAGAGCGGACAGGTGTATTTATCACCGATGAGGCTGTCAAGGGACGGAATGCGGTCAGCCCAGCAGCCGTCGAATTCAGCCTCACCCAGGGAGAGGAAGCAATATGTCTCAAGCCACACAGGACCACTGGAAGGCAGTCTGCCACGGAAGGAGAGACATGCTTTCATGCAAAGTTCCATTGGGAGCGGTTTATCCGGATTGGTCTTCATCATATTCAGGAGCAGGAGATCATGATGTAGCTCGTAGCAAATATGGATACCGGCATTTCCTGTGCCTACAAGCTTCACTGCCGCGCGCGTATGACCTGCCTCGCTCTTCGACGATGATGTAGGCTTCATCACGAAACATCGTCGACAAGGCCCGGTGCCATGTCCTTGCCTGCCCTCCTCGCCTCAACCCACCGCCCCAGCTCCCTCCAGATCCTCTCCTTCTCAGCCGGGCTCAGCGTCGCAGCAAGCCCGCTCGTGGAACTCGAGACAAACACTCTCGCACCCATCCAGCCGTCCCGGTACTCGACCCCGTCCTCCCTCTCTTCGTCACTCACATCCCCAACCCCCATGTTCTCGCCCTCGTCCTGCCACCCATACCTAAACTCGTCTTTAGCGATGGCCCGCCCATGCCGCACCCGCCAGACCGACTCCCAGATGCTCTTCCCGACGACCACCACCGCCTCGGGCCGCCACCGCCGCCTTGGCCTCGAGGTCGCCCACCCCGGCGTCCATCTCGGCCTTGCTCAGCTCGGCGCCGTTGCGGCTCGGCCGCGACACGATGTTGGTCAGGCCCAGGCTGAAGCGCGCGGGTAGGGTGCGATCCTCCTCGGCGGAGCACCGCACGGGAAGGACCCCAGACGAGTACATCAGCTTCCAGAACAGGTTGCTGGGGTGGTTGTAGGCGTGGCCCGTCTGGGCGGTGCGCACGCCCGGGTTGAGGCCGCAGAAGAGGGCGAGCAGGTTCGGCGCGAGGGCGTCGGGGAGGGGCGGAAGGTGCGCGTAGACGCCGGGGGGCTGGTACCCTGACTTTGGCCTGTTCCTCTTCTTGGGCTTCTTGGTGCTTCCTGGGGTGGGCGTTGATGATGGTGAGGAGGAGTCGGCTGTGGCTGCTTCTGCTTCTGTTGAGCCGTCTGGCAGGGCTGGGACACGGGCGTTATCGTCTGCCGTGACGGCGGCTTTGCGCTTTCTGGAACCGCCTGGTGGTGTTGAAATGGTCCGTTTTGGGCTTGCTAACTTCGTGGGATTGTATGAGAGGCGAGTACTCCGACGGGGTGGTGTCTGACCTGCTTGTGGCGACTGAGGCTCGGTCTTGAACCGGAAGTTCTCCATGTTGAGTCTGCCGCTGAAAGATGACTGAGGGGGCGGGACCGAGATGTTAGCTGTCTCATGGTCGAGGGCTGCCATTGTGCTTGTCCCGGTGGTCCCCTTGAGGGTAGGCACTGCACCGGTGGTTCAAGGCTGCTTGGTGGCCCAGAGGGTTGAGTTGAGGCAGCTCAGGCAAGTTGCCTGGACAGGTACCAAGTAGAATTGGCCACCTGGGATGTCGTTATTTCCCAGCTGCAAGTCACGTAGCTTCACCGAAGCTATTCACTGACAGCCTCGAGTTTGGCTGTCTGAGTTCTATAAATGATTACCGTATGAAATTGAGGCTGAAATGCCCAGGTTGTTGTTAGTGGCCTTTTACACGTCAACCCCCTCGTTTACTACGTAGTTTTGATGTATCGAGTGGCAACTTTGGCAATCCGCTCACCTGGACGTCAGGCGAAAGCTTTTGCTTCTTGAAATCCTTTTTTCATGCCTCTATTTTTCGGTTTCTAATATTCTCAGAGGAGACTGACAGATACCATTCACAGCTCTTCGGTTAGTAAACGTCTTGCTTGTCCTTTCTGGTTCGCTTTGGCCTCTCACATGCAGCTTTAGGCCTTCAGACCGCCAGCTGACAAGTCAGGAGAAAAGCGACTGGCCCATGTGTAACAGCCCTGGAGGTAGTCGAACAAAGGAGCGCTTTCTGTACCCGGGTTCTAGATGTAGATAGACTAGCTCGTATTCCGTGCTCCGTGAAGTGCCTCGCCCGTGCATTGCTGTAAAGGCCAAATAGTCTAGTCTAATACCCGCGTGTTGAACCGTAGCACAGGGCAGTTACGAGCCCCAGCAACGGCTTTGGACGAATAGGAGGCGGCTGATCGGGAGCGTGTCGACGTCACAAGCCGGCTGTTGGCAGGCCCAGCTCCTCTACTGGCCGCATTCCTGCAGGGGAGTCGGAATCAGGGGTTGGCGGGGCTGAAGGGGAGCTGAGCAGTGGAGGGGAGCTCCAGCTTTCATCCCGGCCGTGCTATTAATACAAAGCAAGCTGACTGCCCCCGGCCGAACACCACCACGCTGCTTGCTGGCCTCCCCATTCTTGCTGTCCTCTTCTTGGTATTTCTCACTTGTTGACTTTTGATAGTATACCCAGTTGGACCATTTCTACCTCCCTTGCACCAATAACAGATCAGTCACCGCGCAATCGCCACCATGGAGACTATCAAGAACGCCCTCAACATCGGCAGCTCTGGTGCCCCTCCACGATCCCCCTCGGCCGACGAGGTCAAGGCACTCCAGGAGAAATACCAGAAGGCGGGCCAGGAACAGGTCTTCACCTTCTACGACTCCCTCTCCAAGGAGGACCAGGCACATCTCTACCACCAGCTCGCCGGATTCGACCCCGACTACATCAACACCATCACAAAGAAGGCCCTCAACCCGCCCGAGGCCGAGTCCAAAAAGGCCGAGCTCGAGCCCCTGCCCGAATCCGCGACTGCCAGCGTCCTGGACTCGGACGCCGATCAGCTCAAGAAATGGTACGAGTCCGGCCTGGACCTCACCGCCAAGAACAAGGTCGGCGTGGTTCTCATGGCTGGTGGCCAGGGCACAAGACTGGGCAGTTCCGCACCAAAGGGCTGCTTCGACATCGGTCTGCCCTCGCAAAAGTCCCTGTTCCAGATCCAAGCCGAGCGCATCCGGCGGCTGCAGGTGCTGGCACACAAGCACGCTGGTCTCCCCGAGAACCAGGAGGTCGTGGTGCCATGGTACGTCATGACTAGCGGACCCACGAGGGGCCCGACCGAGAAGTTCTTCGAGGAGGCAAACTACTTTGGGCTCAAAAAGGAGAACGTCCTGATCTTCGAGCAAGGAGTGCTGCCATGCATCTCCAACGACGGAAAGATATTGCTCGAGGGCAAGGGCAAGGTTGCCGTTGCCCCTGACGGGAACGGAGGCATCTACCAGGCCCTGGTCACCTCGCCCGTCCTTGGCGACCTGCGCAAGCGAGGCATCGAGCACGTCCACTCGTACTGTGTCGACAACTGCCTGGTCAGGGTTGCGGACCCGACCTTCACCGGATTCGCCGCCTCGAAGAACGTCGAGATCGCGACCAAGGTGGTGCGCAAGCGCAACGCTACCGAGTCGGTCGGCCTGATCCTATCCAAGAACGGCCGCCCCGATGTTGTCGAGTACAGCGAGATCGACAAGGAGACGGCCGAGGCCAAGGACCCCAAGCAGCCCGACGTGCTCAAGTTCCGCGCCGCCAACATCGTCAACCACTACTACAGCATCGGCTTCCTGGAGAAGATCCCCAGCTTCGCCAAGGACCTGCCGCACCACGTCGCCAGGAAGAAGATCCCCCACGTCGACCTCAAGTCCGGCGAGACCGTCAAGCCCGAGAAGCCCAACGGCATCAAGCTGGAGCAGTTCGTCTTCGACGTCTTCCCCCTGCTGCAGCTCGACAAGTTCGCGTGCCTCGAGGTCAAGCGCGAGGATGAGTTCTCGCCTCTCAAGAACGCGCGCGGCACTGGCGAGGATGACCCCGACACGAGCAAGAAGGACATCACCTCCCAGGGCAAGAGGTGGCTGGAGGCTGCCGGTGCCATCCTCACCGGTGACGGCGATGCCGGTGTCGAGGTCTCTCCTCTGATCAGCTATGTGAGTGTACCCCCTTTCTCCCTATGTCTCTGAGAATATGGAGCAAAACTGATAGGTCCAATGCAGGGTGGTGAGGGGCTTGGTCACCTAAAGGGGAAGGAGTTTGGACTCCCCGCCGTGGTGGCAGACCCGGCTGAGAAGTAGGTCCTCAGTGTCCTGCATGTAATGGAGATTATTCTGCTGAGGCATGTGGTCGATACCTGGTACTATAAGCGCTTTGTAAAGTCCTCCCGGCGGAAATTAGCTGCCCTTTGACCTCGGCAGAGGCATAGCGGTAGTGACTTGACTACATCACAGCGGCCATGCGCACCCCAATAAGGTTAGTGCTATAGATAAGGTAGAAATAAAAGTCCAAGCTTATGAATACAGAGATTCGCACCTGCAAAAACGGAGGGTGCAGTGGTACATCGACAGCACTAAACCACGTGAGAATTCACACACCACACCTAATACCCGCATCTAACAGCCACGCCCAATTTACACACCTAATTCACATAAATTAGATATATAGGCATACAAGTGTTAAGTATTGGGTGTATGGGTGTTGGGTGTGTAGGTGTGTGGCTGGGCTATGGTGGGTTGATGTACGGCCGTACCCTCCGTTTTTTGCAGGTGCGAATCTCCGTATTCAAGCTTATCAACAAGAAGACAACTCACTGGTCGACATTTTGCACGCCCTGGATGTCCGCGAGAAGCAGCTCCATCTGACGAGTCTGAACAGTGCCCACAGCCGTATCCGGGCGAGACAGATACCTTCATCACACACAAGATCCAGGCACCAAAATTACGAGAACCACACCGTGACGGTCACAGCTAATGAGCTGGTGGCGCCTTAGAGCCCGGCATGTATGTACTGATGGATGGATTTAGAAATGCAACCTAGAACGCCTCCCTGATGTGTTTAATCCTTCTATCGTACCTCCCCGCCGAGAAAATCGCCCCAAAGGCTCATCAATGCCAGATGCCTTCAGAAATGAAGAGTTCTAGCCAACTCACACATGCCCACACATGTATCTGCCGCTCCTTGTCTACCAGTGCCCAAATTCCACCAATGACAGGCCCCGCCCCCCACCATCACCACAGGAAACCAACCTCCCCCCTCCCCCAAACCAACGCTCTCCTCCAGGACAGGCCCCCAGGACAGGAAACACCTAGGAGCTGTTGAGGTAGCTAAGGTAGCAGTTCCACCCGATGCTGATGACGTTGACGAAGAGCACGCGGTGCTCGAGCGGGACGACCTTGAAGTTGACGGCCTGCGCGAAGGGCCAGAGCATGTAGTTGGACGTGAGCGCGGTCTTGTAGTTCTTGTCGAGCTTCTCCTTGACGGAATTGCCCTCGAGCGTGGCCATGGACGACAGGAAGACGCCGATGAAGACGGGGGCGAAGACGCCCTGGTCCAGCGCCACGCGCGCCAGGATCGTGCCGTTGGGGGACTTGAGGTTCACGTTCTTGGCTAGGAACTTGTACCATGTCGTCGCGGCTGGGCCGAAGACGGCTGTTTGGGGTGTCAGTACGTGTGCTGATTGTGTTTGGTGTTGTGCGGGAAGGTGAGATGGGAGGTGAGGAAGGGGTGGGCTGGCTCCTCCTGCTTGTTGGCCCCCGGGAGGGGGACACATTGCGTCAAAAACAGAAAATGCTCACCTCCGCCGTAGAGGACCATGCGGCCGGTGCGGGCCAGGTCATGCTTCTCCAGGCCCTTCTTGTCGACGGCCTGCTGGGCGATGACGTCGCCGGTGCCGAAGAGGATGGCCGTGGTGACGACCTGGGTCAGCAGAGGCCGCTTGACCAGCTTAGCTTGGTACCTGGAAAGGGGGAGGTACGCATTAGCATCCACGTTTGCGCATGAGGCTGGGTGGGAGGTTGAGGCTCTCACCATCTGAGCATCTTGAGGACGATGAGTGCGGTACAGGGATGTGCTGTCTGTTATGTCCAGGTAAGGTGGTTGGCCAGGCTTGTGTTGGCTGGACGGAAACAAATGTAACGGATGGCGACGTTTGGTTAGCCTGTTCCTGGAACCCGTTGTCGATGCTGCTGATGATGTGTCACTACTGCTGGGGATGCGGGAGTGAAAGCTTGCTGTCCTGTCCTGAACTCTCTGTCTCTTTTGGTTTTGCTCCCAGCTATTGCGGTTGGCTGGCAGCTCACCCCCGACTGCCTCGGAGGACAATCACCCTAAGATTGCGGAGCAGTTGTGGTCGAGCTACCGTTACATTGCCCCAGGACCCTGGGCACATTGGACCCAGGCACGGTAGCCCTATTCTGTCTGGTCTAGACTACATGCGTATCCTCCACCCCCCAATTCTGGACGTTGATCTTCAGAATAAACCTTCCGCGTATCGATCATTCACAGGACAATACACACACTCCGTGCAGTTTGCTGTGACCTGGCAGTTCTCTCTGCCGGCCAGATAGATGAGCGCCCCGTCTCAGGTTCAGTCAAAGCCCGAACAGGCTCACAGCGACCCGGGCGCACAGACTAACCAGCTGTGACCCTGACAGCTGAGAATCTGGGGTTGGCCAAACTCAATTTCCCATCCGTATTTTAAGACGCGGCATCTCCTTTTGTGTTAATATTGCAATCTATTGCTGCCTGTCATGTTCGGCTCCGGCTCCAACGCCGACGCCGACGGGCCTCACTGACACCATTTCTTGGTCGGGTCGATCTCATCCCACAAGTCTTGGCCTCATTCATGACCGTGAAGGTTGTATTCGCCGCCTTCTCCTCCGTCTCTGAGAGCACAAGTTAGTTGCTCGATCCAACTCACACCACGGCTATATCAAGACAAGTCACAACAACAACAAGGTCACGCAATAAGTAACAGAGGTGCCTCACGCATGCGCCCTTATATGTACCTTTCCCTCCACCAGGGAAGAACGAAACCCCGAACAAGCAACTCTTGCCAACCATCCACCATTCTTGTCGTCCCGTGGCCTCCTCACCTTGCCCAGCCAGCGAGACCTTCCAGAACGTCGAGCTTAACTCTGCATCATCCCCGTGCCCCCAGGACCTCCCAGGGGGGGAGCACAAAGACCACACATGCCCCTCCTCGCTCTCAGCGAGGAAGCTTCAAATGCTCGACGCTCCTGCAGCAGATCGCACTTGGCCCGCGTGGATCACGCCTTGACGAGGCCGCACGCTGGCCTCGGCCTGCTGGGCGGGATACACGGTGCTCGTGCACGCGTGTGAGGAGCGTCTTGTGTTTTTTTCTCAAATACGCCCGCTATGTTGTAGCGTTTACGGGCCGAACTGGGCGTGCTGTTTCACGGCACTGGTGCAGATTGCTGAGACGAGGAGAGACATTTTTTTCGCAGAGGTATTTGTTCGACATGTGAGTCTGGGGTTAGTAAGACTAGGTAGGTAAGTACTGTCGCCCGAGTCGCCTCCTCTGGGCTGCGTCTCGACTGGGCGAGACTACTCGTCTCGCCCGCTCTTGGCATCTTGGGCCCCGGAACCAGCGTCCCTCCCGCCGAGGAAGTAACAGAGAGACAGTCAGGGTCTGGTCTGGGGGCAGTACGCATTGTATATGGTGGTCGACCAGGCCGATCCCAGGAACTGAGTACCTAAGCCGCAGGGGATGAAGAGGACACAGCTATTTCTCTCACAAACTTCCTCGATCTCATCTGTGTGAGAGCCATTTTTCATCCCGAGATACCTTCCAGGCGTTTCCTTCCGTACTTGGTGTTGTGTAGTGGAGTCTAGGCATTGTGTGGGCGCTGGCAGGCATAACCCCATCATCTCGGCCGAACCCTCGACGCCCCTTCGGCCCAAAGCAGGACAGCAGCCCGGAAACCAGCTACCTACAAAAGATATGATGGGTGGTCGTTGCCTATGCGATGATGATGATGAGGTCAGCAAACGACCGGGGTCGGGTCCGATCTGGAACGGCTCTCGTCTGACGAGGAGGCCCAGGGAGGACAGCCGCCCGGGGTGATTGGGGGCCGTGCCCACCAAGCACAGTAGGTACCCCTACCCTACCTTTCCACTCCCGGGTGTTCTCTCACAGGACAAGCAAATGATCTCCAGGGAGGGGCGCCGAAGGCAGAAAGGGCGCAGATCCAGAGTCTCAAGCCGTGTTTTGGGGGCCTGGCTTTTCTCGCTGGGCGGCAAGCACACAGGGGAGGAGGGGGAGGAAGCTGCGTCCCGCTCCGCCCGTTAGGAACTACTGTGCCTTCTTTCTTCCGCCCTCCGGCCCCTTCTGCCCTACTCGCTTTTCACTACGCTCCTTCAGAGCAGCGGGTGATTGACAAATCTCGCTGTAACTTGACTCAGGCCAGACCAGATTTGTGCCGGCTCTTCGCTTTTCCTGTAGATCATGGAGATAAAAAAAATAGAGGATGTGATTGACAGGAAGAACATTATGGACAAGAGATCCCCTCGACCTTGAAATCCAGGAAAATCAACTCGCAGATCTCCCCTTCCCCCAGCTGGGTCGAGAGACCGTGATATTTTTGACAGTCTGGCAGTGCCCACCAGTTTAAGATCATCTACTCGGCCCCACACTCCAGTTCCATTCCGGGGTGCGTGTTGATGCACCACAAATGCTGCCTGTGCCTGTGGCCATGCGGCTCCCCCCAATAGTCCTCCCAGACGGCCGGCCCATTCCTCTGGTTTTCGCCGTCTCGGCCCTTGAGTGCAATCCCCGGTTTCATCCAGCCATGCGTCGTGGTATATTGCTTGGGAATGTGTGGATTGTGGCGACACCCCCCATAGACTTAGTTTAGTATTTAGAAAAAAAAACAAGAAAAAAGGTTTCCACCTAGAAGTGCTCCTTCCAGAAACGGAAGTCAACCTCCCTAACCGTGGCGGCCTTGCATGCCTTCTTGATATCGCGAGCTGAAAATGTTGTCAGTACAGAGGTCACAGTGAGTACCAAAATGGGGTCGGGATAAACTCACCAGCTGCAGAGGGACCGCAGAAGTACACACCGACGGTCGTCCTCATGCTGCCCTCGAGACCATTCAGGTACGAGCGGTCCAAGATTCCGTCCCTCATCGTGGTGAAGAGCCTGCAGAAGTCGGGCCGACCAAAGTTGGTGCGGGACTTGAGCTCGGTGAGAGGATCCACCTCGGCACCGACCGAGTTCAGCACGATGTTGTTCATGGTGTCCTGGTCCAGCTTCTGTGTCAGGTAGGTGTGGATCTTGAGGAACTCGACGCCGGAGCTGCCGGGGATGCGGGCCGCCTCGGTACTCTGCTGCTCGAGCGACGACAGGAGCGTCTGGAACCACTCGAACGAGTTGGTGTCCTTGCAGATCCACAAGAACTCGACTCGGCGAAGACGGGTTGGCGGGTTCGGGCTGTTGCGCAAGTGCCAAATGTTCTTGAGGATGGCCGCCCAAGGAGTCACGCCGATACCTGTTCCCACCAGCACAGCGATTTCGTTCTCGAACACGTCCTCCGCCGGTGCGCCGTAGGGTCCGTCGATCCGGAGAGCCGGCATCTGCTGACCGTTCTGCAGCGCCACCTCGTACATGCCCATCGGGTCGACGCCCTCGTACAGCTTGGCCTGCGCGCCTCCGGCGCCGACAGCGTCACCGAGCGATCGAGTGAAGTCACCAACCTGACGGACGTGGACAGAGACGTAGGGGTCGTAAGGGCACGAGGTAATGGTGAACGGGTGCCACTGGTACTTGGAGACGGAAGGCAGCTGCAGGAACAGCCACTGACCAGCCTTGTACTTGAACGAGGGCTTCGAGAACTGGATCTCGACGACATCTAGTGAGGTGTTAGCGCAAGGTTTTTGCATTTGAATGACACTAGTCGTAGGGACTTACCGTAAGGGTGGCGGACAACACGAGTGATCTTGGTTGAACGGCGGGCCCTGATCTCACGGTAAAGCCGCTCCGTCAAATAAATTCCACCGCCAAAGAGCTCCCATCTCCAGCCCTGGTAACCAATGCAGTGAGTCCAGAAGATATCCCCGGCGAATGGCGAGAACCCGTTGGCCGAGTCACGCACGAAACAGCCGACTGCGTGCGTGTACAGTCCAAGCATGAAAGGGATGAACAGGTGGTGGGTGTACCAGAAGGTCTCGAACGACTGCTGGCGAATTCTGTGGTGCGCAGTCGTGTACATGAGAAGCATGCAGAGAAGCATGATGTGGCCAGTGATACCGCCAGGTTGAGCGTAGTGGATCTGCAGCGCGAGGACCGGTCGGATTTGCGTTCGCTCGACGTTGAAGAAGCTAGGAGACGAATGAGCGCATGCTTGCGGAGGCCGTCAGGGTAAAGACTTACTTGACGTAATGAGCAGTGACATGGGCAACGGTGAAGAAGAGCATCGCATAAGCGACCTGACGATGGAACCAAAGGTTCTCGTCCAGAGGCAAGAACCTGATCTTGGGCCGAAGCCATCTCACCAGTGTCCGACATACTGGGAGCAAAATGAACAACCCATCGAAACTCAACACGAGACCGGCACCACGCGAAATCCAGACGGAGAACTCGAGCCCATTGAGGCCCGCGAGCCTAGGGTCGGACGCTTGTTTGTACCTGCCTTTCGGTCAGCATCCAGATCACATCCGTGAGCGGGAAGGGAATGAGAGCCATACCATCCAAATCCGAAGAGGAAAAAATGGATGCCCCAAAATATGAAGTAGAAGGACAGTTTCGGAACAGTAAACTGCTTCTTGACCAGCGTGCCGTAGCCCATCTTGAATGCCGTCGAGGTTCCTCCCTCTTCTTTCCCCAACAAAGCGAATTACTTAGTCGACCGGCGACGTATGGGCGGCTCGTTGTCACTTTGGTTGGTGATGACCTCGAAAACGTGTGCGTGTCGTGGCGAGAATTCCAAGCGAGTCGACCCTGAATCCACCTTTCCCTTATTACAATAATCTATACCGGACAAGAGACTCGAACAGACAAGTCGGCTCGATGATGATGATGAATTAAAGAGCGATCTGAGCCAGCAGCGACTGAAAGGAAAGAATGCCAAGGGAAAAAAGGCTCGTGGTAAATGGACAGTACTTTAGCCTGGTGCCGTCGAAGGGGGAGGAGGGAGGTTAAAGGCTGCCGAGACTTTGATAGTGGGCGGAGGGGGTAGTCATAAAGGCCCGAGGGCGAAACACCACGTCCTGTGTGGACCGGGTGACCAATGAGAGCAGTCTAGTCCCAATCCAGAGAGAGCACAGAAACGGCCTATCCCTCTAGATCAGACTCTGGTAGTCTCAATGACCCTGAAATCCAGTGTTCGGATGTCAGTTCGTCCATGAAACGTCTAATCCACTTGCGGATTCCAGCCCTCTTTTGGTCCCATAGATCGAGTCAACGGTAGCAAAGTCGCCCGCCACTGCCGGGTTGACGAGGGTTTTGGGACGAGGTCAGGGCAGAGGCCAGGGCCAAGCCGCAGTCTGGGAGGTGTCCCTGCCGAGGAGGTAGATCAGACGTTGGAAAGGGTTTCGCTTAGGAAAAGGCCCGTGTCAGATGGGACCAAAGACTGGTGCTGTCAGATTGGCAGAGCAATGCGACACACTAGTAGTGGAAGAGTTGAGACGAGCCGTGTTAGAGATGACGAGAACCGGGGGTGCAGCGAGGCTGATCTGGTGTTTCGGCCCGGACCAGGATCCGATGGCACGTAACTCGAGCAGCGGCAGTGATGCGTTGAGGGGGCGTTCAATTGGGGTTATCTGTCAGCAGGCGAATGCAGTCCTTTTCATCATGGTATCGTCGAGGTCGTTGTAAAATGCATCGAGAGAAGTTCACGTTCAGGCTCAGGAGGAGAGAGCGAGATGTTTTCCACCTCCACGGTCGAATCAAGGAGGTCTGGGGTCTGGGCATCGGGCCGCCTAAGAATAGCCACTTGTGCGACCTGCAGAGGTGTGACCACCACGAAGCCGGCGCTTAGGATGGAGAAGTGAGAGGCAAGATTGAGAGCTGCAGGGCCGCCGGGGACAGCTGGGATTCGCCAGAGAGACTGTTGGGACGACTTGACGGCGAGCGCTAAACCCAACCCAGGCGGCCCTCGACCGAGCCTCAACCCAATCAGCACGGCGAGCTTCTCATCACGACAGGGGGCCCATGCGACCCCGTGCCGTGGTGCGGCTTGTGCCCACGGATCAGGGGAGTCCCACATCTTGCACGACGGGGCGTTAGATACTTTGTACCTGAGTGTTAGGCCGGGCTGCCCGGTTCCAACCGCCAGAAACCTTAGTCAAACCTCACCTCCCACGAGCATTCTTCAACAGCCCGCTGTTGGCTGGTAGAGATCTGTGGGTGCTTGGCCGCCCCATCGTCATCGAAACCGGTGCGCAGAAATCGTCGGGAGATACTAGGCTCCAGATCTCGCGACTGTGGTGCAAGTGTAGATCAAATGGTCCTTGCACCGGCCGGGAAGGGCCAGGCAGCACGAGCACTGATGATGGGCAGCGATCGTCGAATGTGTCTGAAATCCGCCGTGTGTGAGGACAGCAACCAAGCAAATCATCCGCCCGCCAAGCAGGCTTGGGAGTGAGGTTGGCCCTCCTGGAGTGGCATCATCAGTATGGCCACATTGTACACAGATCATTCGATTATCATATAAGCCTTGGATCGTCTCCCTCGGATGGAAGAAGGGCCCTCTGCATTCCTCCACCCCTCAGTCGAATCTGTCGAGTTGATACAGGGGTGGTACTCGGAAAGGGTGTGTCCAGCGCAGCATTTGACGGTAGGGTCCCGGCTCGCCCGCCAGAATTTAAGCGTATTTGGAGCCTCAACGCTCCTGCGCAGCGCCATGTCATGCATGCGAGTTTCAAACGGCTGGAGACAACCCCCCTGGCTGCCTGGCTGGGGTAGCCGGCGGGCTGAACGAGCGAGCCATGGTAGAGCACAAACTACAACTTCTCGACGCTAGATGACAAAGTGCCATCCTGCCATTCGTCTGTTGATGGGCGCATGGTTGGGACGCCGCCACCCGCCTTTCCGAGGGGGACAGGAGGAGCGGGTAAAATCGATATCAGACAGGAAGTGCTACAACCCCCCTGCTTGAAATTGCGTGGCGGTGACAGATTTTCGGGGGCAGCAACACTATACTTGCTCGGAAGTAGATGTTCCTGCGAGTGGGGACTAAGATCATCGAGCTCAAGCTCAAGGTCGAAGGCTCTGGCTGGTGTTGGGGGTGCGTCACCTGGGTGCTGTCTGGCTCATAAACATATGGGCCTTTAGAGTTGAGTTTCGAATCGCTGCGAGGAGTAGCGTTACATCAGCCTTGCCCTAAGCTCATGTCCTCGAGTATATATACTGGAACGATTTCCCAGACTAGTCCCAGGTTATGTGGGACAAAGGCGATTTTTTGCATGATGGGCATTTCAGACGTGCCTCCGAATTGTGGAAGATGTGGGCACCGTGGGTGCCAGATAGCGACGATGAAGCACATTGCAGATGGTAGTGCTGGTGTCATCCAACAGTTGAGACTTCGCCTTCGTGGCGTCTCCTGTTGCTTGCACTGAGAATACATTAGGCGTCCCGCGGAAAATGTCCGAGCTGGATCATTCGCAGGCTGATTGTGGTCGTGCTTGTGGCTGCCCCCACTTGCCTGACATCACAACAGGCCGGAGGACGCTTGCGATCGAGGTTGATATCCCTCCGATATTCCATGCAGCTTTATGCCAAAGGAGCGTATAAATAGGACGATATATTATCGACACTTCAATGATTGTTGCTAAGTGACAGACGAGTTGGTGCGGGCCAGATGTCGTCCCAGGAGGGCAGTCCTTTGCGTCTGGGACACGCTGGAGACATGAAGCTTAATTATTTAAGCTTCACGACGGCCGGGGATCTAGCCGGTGACGTCGGACGGGACCCATCTCCAACGGGAGGCATCCGTGCTGCTGACCAGACTACAGTGCCTCGCAGGACGACCGAGTTTTCATCGGCCAGAACGAGTATTTGCCGTGAGCACAGTTCCGTGTTCCTTCCATTGGCATAGCTAATCCGGCGTGATCGCGGTCGTCGTGGGTTCATTTGCGCTCGCTGACTTGCCCAGGCACTGCTCACATAGTCGGTCCGCCTAGTACGGAGGGGCGACGGATTCAACCAGTACGTCTGCCCAAGGGCGGCTGCCAGAACCTCTCGGGAAGTGATTGTAAAAGTCGTCGACTTGACCATTTGGGTTCGTAGCGTGCGTGCAGCGCGCGGCGAGAAGAGGCCCAACGGCATGACGAACGGCCGTGGCGTCGAGTCTCTGCATGAGGCATTATTCATGGACGTCCAGGCAGGCTTGAACGTGGCCGCGGCCCCTCTGTGAGCATGGTGAGCTGGCCGTCAGCATTGAGGCAAAATCCTTGCGCGGCCGAGTGAGGCGCAGTGACTGGTGGTGACTGTGCTTGTCCATGACCTGCTTTTTTTGCCGTGGTTGGGCTTGGGCTTGGTCTTGGGCAGGCAGGCAGTTACGTCAGCGGATCCGCCCACTCATATCGCGTGCATACTGGCGTACAGTCCGACAGCGTAGCTGGAGTGGCCATTTGATTGCGGTAGAGCCTGAGGTGGAGGGCGTCCCTTTTTAGCAAAGTACACTTGGCCATGACTGGAGGCAGGGCGCGGAGCTTCGTCACTGCATACCGTCGGGCTGTTCTGCCAAGCAACCTGATTTCCTCTCCGTGGTAGGCTGTAGGCTGCACCGGCAATCCTCCTTACCGTTGGCACGGGCTACCTGTGTGCAGCAGCTGTTAGTCCGTATTGCGAAACTCGAAACATCTTTCCCGTCCGCCATCCCCCGTCTACGCGGCAATCCCCCACTACGAAATCCCTCGCGACGCCGATCAACCCGACGACGACGACGACGATAAACCACCTCCCTCACCTCCCGAATTGTGCGCCTTGCCTGGCCATCGTCGACCTGGCATCCTCGCAGGCGCAGATCACAATAGACCCATCGCTGCGCGGGCTCGCCTGCCCCTATGTTCGCCCCTGAGTCGTCCCTCACACACCACAGCACATCACCACTCTGTCCACCGCCACATCGTCACGGTCCCTTCCACATCTTAGTCGCCCGCCATGGTAAGAGTCGCCCGAGCGCACTGTCGCTGTTCGCCCACGATGCGCACCCGGTCTTGCTCACACTCACATCGCAGGGTATTACCAACCGCCGAAAGGATAAGGGGGCCAAGCAGGGCGGAGCCGTCGCAGCCGGCGGCGGCCATGCCGGCGCAGGAGGAGCGAAGCCAAAGAAGGCCACCTTCGAGACAACCAAGAAGAAGGAGATCGGCGTATCAGACCTCACACTGCTCAGCAAGGTCTCCAACGAGGCTATCAACGAGAACTTGAAGAAGAGATTCGAGGGTGCCGAGATCTACACATACATCGGCCATGTGCTGGTTTCCGTCAACCCCTTCCGCGACCTCGGCATCTATACCGACCAGGTCCTCGAGAGCTACAAGGGCAAGAACCGTCTCGAGGTGCCCCCACACGTCTTCGCCATCGCCGAGTCTGCATACTACAACCTCAAGGCATACCATGACAACCAGTGCGTCATCATCTCGGGCGAGTCCGGTGCCGGCAAGACAGAGGCCGCGAAGCGCATCATGCAGTACATCGCGAACGTGTCGGGAGGCGAGTCGGGCGACGTCAAGCAGATCAAGGACATGGTGCTGGCAACCAACCCCCTGCTGGAGTCCTTCGGAAATGCCAAAACCCTGCGGAATAACAACTCCTCACGTTTCGGCAAGTACCTGCAGATGCATTTCAACGCCCAGGGCGAGCCCATCGGCGCCGACATCACCAATTACCTGCTCGAGAAATCCCGAGTCGTCGGCCAGATCCAAAACGAGCGGAACTTTCACATTTTCTACCAGTTCGCCAAGGGCGCATCCCAGCACCAGAGGGAGATCTTCGGTGTACAAAAGCCAGAAACATATCTCTACACAAGCAGGTCCAAGTGCCTCGATGTTGACGGAATCGACGATCTGGCCGAGTTCCAAGAAACGCTGAACGCAATGAACCTGATCGGCCTGTCCCAAGGGGAGCAAGACAACATCTTCAGGATGCTGTCTGCGATCTTGTGGACTGGCAACCTGGTTTTCAAGGAAGACGACGATGGTTATGCGGCCGTGTCTGACTCGTCCGTCGTCGACTTCTTAGCATACCTGCTCGAGGTCGACCCCCAATCACTCATCAAGGCCATCACCATTCGTGTCTTGACGCCGAGAAACGGCGAGGTCATCGAGTCACCCGCCAACATTGCGCAAGCAACGGCCACCCGTGACGCCCTGGCCAAGGCGATATACTACAACCTGTTCGACTGGATCGTAGAGAGAGTCAACCAGTCGCTGAAGGCCAGGCAGCCAACAACGAACTCAATCGGGATTCTGGATATCTACGGTTTTGAGATTTTCGAGAAGAACAGCTTTGAACAACTCTGCATCAACTATGTCAACGAGAAGCTGCAGCAGATCTTCATCCAGTTGACGCTCAAGGCGGAACAGGAGGAGTACGCCCGGGAGCAGATCAAGTGGACGCCCATCTCTTACTTCGACAACAAGGTTGTGTGTGACTTGATCGAGCAGGTCCGCCCGGTGGGCATTTTCTCCGCCATGAAAGACGCCACCAAGACTGCGCACGCCGATCCGGCTGCTTGTGATCGGACCTTCATGCAGAGCATCAACGGCATGTCGAATGCCCATCTGACGCCGCGTCAAGGCAGCTTCATCATTAGGCATTATGCTGGTGATGTGAGCTACACGGTCGATGGCATTACGGACAAGTGCAAGGATCAGCTGCTCAAGGGAGTCCAGAACCTCTTCCAGATCAGTCAAAACAAGTTCATCCACACGCTCTTCCCGCACCAAGTCGACACCGATAACAGGAAACAACCGCCATCTGCCGGTGACAGGATTCGAACTTCGGCAAATGCCCTTGTCGAAACGCTCATGAAGTGCCAGCCATCCTACATCCGAACCATCAAGCCGAACGAGAACAAATCTCCGACCGAGTACAATGTGCCAAACGTGCTCCATCAGATCAAGTACCTAGGTCTTCAAGAGAACGTGAGAATCCGTCGGGCTGGTTTCGCATACCGTCAGTCTTTCGAGAAGTTTGTTGATCGGTTCTTCCTGCTGTCCCCTGCAACATCATATGCAGGAGAGTACACGTGGACTGGTTCGTACGATGCGGCTGTGAAGCAAATCCTGAAGGACACCAGTATCCCGCAGGAAGAGTGGCAGCTTGGTGTAACAAAGGCTTTCGTCAAGTCTCCGGAGACTCTGTTTGCTCTGGAACATATGAGGGATCGGTACTGGCACAACATGGCAACTCGCATTCAGCGAATGTGGCGAGCATACCTCGCATACAGGGCTGAGTCGGCCACACGTATCCAGCGATTCTGGCGCAAGAAGCGTACGGGCGCTGAGTATTTGCAGCTGAGGGATGACGGGCATCGCGTCCTCCAGGGCCGCAAGGAAAGGCGACGCATGAGTCTACTGGGGTCTCGACGATTCCTGGGTGATTATCTGGGTATCAACGCAACCACCGGGCCTGGAAGCCAAGTGCGCAATGCTATTGGGCTGGGAAGCAATGAGAAAGCGGTTTTCTCGTGCCGCGGTGAACTTTTGGAGGCCAAGTTTGGCCGCTCAAGCAAACCGAGTCCCAGGATCATCATTGTTACGAACAGCAAGTATTACACCGTGTCTCAGATGCTCGCCAACAACCAGGTCCAGATTGTTGTCGAACGAGCGATTCCTTTGGGGGCCATCAAATTCGTCGGCGCCTCAACTGCCCGCGATGACTGGTTCTCGCTCGGAGTTGGGTCACAACAGGAGGCGGACCCACTCATGAACTGTGTCTTCAAGACGGAAATGTTCACTCAAATGCAACGGGTCATGCCGGCTGGCTTCAACTTGAAAATGGGGGAGACAATTGAGTATGCCAAAAAGCCGGGCAAGTTGCAGCAGGTCAAGGTCCTCAAGGACTCCCCCTCGCCGGCGGACTTCTACAAGAGCGGTGCGGTGCACACGCAGCCGGGCGAGCCACCAAACTCAGGGTCAAGACCCATGCCAAAAGCCAAACCGGTGCCGCCGAGGCCCATAACAAAGGGCAAACTCATCAAGCCTGGCGGGCCCAACGGCCGGCCGTCAAGAGCCACAGGAAACCGAACGCCTCAGCCCCGACCCCGGAGCCGGGGCGGCGGCAGCTCCACGAGCGGTGCCCAATCCTACACCAAGGCCCGTTCCGAAACCCATACCTGCTCCCGTCACCATCCCTTCGCATACCCGAAACCAGTCTGCTGCTTCCGCAACTCGTGTACCGCCTCCTCCACCTCCACCTGCCGCACCCCCGGCTAGGGCGAGGATCATGGCCAAGGTCCTGTATGATTTTGCCGGCCAAAGGGAGAACGAATTGACAATCAAAGCGGGCGACATGATCGAGGTTGTCCAGAAGGAGACCAATGGTGAGGCCTTTTTTTTATCTAACCTTCTCGTAGCTCGGTCCTGAAATTGAGCGCATGGCTGACTCTGAACAGGATGGTGGCTAGCAAAGAACGGAGACGGCCAGGCATGGGTGCCGGCAGCCTACGTGGAGGAACAAGCACCAGCACCAGCACCGAGGGCCCCGCCGCCGCCCCCTGTCGCAAACGGCAGGGCCAAGCCGGCCGCGCCCCAGCCCCCGGCCAAGCGACCCGCGGCAGGGCGCAAGCCGGCACCACCACCGCAGCCGCGCGACTCGGGCATGAGTCTCAACGGCGGCTCGGACAGCAGCCGGAGCAACACGCCCACGCCGAGCCTGGCGGGCAGCCTGGCGGACGCACTGCTGGCGAGGAAGAATGCGATGGCCAAGAAGGAGGATGACGACGACTGGTGAGCGCGCTATCAACCAAATGGGAATGAAGAAGCCGTTTCTAGTTGTCCAACGCCGTGGATGAGGGGTTGGTGCGTGATGGGTTTGGTTCGTTTCAGTGCATAGCCCTGGTTTTGCTCTCGCCTCGTAAGGCGAGGATAGAATGGCGATGATGGCAGGGGGCAATCCGCTTTGCCCGCGCTCTTGTTTGTTCGATAGACGGGTGGGCCGGCTAGGTCTGGCCCCGCCCGGTGTTTTGAAGTACCAAGAGGCGCAGTATTGATTGACATGGTATATATTGAAGAAAGATATCACCTAAGCATCCTTCTGATTGTTGGACAAGTGATCTTGGGAGTTGTGTAGGTTTCGCAAACCATGTCTGTAGGCAGTCCTTCCATCAACTACTGATGAGAGTGAGCTCAAGCCCTCTACAAGTCATATTGGCGGCGTGGATCAGACCCCAACTGATTGGAGAGCTACAATTTGCGAGCATCCACAGACAGCGTGTAAAGATGCCTCATATCATTGGATTTGACCAGGCATCTATAATTGGCTCGCTCTATCTATCCTTACCGTAGGCCTTTCTCCTACGGAGTAGCTCGCCAAGGGGCACATCTTCATCGTCATCCTCGACGTCCTCGTCCACGCCAAAGTCGCGCAGACGATCGCCCTCCGAGTTCGTCCATCCCGGCTCGCCATCGAATCCCCGCTCGTAGTAGCCCTGGCCGGGTATCACAGGGACCGCCTTGTCCGGGGTGTCTTCTCCGTCCTCGTCCTCGTCGTCGTCGTAGTAACCACCACTGCCGGCGCTGTCGTCATCGACGTAGTCATACCCGAGGTCCTCGATCTCCTCGTCCTCACCCAGCTCGGCGATGACGCCCGAAGTGCCCCTCCGCCGGCGCAGGTCCATCTCCTGCCGCGCGCGGAAGGCGGCCATCTCCTCCTGCGGGCTCGTCCACCTCTTGTCGACGCGTTCCGCCTCCTGCCGCGCGGCCTCGGACCCGGGCCAGCCCTTGGCGCCGCCCTCGGCCGCTCGGCGTAGCTTCTCCGGGTCGGCGGGCGGCCACATGCCCTCGCGGTCGTTGAAGCCGTTCTCCTCCCACTCCCAGCCCGTGCCCTTGCCCACCTCCTTCGAGACAGTCGGGGCCCCGCCGATGAAGGGGTCGAGCCACGTCAGCACGTTCCTGGTGCCCATGGCCTGCGCCATGTTGGCGAAGAAGCCGATGTCGTACGGAAACTCGACACGCTCGATCTTGACCCTGCCGCCGTCGCCGCCGGACCACCACCCGGCCCTCCTGGACCGCAGCAGCACCGCGTCGTGCCTCTCCTGCTCCCAGCCCTCGATCATGGTCATGTTGAGCGCCCACCCGCGCACGGTGGTGACAAGCAGGATCAGCAGCGCGAACGAGACCAGCCCGCCCACGATGGCCAGCAGCACCAGGTGGACCAGGGCGGGGACGCTGGGCCCCAGGTATGAGGGCAGCGCCGAGTTGTCCCAGAAGATGAGGCGCAGGCGCGGGTACAGCAGCCACCAGAGCAAGTACGCCAGCGCGGCGTTGGTGTAGACCAGGAAGCGCAGGAAGTAGGGGAAGGTCTGCAGGGAGACGCAGTTGTTGGTCCAGGGGCAGTGGTGGTCCATCTTGGGGATGCACGTCTTGCAGAGGCGGCAGTGGTGCGCGCGCAGCGGCTTGGGCGCGTCGCACTTCTTGCACCAGCGCGTCGTCGTCGTCGCCTTGGTGTCTAGCTCGGGCTGGGGCGTGTCGGCTGTTTCGTTCGAAGGTTTCTCGCCGTCTTTGCTCGTCAGTTTTGGTTTATCGGGCTTCTTGGGTGTTTCTGGAGGCGGTGGGAAGTCATAGCGCCCGGGAGGCACGGTGCAGGCCTTGTAGTATGTCAACCACAGGCAAAGGAGGAGGATGTTGAATATGGCCGTCTCCCTCTGCGTCAGTGGGCCGGGCTCGAGGTTCTCTGCCGCGTTGAAAAGCCATTGTGACGTGTAGCCCAGGAAGAAGACCAGAAGACAGACGGCGGGGACGAAGAGGGACTGGTAGTCAGTGGAGGCCGGACCTGTGAGTAGGCCAGCCATGGTTCGTATTCAAAGAGAGGCAGGGCGGGATGGGAGGAGAGCGTTGGGGGCTTGTCAACAGGTCAACATGGCCGTTGTGAACAGGGCCCTCGCTGTCAGATGCCTGGTTTGGGAATGCCCAATCAGTGTTGGACCATTGAGGAGGAATTTGAAGTAAGGTAATGGAAGAGAAAATGAGCATGGCGTGCCCAGTTTGGCGGCTCGTATTAACTCGAGGTCGACATGGTGCAAGCAGGTGGTCCGGTCTGCTTGTCAGCCGTGCATGCATTGTGGTTGGAAATCAGCCTTCCGCGCCGCCCGTTCAGGAGACGCGACGTCAGTTTTTGGCAACTCGAAGACCCCCTGCTTGGAGGCAGGGGCCAACCGCGGCTGACTTGAACGACAAAGGCAATACGTCGAATGACCCCGTATTGATCGGTCAATACATCTACATCATGCACGTATCCAAAGCCTTTATGAAGTGCCTATTGAAAAGAAAACTTGTACGGCCTGATCAAGGTCTAGTCAGGCATTTGTAGTGGTCTTGATATCGGTATCGCATAATGTCCTACAGGAGGTCATTTTACTCTGTAGGTGGTGTGTACAGTACCTATTTTCTTAGGGCGGCTGTCCCACTGAAAGCCCATGAAGGTCAACTTAAACATCAACCTCTGGGGCCCCTGCCGGCTGTCCAGACATTTGGGTTATAAGATAGTCCTTTTAGGTTCAGCAGGGCGTCAGTTTGGCTGCAAAATTGAGATGCCCTCTCGAAAGACAAGACGCCAAATCTGGACAGGAGAGGACCCTGCCGCTCGAGACCTGGGTTCGCTGACGTAACCAGGCGGTGATTGCTCTAATGCGACTTCTGGCAAGTCAGTCTCCAATGTCGAACCCTTCCTGAGACCTGCAAAGCCACCGGCATACCTTCGTTTTGTCGCTGAGCTGGCATTCAAGCTCATTTATGTTACGATTGACATGGCATCAGCTCAGACCTACTTTTGACGCTCATTTGTCTGTCTGTGTTGACCCGTAGAGGCCGGATGTGACGGCCTCAGGATTGCGGCTACCCCTTTCTTTTCCCAGGGTTAGCACCAGAGAAGCTTCCAATTCCTCGTCCCCGAGCACATCTCAAGCGCCAACTAGATGGAACATGGCCGAACCCTCTCAACTTGCGCTTCTATGGTGAGTATCTCAGCGCACTCCAGGTGTAGTACTGGTCCATCTGACAAGAACGCAGCGCCCTCACATCCTTCTTCTACCTTTATGACAACATCGGCCGGCATCCCCTGCTTGGTATGATCTCGTAGCTGTGGCTTGTAGCATCTTGGCATGCCATTCTAACTGGTGTCCCAGAGCGACCTCGAATCTCCGAGGTGCTGATATGTTTGATCTCTGGTCTCGTGACATTGGCTGTCAGCTTTGTCTCCAGGTGGCTGCCGGGGACCAATGGCCGGTTTGGTACACAAATCTATCAAGTGAACAATGGTGTTGCTCCCGGCTGACCAATTGCCTAGATAATGATATCGCCTACTCAAAGATTGGGGCACACGAACAGTCGGGGCATCACAGTAGGCCTCGCAGGTACTTCTGGCCTCTGTTGCTCGTTCTCATCGCCCTCCGTCTGGAATTGTCCCGATGGCTTCAATTTCGCCTCTTATGCAATAAACCGGGCGTCGAGGTCAGTGTGCGATCCATCACCTGCTGGATCCTGGGCTAATCTTCTCAGTGTCTGTTGCCTGTCCTGCTTGCAATCTACGATTCGTTCAACACCAGGAAACGAAGGCCAGAGAAGGATCACGGCGACGATGACTACGACGACATGGGGAACGATGCCTTTGAGGACATAGCATTCTGGTTCATGAACTCAAAAATCGTCCAACTCACAGGAGCTTCACTCCTCAGCTACGGCGCCTTCTCGATACTTCAACCGAGCATGCAGTTGAGTGCCTTCTGCCCAGAGTCGGAGAACAAAACGACCATTCTCGCCCTACAGTACCTGGGGGTCTTCCTTGACGCCGCAATTCTCATCCTCGGCTGGCGGATACTCACTTCGAGCCGTACAACGACGAAAAGACTCAGAAGTCTCAGTGCAATACTGGTATCGTCTTCAGTCCTCATTTCCCTGGTCGTTCTTGTGCCCAGTCTCATAAGTTATCGGCTCAGAGGATACTTCCACTTCGCCGAGATGTACGGTGTGGATTCTCTCTACTTCTTTGACGTCTTCAATGATGCTATGGTCTTCTCATTTCTGTTCATTTCTTTTTCTCTGTTCACATGCCAGGCTTCCCCATTGGCATCGACTGGTATTGTTGCTTTCCTCTGTGGAGCGCAGGCGACTTATGGGAGGTTGAGCTTGCTCGGTACTTACGAGCAGCTCTCTCGATCGGGTATTGTCCTGCCGCTCTACGCCTTATGCTTCGGCTTTGCCATCTTCATATTTCGAAACCAAGTCCGCCTCGTCCTTCACAGCGGGATCCTAGCCTTTCTCCTACTCGCCGCAATCATCGGCATTTCCTTCTATTGCCTCCTAGCGAACAACATTCTGGCTCGACACCCCTTGGATACGCTCATCTACCAATCGAGGACCAGCGCAGATCGCTGGGTGGTACAAGCTTCAACGAGCCAGAGTGTGAGGGTTGCGGTTGACGAATACCGTGAGCGTCACTCGGGTCGCAGTCCGCCTCTCGGCTTCGACGTCTGGTTTGAATACGCCAAAGCGAGAGGTTCCGTGGTCCTTGATCACTTCCAGCAGATTGAGGATGACATTCTGCCGTTCTGGGGCCTCAGTCCCAGCAAGATTCGGGGGGATATCACCCAGCTTGGGACAAACAGAGACATTGGCCTTGTCAGCCTACGGAAGGGTGTCGCCACCCACCAGCCAGCGGTCGACTCGTCCAACGATGCCGTGATGGATGACTTGGTTGGCCTCATCCAACCGTTTGCGCAGCACTTACAAGACATGGATCTGCCCATTAACTTGCTGGACCGTCCAAGGGTGCTCGCGACCTGGTCGGACAGGAACAGGTTTCGAAAAGGCGGGACAGTTAAAAACTTGCTCGCCCCTGGATTGGCCAAGAGGGACGGCGACCAGGCATCTCCTGCCGACGACGGGGCGAAGCAAGAAAGCGGCAAGGATGCACAGGATCTTCAGAACAGATTGAAAGACAGGCAATTCTCGACAGCCTGGGAACACCAGCGGAACTTGGGCCAAGCTTGTCCTCCTGGTTCGTTGTCGAGGTCAGGATTCTATTCAAATAACCGAGACTTCTGCTCTCACTGTGTCGACGTTCACGCGAGAGGGCAGTTTCTTTCAGACTGGAGTTTGGCGCAAGATCTCTGCCACCAGCCAGACATGTTCAACTTGCATGGCTTTTACATGAGCGAACTGCCGCTGAAGCCCTTCAGCGAGCTCGTGCCCATGTTCAGCCGATCGAAGACGGACCGATTCAGCGACATACTCATTCCTTTGAGCAGAGGCGACGACACATACAGCACTGATAGCAAGGAGAAGTCACTTGTGAACAAGGAAGCACGGCTCTTCTGGCGTGGCGATGTCGGTACCGACTTCGGTATGGTGCCGCCTCGGCTGCTTAGCGGTGGCCATCAGGAGCGCCTGAGCCACTTGGCCAACAACGCCACTGCAACGGAGTATGTCACGATGTGTCTTGCCATCCCGGGAGACAAGGAGAAGTTCCGGTACGAGAGGGTACCGCTGACCGAGCTAATCTCTGCGCTAAAGCTTGACGCCGGCATCAGTGACTACTCCACATGCCTGAGCCCCGAGTGTGCCGCAGCGAAGAGGGAATTCGGCTTCAAGGCGAAGGACGAGGACGACAAGGAGAGGATGAACAGCCGGTACATCCTGGTCATGGATAGCGACGAAGGCCCACCGCGGGACTTCTTGAAGATCCTGAGGTCCGAGAGCGTCCCCTTTGTGGCCTCGGTATTCAAGGTACACCCTCCCCTTCTTCGTCTCCCTGGCGAAAGCTCCAACCCCCCCCCCCCCCCGGGGGGGCCCAATGACCACCACCCCACTAAATATTCACCGTGCTGACACAAACTCCGCCCTTCAGGAATGGTACAGCGAACGCCTCATGCCGTGGCTACACTTTGTCCCCGTGGACCTCCGCTTCCACGCGCTGCACAGCACCCTCGCTTACTTCACGGGACTGCAGGGCAAGGGGCTGATCAACGGGCGAGACGTCCCGATGCAGTCGCGCGTCGATAACGCCAAGTGGATCGCGCAGGAGGGCAAGAAGTGGGCGGCCAAGGTTGCCCGCAAGGAGGACGCGGAGGTCTACCTGTTCCGGCTGCTTCTTGAGTGGGGCAGGGTGGTTAATGACAAGCGGGACGAGATGGCATTCGAGTTGGGTGGGAAGGCTGCGAAGGCCATGGGGAAGTAAAGGGACTGGGTTCATGGCTTCGGCGTAAGCCTACGATGAGATATCTTAAGCCGTGGGATAGTAATGGCTGGTCTATGCCACGACTGTGGATTTTGGATTAATTTCGCTCCAGTTACTGGCAGAATAGGCCAGTCACGAAGGTGTTGGAGGGTAGAGGGGATTGCCCTTCGTGTAGCAAAATTGTGGTGACGGCGTTTGGAAATTAGAATGAGCAAGGTATTGTCTTGAGATCATGGAGGCATGGGATGCATTTCACTCGGGCAATGGATGGAGTTCTTGGATGGTTGTACTGAACAGCTCTTGCGGAGAGCTGGGATCGCAGAGGTCTGCCAGGTACCCACTTGGTACATGTGAAAGGCTCTTGCAGGATATAATCGTATTGGATGCCGTGCATAAGAGAGCGTTTCTTACTCGAGGATAGGGTTTTCTTTTTGACTGGCACACCCGGATATGTAGTGTCATTAAAATTAACCAACGTACTTAGACGACCGCAGCCGCCCAATCGATTTACACCACCTCGACCATGTCAACAAACACACTCAGGAAGATGGAGCCAGAACATGTAAGGGACCGAATTCACCGAGATTTCATGAGGGATCATAGCCAGCCATGGAGAAGTTACACATTAGATCTCGTTTTCCCTCCACTGCATCACTCAGACAAGCCACCCTTGCCCTGCCGCGAAACGCCAGAGGAGCTCGAGGTTGCCACCAGGCAGTTCTCAACCGGCATACGGGAGCTGTTTGAAGGCCTGGAATCTCTTCAATTCTACATCGAGTGGCAGAAAAGGAGAACGGAAGGACGCGAGCCGCTGATCCACCCTGACGGCCTGGACCTGACAATCAGGATTCACGGGCAGCCCATCTCAGTCCCCTACGATGAGGAACCCCTCTCGTGCCTGCACCGCGTCTACCACTCGCGCCGCCTCCGCCTGCTCCCAGGCGACCTGGCCGCACTCCCGCGCCTGCAGTGGATCACCGGGCTCACCATAGAACCCGCCATAGAATATGACGACGAGGCCATGACACACTTCGCCGGGGTCCGACCCGTCTCCCCCCTCGCGCCCCTCCAGCTCGCCGCCCGCCTCCCCGCCCTGCGCGAGCTGCGCTGCCCCTGGCTCTGGGAGCGCGGTCCCGCCGCCTTCGCGCCGCACGCCGAGCCGCACATGTGGGACCTCCCCGCGCCGATGGCGCACTATGCGCGCGTGTGGGAGGGCCCGTGGCGCGACTCGCGGCACGAGTTCGGCGACACGGCGTTTCCCGCGCTGGTGGGAGGGCTGCCGGCTGCGCTGAAGAGGGCGCGGCTGTGGTTCTGGCGGGCGGGTGGGCTCCCGGACGACGACCAGGTCGCGCGCATGCCGGACCTGGTTTGCCCGGCTGTGGTGGACCCCGTCTCGGTTGGCCTGCGGGTGCTTGCGGCGCGCCTTGAGGTGTTGGATTTGCGCGCCATGGTGACGCCGGACCTCTTTTCCTCCGCTGGACAGACGCCGTGGTCGAGTATGAAGCGCTTGCGCGTCGAGTTTCACCCCTGCCGGCCTGACGGGGGCTGGTATTTTGTCGGGCCGCGCGGGGAGGATCCGGATCCTGAGGGTTTCGAGATGGGAAGCGAGCATTACCCGCCTGCTTTCAAGACGAAGGAGGATGAGGAGGTCGACGAGGACTATTACGACGACGTGTCTGGCTTTGGCAAGGGCTATGAGCACGATGCCCGTAAACACGACCTTTTCCGCATAGAACCCGTGACAGAGAAGGTCGAACCGCTGCTGGCGGCCTTTGGAGAGGCGCTGAGAAGTATGGCCAGCCTGGAGGGAGCGGAACTGTTTGCTTGGCTCACGTGGCAGCCGTCTGAGGAGAGGGCGCAGGAGTATGGGGGTGATGATTTATACGATGACAACAGGCGAAGCTGGAAGTGGGGGGCCAGATATGTTCCTGCAAAGGATGGTGCGAAGGGACGAGTAGAGTGGCAGGTCGGGGATTGGAGACTACAGGAGAATATCATCACGTTGTTCAAGTCTCTGGGAGGTGACAGTGAAATTGGGGTCATGTGGAAACCATTTGACAAGAAGGACGGGAGAGAGACCTGGGAGGAGGATGAATTGTGGCAGTGGCTAATTCTCAGGCAAACTTGGTCACGCTGTCAACTCTTGGAGCACTCGCACAGTTCATGAATTTGACTTGACTTCGTGCGCATGATGACTTGAGCGATTACTGCAGTTAGATGTCAGCGCAAACAGCTCCGGCATTTCACCAACTACCAAGATCTACTAGCTATTCGGATACAGACAAGAAAGCATGGTCCGTCCAACCCATCCTACGAATTTGAATCTTCGCAGACTCCAGCACCCTCCCCTTGATATTGTCGTCCTCGATATCCTGCCCCATGAAAGCGCCGTGCGTGCTTCGGAAATCATGTTTGCCCAGGACATCCCACATTCCTGAGATCTCGTCCGGCGACAGGGGGATGAAGTTGGGGATGCTCCACATGAAGGCAAACGAGTTCGCGCCCTCTGGCCGGCCCAGGTGGCCCTCGCGCCTGTTACCGACGGCGTCCGTCTCCCAGCTGCCGATGCCTGACGGCGTGGTCAGGAGGGTGTCGGCGACGAGGAGGTGCCTGTCGAAGAGCAGCACCAGGCTGCCGGGGAAGTGGCCGCCCAGCTTGAGGGCGATGGCGCCGGTATCCTTGCCCGAGACCGTGACCTGCTGCTCCGTAGTGCCAGGTTCCAGGAAGATCTGGCGCGAGGGGTCCGTCAGGGCCAGCCACTGCTTGTCCTCGGCGGCGAGGTAGACGCTGCAGTTGAAGGCACGGGCCCACTGGAGGTGGGTGGAGTAGTAATGCGGGTGGGAGATGACGATGGCCTTGAGCCCGCCTAGTTTGTTGATCTCATCGATGGTAGCCGCATCCAGGAGGGTAATGCAGTCCCAGAGGATATTGCCGGCGGGTGTCCTGATGAGGACGCAGCGCTGGCCGATTGCGAACTTTGGGGTGGTGTAGATGAAGGTCAGGCGGTCGTCCTTGTCGTAGCGGCGGAAGACATTCTTGTAGGCCGCGAGGGACGAGACCATGCTGCCCAGCGTGGTGAAGCTCTGGCCCGAGGGCGGGGTGAACTGCCTGGGGTCGTCGCATATGAAGCATCGTGACTGTTGCTGGCGGTCTGCGGTGGGATACTGGGTGCCGCAAGCCGTGCAGATGAGCCAGTCCTTGGTGTCTGGGGAGGCCATCCTGTCTGATATGAACGAATGGGTGGGATGGGAGAGAGAGTGAGGATGAGATCAACTGTACAAATCCAACGACCACTTGATCGTACTGGGCCGGGGTCTAAGTCAATGTTGTTGAGCCACTCTCGTAAGTGGGGGATCTCAAGATGTTACAGTACGATGACAGTTCCTGGCATGCTCTAGACCAGACTACCTAGGTACATGGACATGACGACCGTTTGTTCCGGTCCAGCCGATCAACAGGCAAGGTTGATCAGTCAACCAAGCAGCCAAGCAGCCAAGCTACTGTACTCGTACTCTAGTAGAATAGTAGTAGAATCGATGTCGTCCCGTTGCAGTCAGTGCGGGCTCACGGTTGGGGTAGACGAACTGGTGTGGGGCCACAGGTGGGTCTGCCGATCAGCGGCCCGGTAGCACTCGGGTGTCTCGCGCTTTTCACCGTCGAGCTACTCGCAGTGGCCAAAGCTCGACCCGCCCCGTCATCAACCATCACCAACTCAGGCCCAGCCAGCCTTACGTGCTCTGCTGCAGGGCACCCCATCACCACCCCAGATGGGTCAATAATCGATCGAGCTAACGACCTTGTACATCCACACATACGCCTTGGTCTCACACTGTCTATCTCTCTGCCCACCTCGACCACCATGATCGTCGGTCAGCCGCCATGGACGTGTCAAGCTCTTCCGCCGCGACCTTGACGCGACCAAGGGTTGTCATCCAGGTGCTCGCCGGAGTCACAGGTGTCTTCATCGCCTGGCAGTTCTGGCAACAGTTCCGCCTGCAGCCTGCGACCTCGTCCTCAGCTTCAGCCTCGGCCTCTGGAGGCGGCAGTGGTCTGCACAGGAGCAATGCCGTTCGCAGGACAGAGCGCAGCACAAGACGCCAGATCCAGGCCGCATTGGATGATGTCGAACACCACCTTGGAGCCGACGAGAGGGAACAGATCGAGCACATCCTCAACTATCACTTCGGCAGACAGCTCGCCGACCACCCAGGCCCAGCCTCCGGCCCCGACGACTCAGAATCCCCCGATCACGACACACTTCACGATGAAAACGCCGAAAACACAAATTCCCGCCCGCCAGCGACCCCCGGCGACGTTGGAGGTGAAGCAGACACCGTGGCTGGCGAGGAGCGCACAATGGAGGACGACTGGCCCCACGATGATGCGTGGAACCTCCCACCGCCAAGAGCAGGACACAACATAGTGGGCCTTCTCTTCAGGGTCTCCGAAGACAACGCTCGAAGGAATGCCTACGTCCACCGAGGCTGCATGTGCAACTCGTGCGGGCTCCTGCCCATCCGCGGAATCCGCTACCGGTGTGCAAACTGCGCCGACTTTGACCTCTGCGAGACGTGCGAATCACAGGGCCTTCACATCAAGACACACGTCTTCTACAAAGTCAAAGTCCCCGCCCCTCCCTTTGGCCCCAAGTCCATGCAGCCCGTCTGGTACCCTGGTGACCCAGACACGGCTCTGAGAAACTTGCCTGGTGCTCTGATCAGGCATCTCGCAAAGGAAACGGGCTTTGAGCGGCCAGAACTTGAGGCATTGTGGGAGCAATGGACCTTCATCGCCAACACGGAATGGAGGGATGACCCAGATGAGCTGTGCTTGGCCGCTGACAGGAAGACGTTCGAGCGATATCTTGTGCCCTCGAGTGGTCACAGACGGACTGCCCCGAACCTCATCCACGACCGCATGTTCGCTTTCTACGACACCAATGGCGATGACTTGATCAGCTTCCCGGAGTTCCTGATGGGTTTGTCCTACAAAAAAGGCAAGCAGAGACTCGAGCGAATTTTTAAAGGCTACGACGTCGATGGAGACGGATACATATCTCGACGAGACTGCTTGCGCATATTCCGGACCTATTATGTGCTCTACAAGCACATGCACGGCGATGTCCTGGAGGGCCTGGACCAGCAAGTTATGAACAACACCGACACCCAGCAGCTGGTGACAGGCAGACAGCCACTAAGCAGTCACTTCGGCCGCGAGGGCAGAGTTCCCGAAGCCGACCATGGCCGTCCTATGGAAGGCAAAATCTTCCATGGCAACGGGGATGTCTGGGTCAACGACAAGAACGGCGTGGTGAACGAGACGAGACCAGATGTTGGTGACCGCGGCGAGATTCTGTCGAGTCTTTTCAACCACGCTGGCCCAAGCGACGATGCGTACGGCCGCAGATTCTTCACGCCTGCTTCTGAACACGTAACGTCACCCACGGGAGACGAAGACGTATCGCGCATCTACCACGAGGCTCTCTTGAACCCTCCGACAAGAGTCGAAGAGCTCGTGTCTCTCTTGCACGGCGAACCGCGCAACATCCAGCCAAGCGAGCTAGCCCCTGTCGATCAAGACGAGCAGCATGACGGTGAAGAAAACGGTGAAGAGAACGTGCCTAGTGAGGAAGAGACGTCGGCGGAGGAGGAGGAAGAGGAGTCTGCAACGGAAGACGTCAGCCGCCCCGTTGACTACTTTCCATCTTTCGCGGACGCGTCTCGCGGAAGCTCCTCCGTTCCCCAAGTGGTCAGAGACGTCGGCAGCGAGCGGTGGACTAATCGCCCACCCACTGATAGCCAGCTACGCGCACAGCATCTTCGCCTAGAGGCTCACAAGAAGCGGACAATGGATAGGAAGCTCAGAGTCACAGTGAGGAAAAAGCTGTTCGACAGGTGGAAGAAACGCAACTTTTACCTGTCCGAAGAGGAAGGAACCACCCCGCCAGAGGGATGGAATGAAGAAGACGACGTCCTCGCGGACATAAATGGCACTGAGGCAGCAGGGAGCTCAAAGGAAGGACAGCCCCCACTATCTGCTCGGTCACGGTCGTCGTCCAAGGTTCGCTTTGCCGAAGACACCGATGACTATGAAATCAGATCCAACCCGTCGACATCCTCCAGGAGTGTCCCTGAACGATGGGGTGGCATGGAGATACCCGATGCCGAGAGGGACATGGGCAAGGAGATTCTTTACGTCGTCACACAACAGGCGTTCAACGAGCTTCTTGATGTTCTATTCAAGGAAAAGGAAGACCTCGCCGTCAAAGCTGCAGAAACCAGGGAATACCGAGAGGCATACCGGGATCTGCTCGACTCTTTTGATCAAGACAAGGGCAAGGACTCGTCGCAGCATCAAGACGAGAACCGCAATGGAAGTGAGGAGCAAAGGGGGAAGGCAAAGGAGCATGACGACGAGCCCGAGAAGGTCACAATCATCGAAGTCGACGAGAAGAAGCCGATCCAGGATAGAACCCTGGATGAGCTACTCGCCACCTCGGGATACTCCGTTGACGAGACACTGGCTTTCAAGGCCGAAGAGGAGGACGAGGAAGAAACCACTTCCGACGACGACGATGAATCAGTTGAGGCGTCATCCATAGCCGACGAGCAAGAGCCCAGCACCAGCGACACCTCCTACCACGACCCGACGATGCCTCAGTTCCGGCCCAACAGCGACGCGGACGTCCCGCCGCCTGCCGCAGCGACGGCCTCAGCCCACCACCCCAAGCCGGCCCTTAAGAGCCGGCGGCCAGGCAAGCTCCGAATCATCAACGGCAGCGCCGGCAACACGCCCGCCGGCCCAGCAGGAAGGCGTCCAAGCCGCTGACCAGGCCGCCCGAGGCGGCGCTGATGGAGTGGCGGAAGCACGACGCGGCCGAGAAGGAGGCCAAGGCGCGCGGAGGCTGGGGCCGGCTGGACCTGGCCGAGTTCAAGGACATCTGGCACCGCGAGGAGAGCGGCCCGCACCGGCTGGACTACATGGGGACGTGGATCGACTTTTGTATACCTTAGATGGGCTACGCGCGGTGGTTCATGGGGACACCCAGGGGCCATCCTGTTGGTGACGACGATGATGATAGTGACGGGGATTGGGAGACCGACGACGATGACGATGACGACGACGATGACTACGAGAGCGATAGTGCTGATAGTCTGCTGAACTCGTCGAGCGTCACGCCCACGGTGGATTTGCTCTCGGAGGATGCGGTGGAGTAGATCGATAGGTCACCTGGCTTGCGGAAATGGGGTGGCAGATGGCACCAGGCAGGCCGAGATACTTTCCGTAGCGATAAGGACGTCCCGGACTTTCTATAGCCATCCTGCATGCATGAAAAATGGAGTCTTGAGAAACAGTCAAGATTGGGTGTACACATTCCCAACGCAATCATGCCGATGATGTCCCGTGAATTCCTATATTCACCGGTTCTGCTACGTCCTTTTTAGAGTTGGGTATCATGCCGTGGTACATCCCGCGCCCCCATGTCGACCATACATCTGTCCACCGGCTTTAACATAGTCGTTTCATCCTACATTCAGAGTTCACACAACACAACACCAGACACTCGGGCCATTCAGTTCTATCCCTACAATATTTCCTCAGCCCGCTTAGACCCCAAACAGCGCCCCTGCAGCCCCGAAGGCCCGCCGCCTCGGCATCTCCCACCGGTACAGCGCAGCGCCCAGCGGCGGCATGTGCCGGTACAGCACAGCGCTGCCCAGGATACCCATCACGGCGGCGCCGCTGCCCAGGGCAGCCAGGACGGACGAGCCGCGCGCCGCTGATGCTCCTGATGGTGACTTGGACGGGGCGTCGCGTACGGCGCAGGAGCGCGGCACAGAGGCGGCGACCAAGTCCCTGACGAAGCGCGTCAGCGCCGACGGCTGGTCGCCGGACCCGCGTGACGACGGGTCCGCCCACGGCAGGCTGGAGGCGACGTCGCCGCCGAAGACGGCGTCCCGCGTTGCGTCCACGAAGAGCGCGAGGGACTCGTGGCGCCGGCGCACCAGGTCCTTGAGCCAGGGCCGCGGGACGTCGGGCACGAGCATCAGGGCCAGATAACCGAAGGCGAGGCAGTCGAGTGAGGAGGGGAAGGAGGTGGAGGGAAAGAAGAAGCGCTCGCCAGCCCCATCCATCTCGGAGGCTGTCTTGAGATCCGCCAGCACGGCGAGGCAGTCGTTGGCGACCGCCTCGAGCCGGAACACGGCTGTCTGCTCTGGCGACAGCGCGGCCTTGACGCCGCGGCGGAGCGGCTTCAGACGCTCTGGGACCTTGAGGAAGCCGTCGGTAGACCCGCCTGTTGCTGGGGAGGAGGCCTGTTGCGACTGGGCAGCGCGTCCGCCATCGTCGTCGACGTTGAGATCCGACAGGCCGAGGTGGTCGGCTGTGTCACACATCCGGTGTCGGATGGAAAGTGGCTCCGTCCACGTCAGGGGAAAGGGCAGGATGTTGCTGTAGGCGGGCCTGGTAGTGGCGGCCCAGTTCGCCGAGGAGACGTAGAGGGAGAGCGCGACCAGAGGCGCAGCGGAGGACTTCAGGAAGCTCGCGTAGGCGCCGGAGTCGGCCCGCTGGGCGACATCCAGGTCCCGGTCGAGGTCCCAGGCATCACCGCCGAGGTCCCGGAGGCGACCGGTGATGGAGGTGAAACCCGAGGACCAGACGCCGGACCCGGTCTCGTGGAGCGCGGGGAGGGAGTCTTGCACACGGATTATTAGACTTAGACTTTCGGCAGATCGTAGCCGGGGGGCAAGTGGGACGGCAAGAACAGGTGCCGGGCGCCGGGCCGAACGTTTGATGGCCCAACGCCTGACACACCGCCGGACGGCATGTGTTCGGACGGGACGACGGCCAACAGGCTGGACGACCGTTGGGCGGAAAGGGGCAGGGAGGTGTGCTCGATGGTTCAAGATCCAAACCAACTAAACTCACGCGTTGGAACCCCTGAGGGGCTAGTTGCGACAATCTCCCACTGATCGCCTTGCAGGGCGTTCGCAAGGTATGTGATTGTGGCGAGACACTCAGCGTCGATGCTGGCGAGCCCGAAGGCTGATCCCCAGACGTGGAGACGAAAGAGTACCATGACGACGGGTACCCCGTGATCGTGGGTAAGGGAGGGGCCTGGGGTACAGCACGGAGTTCGGCAGGGGGTGAGGAGGATCTACTGTACGAAGCAGCTGATGTGTTCGTGGCGGTCGTAATGCGGAAATGTAGCGGCCCCCAGGTTGACAGGCAGTGACAAGTTACCTGCGCAGGCGGTAGCGCCGGGGTGGTTGGGAAACGAAATGAGGCAGGAGGATGCTGCGCAGGGCGGCTCTCCGCAAAACCCTATCGGGCGAGGGTCGACAGAGATTGTCGAAATTGAGCACCAGATTCCAAGGCTGGTGTTGCGTTGATGATGTGACGGCTGATCCGACCCCGCGAAGACTGGGTGAAGCGTTGAGCCCACGCATGCGCTTGAAACGGTCAAAGATTATGATGTGTGATGGCGGCGTCGGCAGCCGCTGGCCTTGCTCCGATAGGAATGGATAGTCGGGCTGCTGACCTTATGGCGGTGAAAAGGGGGAGGGGGATCAACACGGCGATCGGCCGTCTTTCTTGTCTACCTCAGTCTCCGCCTCCGCGTCCGCGCCGGCCCCTGCAGTCAGGCGATTTCTGCAACCGCCGCCGCCGACGACGATGACGAACCCTAGCGCAGACCTCACAGGGCTCGACAGGCTGAGACAGGTAGACGGCGGGAGATCAGGCCTGGATAAGGTTCGTCGGTAGCACGTACTGTAGACGATTGCGTCTCTCGTTCCAACCCAACGTGCCAGGGGGTTGTTGATCAGGCACGACGGGAGGTAGTGAATGATAGAGAGTGTTTGACGATGATGCGCGTCTCTCTTTCGTCTGCCTTGCCTTTCCCAGCTCGGCTCTGTCCTATGCAGAATCGTCGTGTTCCGCTGCTTTCGCCTTCTGTCCTCACGGCGTCGATCACAGCAGCGTCTCGAAAGCTTCGAAAGAAGGTTCGCCAGCAGACTGAGCGGCCCTGTTTCACGGCTGCACGATCTAGATCGACGCAGGGGGCTGTCAGTGCAAGGCCTGCGTCGGATCTCTGATCTTGCCCTGCGGCTGCCGGGCTGGTTTGATTTGGGTTGATTTGGCCTGGGTGGATGACTGATCAAGGGCAAGCCAGGGCAAGCCAGGGCTGTGCAGGGCCCAGGGCAGCGCGTCGGCCGAGAAGGCGCCCAAATTCAGGGTCCAATTCTATTCGGGCTCCACACCGAATGCGGAAAGGGGAAGAAGGAGACAGGCTGGGCTTGTACTTGGGAAAATGCACAGAGCAGACTAGTACACAGTGAGAATAATCGGAATTACAACGACAAGCCGCCTCATGCGATGGCGGATGAGTCTGGAATGGATGAATTGGCCCGAGTTGAACGTTGCCCCCGTTTCATGTAGGGGAAAGGGACTGTCCGTCTGCTGCGTAGGACCCCCCCAGACCGCGTACCTGGCTGGGTGCCAGGTACAGTAGGTACAAGGAGCAGAGTACATGCCTAGGTGGTTATTAGTAGACAGGCTGGTTGAAACAATCGGGCTGCCTCACTGCCTCACTGGCAGCTTGTTTCAATTTCATTTTTAAACCCGACTTCCCAGCAGTGCAGGCATTGGCCTGGGGGAGGAAGGGGACGAACGGGAGGAAAGGGATAGGGTACCAGATTTTGTCGGTGGCGGGTAGATTGGAGGCAGGTACGATGTGATGTGACCGACTGCGTGCGTGTCTGGCACGTGGCAGTCGCGAGGCAGGCGACAAGTTAGCCTGGAAGCCGGGCATGCCAATGGAAGGGCCGTAGATGACCGAGACGATAGCGTGGTGGCAAAAAGAAAAACGCTGCTCCTGCAGTAAGAAGCTTGATTGCTCCCTTTTCCTTACATGCCTATGCAGCACCACTGCATCACCCTCCAGCCCCAGCCTCCTTTCGGGCAAGCCTCAGGGGTATTTGCAGTTTGCCAATTCGCGTGGCCCGTCACAGCCAACACATACACAGACGCAGGCCAACACACACAACGCACATACAGCACAGCAACGGCACAGTATTATTATGAGTGGATGATGAGTGTCACCGACACCGAGTCCGACGGACAAACAAGGTCCAGCCAAAGCTTGCATTTCTGCCGCTCTCGCAATTTCATCAGGGTCGTGAAATTAGACAGAGGGTAACCTTCTGGAATGTATCTGAGCACTGCGCACCGAGCACCGGATTCATGCCCCACAGCATGGCTCCTCGTGTCAACACGGAACAAGCCCACAAAGTATCTTTTGCGCGTCTGCACCTGCGTGCCCTGCGTGCCTGCCTGCCATGTTATGTTGTCTTGAACCTTTCCCGGCCTATCCCCTCCCTGCTTCGGTTTTCTCGGTCTCTCGGCAGCTAGCGGTTTCAGGGTGATGGAGTATCACCCACGTCTGTGAGGTTTTAGCATCGGACGAAATCTCCCTCAGAAACCCAGGTATGCTCCCTCAGAAGCAGCCTGGGGCAGCAGGGCATGGGATGGCATGGGATATGTATGGGGTACGACCTGTGTCGCATGCCAGATGTGGCATGATGGCGTGCATGGACGTCGCAAGGCTCCAGCGAGTACTTTGCGTACCCACCCGCCATCCCTCCTTCCTCCGGGGCGGTTTTGGGCACAAACCCTCTTTTTGCCTTTCATAGCACCGGTTTCCAAAGGGGACGAGGGCAGACAACTTCTGAGACGAAGCAGACGGTGCACGACCCCCAGCCAGCCTAATATCCAAGTCTCCTTCATCTCGTCTTTCGTCTATTTTGGTGCGCGCTTACTGCCCGGCCCTGGTCCGACCTCGACACCCTATCGTGATGTGCACATCCATCCACCGCGCAGAGGGGGAGGGACAGGCCAGGACAGACGACAGGCGGGCCAGCCCTATGATCACGACGATGATGATCCTGACGTGACGACAGAGATGCCTCATCAACCGAAACCCCCTTCGCCTTCCCCATGTAGACAGGTAAAACGCGGGCTCCATCGCGCGCCCGCTCTTTCACATCTGCTGTGCTGTACTGCAATGTCATTTGTCGTGTCGTGCCTTGGTTGCAGCCCGTGACCTCTTTGGGAACAACGATGTTGATCCGCGCGAGGATCAAATCCCCAGCAACATTGGCACTCGAATGCGACGCTGTCCACCCGCACCACCCCAAACCAAACCCCGGTCCTGGATCTCGTTCGTTCGTGATGCACGTACCCGTCCACTCGCTCCCGTGGGGAAAGACGGGCAAAGACGGGCAGGGCGGGCAGGCTTGAGATGAGACCTGCGAGATTGAGGAGAAACCAAGGCAGATTGACAGCCGAACATTACCCTTTTGCTTTCTTGGGTTGTTTTTTCTTCTCTCCTGTCACAGGCCGGCTGCAAGGCTGCATTACACTTAACTCACACATACATATGCACACCTGCACACACATGTCTCATCTGCGCCGGGCGCGCCGCAAATCGCGCAACGTCGTCTGCGAAGAAACCCCCTTTGCCCCCCCCCCCCAATGGACGTTGTCTCAGCCACGAGAACCCGAACATGCCCGCAGGCGGGAGGAACATCCTCATCATCTACAGATTATCTCCGTCCACTCGTATGTCAGACTTATTATCACGCAAGTCGCTTAGATACCGAAGGTAGCAGCCTGCCAGCGCCAAGTGGGCCGTCCAACCCTCGTCAGAAAGTGAGCCCGCCCCGCAGGCGGGCGCAGCCATGGGGACCATCTGTCGTCGTTCATCGTAGGCAGTAAGTAGACTAGTAGTGTAGCAGTCGGTCCCTTCCCTCTCTCGCTTGTGACTGAGGCTAGTACGAGGCTGGCTGCCCATCGCGAGAAGAGACAGGAAGGCATATCCACCCAGCGTAACCGAGTTGTGGGGTTGTCATTCCTTTCCCCTCCTCAACTCACGGCGACTGCCCGGCCTGGCGGACCTGGGCATGGTACCATCTCGCTGGCCCCAACGGGTGGTTCCGTCGTGTCGTACTACGGGGCAGAGGAAAGAAAGGGCGCGACAAAAAACAGGTGGCCCTGCATGTAATGCTTGCATGCATTGCATGCATTGAGAACACCGAACCTGCAGACACACAGAGAAGAGAGGGGAAAGTCCCACATCCGCTGTGACCTCGGGAGCGAGGACAGCAAGGGAAGACAACACAAAGAGGGCAAAATGCTGTGATGTACATACTTAGCAGAGAGGGGGAAAGAGCACTCGGGGTGGAGGTGGGCTTGCCTGTGGTGCTTGTCGCCCGTGGAGCTTCCCCATCTCGGGGCGGACCAATGTTACAGTCGGGTGCCGAAGTTGCATTGCACCTCTTGAGACGAGACGCGAGAGAGAGGGAGAGATAGACGGGAGTGAAGGGCATTGAGAAATTTTTCCTTGCTCTTCTTTTGAGTTCCTTCCTCCGGGCACATTAACCGCGACGGAACTTTGCCGTTGGGACCATTGGAGGGGGAGGGCACTGATTGGGTCGGCAACAAGGCGTGTGTGTCGCGTGTTTGGTGTGTTGTGCATATTCGCTTCCCGTGCGCGCGCATCATATGAGATCGTTGCGTCTGATATTATAGTGTTTCCGCCCTGGGAGGGTTAATGGGAATTTAGGTATGTGGTTGGTGGTTGGTAACGGAAGGTGTGTTAGACAGTGGAAGGAATCGGGTGAGCCTCCCGAATGTTTTTTGCTTTTTTGTTCTTTGGTACCCGTGCCCTCCCTCCACCATTCATCAAACGCGCGCACGGCGGCGGATGCAACCCTACATCCATCTCAACTTTAGCATTTCGATTTTGGATTTTGAAGATTTTTTTTTGGATTTGTCTGGTGTGCGCATATGTTTCTGGATTGGTGTTGCTGCTACACATGCTACCTTGGGCTGAACTTGAAATCGAGCCCGGCGTGGCTGCAGATCAGGGACCCCTCCAACGAGGCCAAGTCAGACACACGGTCGCAGATCTGCGGATGGTGGCTGTCATACCTTTGTCTGTTCTATCTGTGTAGTCCTGCAGTAGTCTGTCTGTGTGAGTGAGAAAGGCACGCTCAGTTGCTGACTGCAGCTGCTGTTGTGTCAGCGTGTGTAGTGTTATGTATGGGTGGCGAACAACACGGTAGCATCAGTCAGTCAGTGGATCAGTCAGCACCCCCCGCGTATTATTAGAAAGTCGGCATCCTCAGTTTGTCTCAAGTGCCAGGGGAAGGACGAGAACAAGGCTGAGCTCACACGTTTGATCATGAATCTGATGCGTGCCGCCGGAGAACATTCAAATTTGAGACGGCTTGCGCGATTGGGCACACACGAATAGAGTTGCAAGTGAATTTTCGGAAGTTTCGAACAACTAGTTTTGTATGATGTGTTGTCCACTCTAACTGATGTGAATTGTTCTGTGTCCTGCCAGTTGCTGTTTGGCCCCAGATAGTCCGGTCCTTTGTCTCGTGCTCGCTCGTGATTCTTTCCCAGGTGAAGAATATTCCCCTCCATTTCATGACTGTATCCCCCCGTTATCCAAAATGCTGCCCGTCCCCCACAAAAAAAAAGACACATTCTCTCATCAGAAAGGGCGGTTCGCCTCATTTCCTTCCCTCGGGGGTATCATCAACGGGCATCCTCCCTTCTTTTTTTGTAAAAGTTGACGCCGTGAATGCTGTGTTGGTAGTTGTACATGAGAAAAAGAAACTAGGAAAATCATATTCCTGCCCCGTCTAAACCCAAAAATGTTGTGAAAAGCCGAATGGAAATGGCTGATATCATGACCTCGCTTCCCAAAGATGGATGTAGATTAAAAAGATGTAGTAGATGTGGTGGTACAGGGTGCCCGCGCAGGCTGGCCCAGGTTTGTTTGGTTTTGGTTGTAGTTGGTTTGGTGCGAGGTTCAGTAGCGAAAGTGCATCATTCCCGTCGAGCCGGCTCTTCGGGGACCAACGAGAGGATGATTTGTCGGTTGATGATGTTTGTGGTGTGCGGTGGTGGTAATTGGTGGTAAAGTTGTGGTGTTCCGATCTGGCTCCATGTGACAGGATGTCGTGGAACCCTTCCAAGGACCTCAGCTGGGTCGGAGCGGCAGCCTGTTCCCGAGACGGCCCCAGGCGAGGCTGCCATTCTCCCATGTGTACCTGGCGTCGGTGTGGAGTGCCGTTCCGGCGAGTGCGTGTCGCGGCGGTGGTGGCGAGGTAGACTGTGAGTCAACCGATGGTAGTAGCAATGGCTGAAGTCGTGACCAGCATGCTCTGTGTTGTTGTTGAACCTCATGTGGAGGTATCACTTGTCAAGTAGAATGGGTGCTAAGCCATTTAGCTCTGCTTGGGAAGAGCGGGCAGAGGGCGGTTTGGTGGTGGGCCGGGGCAAGGAGGCAGCTGCGAAGGGCGCTGCTCCAGAGAGGACATTGTGCTGACGGCGGCCATTGCGAATGTGGGGTTTGTTTTGACGCGTTGTTAAGCGTTGTTGTATGTTGAGCGAGCCTTGCGGTTGGCGAGGCTGTTGGCACTGGTGTGGCGGGATGGACAAACAGTGGAGAGCCGGTTGTCTGTGGTGGTTGTTGGTTGTGGTTGGGTGGTTGTGGGTTGGAGTGTTGTATTTGTATCTTGGACAGGTTTGGGAGCTGTGAGGCAAGAACAACTGAATTGTTTCGATGATGTTTGGTCTGATGATGGGACAGAGGAAAGAGGCCAGGTGGGAGAGGTGGGAAGGCGGACACTTATAATTATGTCCGTGGTGTGCGCGCCGTGGCAGTCCATTCCAAGATTGCCCATTTCGACAAAACGAAGGCCAAAAGGCGTGTTGCAGGGGAGTAAGCCTGTCTGTCAGTGCTCTGCCACGGGCTGCCATGCCCTGTCGCAGGTGGGAAGCAAGGGAGGGAGGAGGGAGGGCATCAGCAGGGTGGGCGGCGCGCCCAGGTACGAGGGCCAGAGGTACCTCAGGCGTTTGTACCGCTGTAACCGCATGATCCCTGCACGGCCGTGATTTGACGGGGCCAGGAACGAGACAAAAATACTTCCCAAGTGCCTGTGGGCGACGAGCAGGAAACATGGCGGTGACGCAGCCAGCCTGGGCGGCCGTGTGGGTGGTAGGGACCAAGTACCCCCGTACCGCCACCCAGGTACGTACCTGTTCCTGGGTGGGCCCGACGGCGGTCAAGTCTGGTGGTGGTGCTGCTGCCCAGTGCCAGATGTGGGATGAGGTGGGCCGGTGGAGACTGTGTACGAGGGTACTTGAGGTACGTACCTCCGGTCCCCATCAAAAATGAAACAGCTCGCGGGCTGGTGGAGTGCTCTGACCCCTGCTGATGCGCCTCCTCCTGGCCTGCTGCTGGCCTGATGAGCGAGCATGATTGACGATGAGATTGACAGACGCGCACATTTCGTTATTACCGAAACCCCATCTACTGTACTGCACACAGGACCCACCGAACGAGCAAGCCATGGCCATGTCGTCGTTGTCGTCGATGCTGGTCGTCGTCGCTACCTCCGCCTCCGCCTTATCACACCCTGCTCGGTGAAGAGGGCAGAGGGCAGATGCCATCTTGTGGCCCCCGCGCCCGCCCTGTCGCGCATCTGCGTAGTACTGTGCATTTATGCAGCAAGATTGGGCCGGACATACAATACGCACTCGTACGCAGATGTCTGACGAGGCTGGAGAAAGGGGGCCGAAAGAAAAAATGCATCAAATGCATCTCGGTCGGTCAGTCTCGGGGGATGCTATACAATCAATGAATGAAACAGTACACACGGCTCGGGCACGGCGGAGCATCGCATCATTCGCATTTTACTGTTGCATTTTGCAATCGGTAATGCCCACTTTCACCGAGCCAAAGCAGCAAGGCGCTGATGACATGTGTTGTTGCATTGCGCGCCTAGAAAGAGTAGCGGTGATGTCGGCCGCCAACAAATTTTCTCTGCCTCGTCGGCCAGTTCCCGTGGGCCATGGCCACGAGGCCAGCTGCATTGGTCCGCCGGCCGACTTTTTTGCATTCATTCCTTCTTTTTTTTTTTTTTTTTTTTGCCCAGCGCCCCCAATGCTACCTCAACACATGTGCGGTACCCGGTTTGCTGAGTCGGCGCAAACAGGAATGGTCACGTCCCAATCAGGATACGGCGCGACGGTGAGAAAGGTTTTTGCCCGTCATCACGCTGTCAAACCCTCGTCAAGCTTCCAAGGTGGATTCTGTCAAACCCACAATCCATCTACTCTTGACTACCGACCGACCGTGTCCGAAGAGGCGACATCGCTGCTGTCCGAGAATGAGTTGCGGTGACAGTCCCACGGGTTCCATTTCTTCATCAAACTCGATGGTTGGGGAAACCTTGACAGCCCTCTTTTTTTTTGCCTTCTTCCCTTCTCTCGCTCTTCTTTTTTCAGCCACCAACAGGGCCCATCGTGCGGTCTGGCGGGATCCCTTCTCCACCCATGGAATTTTCCATGGAACAATTCGTAACTCCACCAGGGTGTACGCGCGACCCACAGCGCCTGAGATTCAACTGAACTGGCATCGCCGGGCCTCCGGAGCTGCCGTCGGACGTGAGAAAAAAAAGCTGTCAGACTGTGAAATTAGCCTCTCCCTCTCTCACCGTGTCGCCGTGGCCTGTCTGGCCTGTCTGGCAGGTCCCCAATTTTAAGCCTCCAGGGCCTTCCCCAGACGATACAATGGGGACGCTGGAGATTTGATCACGACGGTCCCACGACCATTTCATCAGCCTTGCATCGCCTGGCCCTACGGCGGCCCTGTGCGTTCGTGCATCGTGCGTGCCAGGGGGGCGCTGTCACTGTGGGAGGTAAGGGGAAGGGGGAGGCAAACAATCCAGGGACCATGATCATCTCCGGACTCGTCCGAATCCGACTCTCCTGATGGAATGCCCGTCGGGCTTTGATGAGCCCTACCACGATTCCTTGTGAAATTTGTGAAATTGCCAGATCGTTCTGTGAGATTATCATCTCATGGGATCCTGCAAGCCTCACCCTGGACCGTGTTTCCAGCTTCCATTTTTGGCATCAACGCGTTTGTCGTCGCCCAGCTCTCGAGAAACTCAATCTGGCGGAGACGGAACGCTGTTTGGGGATGACTGCTCAGCCTCTCCTCTCCTGCTGGCTCATAGGTGTCTATCGCAAACGGACGCAATTCGTAAGCGGGCGGGTTTGTTTCGCGCTCCTGAGCCCCGGCGCCAAGGACCACGAGTGTTTCCTCGAGGCCTGGGCTGATGCGTCAGCTGTGCCTGAAGCTCCCATGCTCCGAGGTTACCGGCGCGCTTTGCAATGGCACCGTGACGGTTTGAGGCCTCTGCCCGCTGGACGGGATCTCAATTCAATCATCGCGCTGGGAAAACCTTCTTGGAATTGATACATGTCTTGGCTCACATGGTGTGTTAGATATCGGACAATGGCTCCGCTACACCTCGTCTGTCTGGCTCGCCTAATAAGCTACTGCTACCCACGGAGTACGACCCTGGAAATGAAATCGGCAGCCCATCTTGATCAATTGACTGCTTTGGGCGTGGCCCGTGACTATTTGGCCGTCCACCGCCCCTGTTCTCGGTTTCAACATTCAGGCATTGCCTCCAGCCGGTGATCACTTGTAAGCGACATGGCCGAAGAAGCATATTTCGATACGACAATGGTCTTGGACAACGGTCTTGGGTCTCCCGCACTCGCATGATGATGATCAGATATCAAGAAGCCTCGGTCTCGGGTAGGTCCCCCTTCGTAAAACAGATAGTAATCAGCAGAAGCTTGTGTAAGCAACCGCGCATTGCGGTGGTGGTTGTGCCTGTCAATCAGCGATCCCACACCACCACATCAACTCATGTCTTATGATCCGTGTGCAACCACCACTACCACCGCAGTCTTAGACCAAGCCACACAGGATGGATTTCTGCAGACATTGCATTACTCAAGCCAACAGGTACATGGACGCGGAGTCACCCCCTCCACCTCGAGATATATCTCACGTTCTGGCTCTGCAGCCATCGCCATGCGCATGCATCAGCGGTTCCCATCTTGGCTCGAGTCGCACCCGCACAACCTCCCGCCCGGCGGAAGGGGGTCAGAGCGACTTTGACTTTTTCAGCTGCCAACCCTATCGTAGCTGCGTAGGTTTACCATTTGGGCCCAGCGCTGAACTCAGGCGGCCTTAAAGTTTCCCGGCCCACCTGCCGCACTCGCGTAAGGGACACTCAAGACGGACGGCCGGTCGGTCCCTCGCGCGATGGAAGCTTCACCGTTCCCGGTTGTGCGGCATGCCCAAACCTTGGCGCCTCGTGCCAGCTAGATTGACCACGGTCAAAGTGCTGATGCTTAAAAACAGAAGTCATCCTCGCATGGCCGATGATCCCATGTCGTGAAGGTTGCGGCCGTGAGATTCACAACCTGGCTAGATGGTAATAGCCTACCTGATAATCGCAGCGATTACACCCGATGCGCCATGCACCTCGGAGGGAAGGAAGAAAAGCCCGCGCCGATGCTGGCGAGAACGTGGCTTGAGACTGGGCCGCCTCTGGGGCCAGCCTCGTGCCACCCTGCATGTGTGTAAGTGCACCACACATGTACACAGCAGCCAACACGCAGCAGGTTTTTATTCCGAAAGCGTCCGCATACAGGTAGCTAGTCTTCCTTTGGCCCATCTTGGTGTGGTGTGATACTGCACGGCGACGGGCCCTTGACTCGTCCCGTGACTGTAATTCACGGGTTTGCGAGCATACATGATCTCCTCCAGGCCGTGGGGGCGTGGAAGCCTCGGCAGGGTGCAGCAAGGCGGTCCACTTGGGCGGTGATCGGGCGAAGAGAGACGAAAGGCAGAGCTCCACATCGGGCTGTACTTTCACCAGCCGAGCATCACGAGCCCGAACCCATCAACAGGGACACCGCTATAGCAGCCATGCGTTTTACCTGGGGTTCGTAGCCTTGGGCTGCATGTGAGCGGGCTCCAGGGTATCGTGGGTCGCCATTGGGCGAGCGCTGTCTGTGGAAGAGGATGGGCTACTCCACTCGAGGTGTGCCTCGCAGCTTATGTGGGTACGTGTATGCTTCCTGATAATGCAAGGCAGGTAATAAAGCTGCCCTTCTGACTCACATCTAGGTTCGTCGCGATGCGCTGGCAGCGTTAGCTGCCTCGAGCTTGGATGCCTGCCTGCTTTCTTTTCCATCCCACGCGCAGGTGTGGAGTCTCAGCAACTTGGCTGCAGACTTGGGCGGTAGCGAAGGATCGCTGGGGTGACGCTGTGATAGAGCCTCACAGGCTCGGAAGGATTTTCTAGTGCTTGATGGATGCGGACCGAGGGCACGGCTGAGTAAGAGTGTAAGACATTTATGTCTTACACACCAACTTGTAGCGTATAGTTGTCGCCTACTATTATTGCTGATACGCAGAGGCCGTGCCCATTGGGTGTGTGTGTGTGTGTGCACCCGGCGGCTGACAAAACGAGCCCGGAAAGCTTGCGATCACGGATAGCCTCAGGAGGGGCCTCTCAGCGGGATATCTGTGCGTTAGAGTTGCCCGAGGGAGCCGAGTGACCGTGTAAACTGATGACAGAGCATCGGTGCCAAGCCCTGTCAGAGGAAATCGCCGAAGCCCAAGGCCGCCTGGAGCTGACCGCCCGCTTCGGTGAGCGACTCAAGCCCTCGGCGGCGTCGGGGCGTCATGCTGGATGGGATCGATCGCAACGGCGCTGCGGTGAAGCGTAATGTGCGACGCGAAACGAGGTTATACCAGATCGCGATGAGACAAGTCTCCACGGGCGGGTGGTGTGCGGCAAGGTTTGTGAGCTTGTTCAACCTGATGGCTGGGGTGAGGATCTGTGTAAGCCGAGTCGTGTCTAGGACCTGCGTCTTGCATCTGCCGTGGGCCCTCTGGTGACTGATGACTGTGCTGTACTTGCAGCGCTGTACCACCTGGCTGCGTACCCGCACGCGTGCGTGCGTGCGTGTGCGTGTGAGTGTGAGCGGGAGCTCTGACCTCGATGCCAATGTAACCACGGACCGCATTTTGTTTCAGTCACAGGTTGCACGAGCGGTGATGCTCTCTCTCCATCTCCATCTCTCTGCGTGCCCGCCCCTCCACGCCCTCCTCCTCCTCGCTTGCCAGAGTTCAAGTGCCGGAGGATTAGCGAGCACGGCCCGTCCGCCCTTGAAGCTTCTCACCTGCTGTGTTCGCAGAAGCTCTCCCCAGATCCTGCCTTCAGGGACTGACGCCGCACCGAGTCGGACATTTCTGAGTCGTCCTGCAGCCACTATAACGGTTTCTGCCAACAGCTCAGTGAGCTTCTTGATTCAGTTCCCGGATCGGCGGCAGCTGGCTCAGTGGACGACGGGCACGTACGACACCACGCGATCTCTATTTTGGCTTCCGTGCCAAACCCTACAATGTAGCAAGGCGCCCCCAGTGGGTCGAGACGAGAGGCGCTTAGACCAGGCTCAACTCTAATAATGGCTGGAGGGTTGCCGGTGACCGACACAAGCTTCGGGAGGAAAGATGACGGCGAACCTTGTACGCGAACCTAATACGGGGACGTGGATACATAGTAGACAGTCAGAGGTTGATGTGGTGCGTGCGTACTGTGCATGTGAGCTGGCAGGACAGTACCAGAACCTTGCCTTACCCAGCTGCTGCAGGAAGGGTACGGCGTGGAGAGAGTGTGTGGCCTGCGACTCAGGTCCCAGCAGCTTGGAACCAAGATGTAGGTTTGATGAAATCCTGACCAAACTTGGCCAGTGCCGAGCCTGGTCGCCTGGTCACCTGGTCCTTTGGTCCTCGCCTCTCACGAGGCTGAAAGAGGGGCCCCACACGCAATTTGCCCATACGATGACAACCACGACAGCCACGACCCAGAGAACAAGGATCTGATCCATGGTACGCTCACCGACGATTGGGTCCTACTGCTCATCAACGACGACATCATGGTCGGCGGCAGGCTGGCTGAAAACGCATACTGCCGGATACTATCGCGACGGCAACTAACTATGCCTCCACCACCACTTGCATCATCACCACCACCACCTACCACCTGTGATTGGGGCTTGCAGCCAGCATGCAGCCAGATATGCAGCCGCAGCAATGTGATGCTGCGGACGATGGATCGGCAGCGCAGGATCCTTGGATCGACAGGCCATGGGAGTCATGGGCCACGAGGATGGAATGACCATCAGCCGAGCCTGGGGTACATACGCATCCCTCGTCAAGCTTGGATCCTTCCATGATGCTGCTGCTGACACAGTCTGTCCTGTGCATCCTGCTCTGTCCTGCTCTGTGCTCCTGTCAGGCCTGTTCTGTCGTGTCTCGCCGAGCCTCGTATATCCACACGAGCATGTTTTTGCCAGCCTTGATTAGCCATTCTGGGAACCTTGCCCTCTCGGCATGATGAATTCCACCCCCCCCCAAAGAACATATAATGTCTTATTACTTCTTATGTCTTAACTAAAAAAATATGATTTATTTTAAGAAATTTAAAAAATATTAAGTTAAACCTTAAATAATGCTTAAATAAAGCTTATTAGCTATTTATTAATATTTTATTTTTTATTATAATTAAAATTTTTAAATTTAATTATAAATTTAAGAAAAATAAAAAGCTTTTAAAATTATATTTAAAAGTTAAAAAATACTTTATAATACTTTAATTTTAAGGTTTATATATTTATTTACCCTTTTTATACTAATTTAATTTAAGTTTCGTATATTAAAATCATTATATCTTTTTTATAAGGAGGGGGGGTAAAGAATTCATCATGCCGAGCACTAGGCAGTAAGTGGGCTGTACAGGTCCCCAATCCGGTTGCAGGAAAAGTTGAAACGCTAATATTGGCTCGCTCCTCTTTTTCATTGCTCGACGCTCTCAATCGATCCTCTCATCCCGCTGCTTCCGGGACAGCGTTTCGGGGTGCTGCTCAGCTGAGTGATGATCGAAATGCGCCGCAGCAGGTACAGCACTGAATGGTACCGTATTGCATGTCCACAGCACAGCCGCACTCCCCAGCTGCTATCAGGGTACATTGTACGCGCAAAGCTGACAGCTTTAGCTGAACTGGGCGTTGGCGTGTTCTGTCCTGCAAGGGAGCAATGGACGCACCCCAAAGCAGGCTGACAACCCTCGTGATCTGCAGGGGTTGCCGCCCTTGTCGATACGGCACCCTGGCTACCACGTGGGATACGGTCTGGCTTGCGTGGGCGGGCGGAAGAAACCCCCCTGCTTCTGTCTCTGTTGGCTGCGATCGCTGGCGGTTGGCTGGCTGAGAATGAATGATCGCCCGCGCCTTTGCAAGGCACAGGGGGACGTCATTGGTCGTCGCGGACGCGAGCTGCGCCCAGGCACCGCGATGAGTAAGAATCTCACCAAGCCATCCCGACAATTCGGGACCGGCGATCCATGGGGCATGTGATCCTTCGAGAAGGAAAGACCAACAGCAGGGCGGCCGATGGATTGGATGGCGGACGACGCCTCGCTCGGTATTTCCCAATATGTCCCCAGTCTTCCGGAGAAGATCAAGCCCCCGGACGAAGCACAGACCTTGAGTGGCTGTCTGTGTTGGCGTGGAGAAAAATACCCGTCCATCGTCATTACCCAACAGATCGCAATGGACGGCCTGCTTCTTAGGGCTGCCTGGGCTTGATGGAGCATGGGTTCGGGCTAACGGCCGCCTCTTAGATTAGAAATGGCTGTGCGGGCAAAACCTCATGGTAGTGTAGCGAAGATAAGATGGGCCAACATACGGGCCTAACCAATATTGGGCTCGCAGGTTGCAGGGTGCGCAAGGCGGCAGATGAGATGCAAGGCTTATTCCGTTTAAGGACGCGCAGCTCTTGCCTCCATCTCCCTGTCTTCGTGGCGTGGTTGATCTCGCGATGCCCGGGGTCGCTGGCCAGGGCTTGGAAACGAAGCCTGCGTCAGCTTGATATTGAGTGAGCCGGACATGGTGTCAGTCACCCTGCGAGTACCCGTGAGTCGTCCGAGCCGGGCTTGCACGAGATCGCCGTGTGCTGCCGCCTGCGGTATGGGTCAAGTCGGGCCCCATTCCCAGCCTCAACATGGACAATCCCAGAATGACATCGCTGAGAAGTACTGGATGAACAGCCTGTCCTGCAGCCTCGCCAGGGAATGAGGAGCCTTCCTGTGAGGAAAAATTTGATGTTTTGATGATGACGGCACCTCGCCGAAGTTTCGCGGCGCTTGATGAAGACGATGGCGAAAATCACCACTTTCCCATTCGCCAGGCCTATCCGGCGGTGAAGACGGTGAGGAGGACTGCCGTCGAAGCAGGCTGTAGTTTTTTTGTTGGGGCCTGAAGTGGATCCGGAGGGACCTTCTGAGGCCCTGGTCCTGTCTTGTCAGGGCCTTTGTCTGACGTCCCTGTGCCAGCGCCAGCGCCAATGCCAATGCCAGCGACGGGCCCCAGAAGGCATCCACAGCTTCGAAAAAATGTTCGCCGAACGAACCGTGGAGACGGGAAATTAACCGACAGCTGGCGGGTGGCTGTGCCAGGACAAGCAAGAGTCAACTGCAGGGCTGCGTTTGCGGCGAGCCAAAAGGTCCCATGTCCCATGTCGGTCCTGCGACAGACCCACGATGCAGTCATCATCGAAAATCCGTCAGATGACTGTTTTTGAAATTGCATGGTACTGTATCAGAGCGACGTTCGGCGCCCCGCACCGAACGCCCTGCCTTGTCTCGTAGCCGAGTGTGAGAAAGTGGGTTGATCCATCGATTGCACCACCACCAGTCAATCGCAACGCAAGTACTTGTCGTCCACTCGGGCCGGCATGGGGCTCGGTTCAGGCGGCTGCACGGTTGATTGCCTTAACATGGAAAAAGAAAACCTGCTGTGTATGTTTTTAAGAGGGGCAGATCTTAAGGCCCGCTAAGACGCAAGATCGGGCTAGAGGGCAATGGCATAATGAATTCCACCCGTTCTTATAAAGAAGACATAATGTCTTATTACTTCTTATACTTTAATTAAAAAAAATTATTTTATTTATTTTAAAATAATGAAAATTAATAAAGCCTTAAATAATGTTTAAATAAAGCTTATTAATTATTTATTAATATTTAAATTTTTATTTTAATTAATTTTTTTAATTTAATTATTAACTTAAGAAAATTAAAAGGCTTTTAAAATTATATTTAAAAATAAAAAAAAAATTATAATACTTTAATTTTAAGATTTATACATTAATTTACCTTTTTAAATTAGCCTAATTTAAATTTTCTATGTTAAAATTATTATATCTTCTTTATAGGGGGGGGGGGGTGGAATTCATCATGCCGCCCAGTGTTGTCTCGGCAACACATGATGGTGGTGATGAGTTTCCTGGCACACCCGGACCAGACTCTCCTCACTTCCCTTGCTCCTTAGGTCCGCTGCCTGCCTGCCAGGCCTGTGCCGAATCACACATCATCTGACCATCACCATCTCATCAGCCTGCAACCCAATCTGCAACCGCTTACAGGATATGCACTTTCTATCTTCTCCATCAATAGAATCGCACCCTCGACCCCAAGTTTCACGCTTTCCTGCCGCGTGGCCCCATCTCGATGGATAGAGATTTCCCAAATCGCACGCTTGCATAGACAACATTGATAGCAGGGATATTATGACCCCCAGACTCGCTTAGCGACTGAGTGTGGCACAGGTCGTGGCCGGCAGCATGAGCCTCGTACTAAGGCAACATGCTTGCAATAGCGAATATCACCTGATAACTTACGACAGCACTTCTTCTTTTTCCCATATCGGACATGGACCTTATCACCGCGTACCTCGCTCACGGGACCTCGGAGCGACATAACGCTCTGGCAAGGTTAATCTTCGTCACTGTGGTGTGGGTGGGGAGAGGGGCTTGTCCCATCTGACAGCAGGCAGCTGCAGCATCTCCCGGCTGTCACAGCCCGTCCAAGCCACACCAGATATCTGTCCGACCTCCAGAGCCCTCATCAACATCAAACGGTCGCGTGGACTCGGCGAGACGGGAAACATCGTCATGGCCTGAGCTTGAACGCGGGGGGCCGTGATGGAGAGCAACGAGACGGGCTCATGCAGAATCTACGCGACGGGGGCGAGGGTGTATCGTCGCCTTTGGTCTCGTCGGGAGGGGCACAGCAACAAGCCTCGCGGCCGTCTCTGACAGACCAGGGTTGGTGGGTATTCTCTACTGCCCGCGGTCCAGCGTGCCTGGTTCGCCTGATGGTGGTCAGAGCTTGCGACGGACCAGACGTATTGATGGACGTGCTGCCTTCTAATCTTTGCGCCTGCGTGCTTACTACCGGTACTTGCCATGTTTTCCCCAAAAACATGACGGGGAGGTGTTACCACGTGGGAGAGGCTGCGTGTCCATCTGGCTCTGCGCGAGTGTGACTCAAGGCAGGGATGGGAAGGCAACAGAGAGATACGAGGTAGGCAACCAATGCTTTCGATCAACCCATCATGGCAAAGTCAAGGCTGGGAAGAGGTGAGTCGTCTCCCGAAGTACCTGGTCGCATCATCGTCATTCCCGCGGGCATCCAGTGGCCGGCCAAGGTGGCCGGCCAATACGGGCTGGGAGTTCTCTTTTTTTGGTCCAGCACACATAACAGCACTTCCATTCCTAGCCGCGTGCATGGGGTGCACGGCATGGCATGGGATGGGGGCGAAGGTACATTCGCGACTTGTACCCGCTCGCTGGCCCGTCCTGCAAGCACTCACGCCCGAAGCTGCATATGCCATGCTGGGCTCACAGCCGATCACACAAGACCGGCGGTGACTTGTTTCTTTTTTCACCCGCTTCCAAGGCACCGGGAAACACTAGGTAGGCATGGCGAGCATAGTCTGGCAGGGGTGGATGGAACTCCCATGACCTACATTCCCACTGCTTTTTTCTTGTTCCTGAAACCCGAGGCAGCGCGGGGTAATCCTGCTTCTTCCCATCGACCCATCCTCGGCAGTGGACATAGGGAAAAGAAGAAAAAACAACACGAGATCTCGGGCCCCGGCGCTTCAGGCCCGCCCGGCGCACGGGGTCACGAGTCACCGCCCACCGGCTGGCAGACTGCAAAATAGGCCGACCGTACCTCAGTGCCAGAAAACGTACCTTGCAGTTCTTCCATTTATTTGTCCACCATAGCCTTGGAAGTTATCTAATATTTTCATATCAATAGAATCAGACGCTGATTCTGAGCATTTCAGTTCTATTAGAACTGAGCACATACTATTTGGTTGTTAGCAACTCGGGCTGTAATGTGAAGGGTTTTGGTATCGATTTATTTTGCAGCCTGCCAGACCGGGTACGTCGGCCGTTGTTCTGTACCCCAGGTCTTGCTCATGCCGCCTGCTGGTTTCTCCGTCGGAAATATGCACCTACTTCGCAGTGCGTGCGCAAGTGAGAACACCCAGCTACTGTTTCAGATTCTACACAGGTTTTTTGGTTGTTTTTTTTTTTGCCACTGTCGCTGTTTACTTCGTCACCCGTCTCCCTCGGTGATACGACTCCAAGCCGCCGCGCCGCGGCTGGTGAGGCGGGCTGAAAATAAACTTTTTTTTTCCCACGCACGCACACCGCTAGCTCTTAGGTGAGGCTAGAGATGACCGCACTGGCGGCGGGAGAATTTTGTCTGAGAGGCCATGTTTCACTTGAACCTAAACTTATCGCAGGATCCTGACCTCATTGGTTACCAGGCCCCAGGAACGCCGAGCCGCTTCCCTTGCTAAAAGACTATTGTGACTAGGCTGGCCTGCGGTTCCCTACCCGCAACCGGCTCTTGCACACGAGTGTGATTCCAGCGCCCGGGAACTCGGCGATATTCTAATCGATCCCTCATTGCGTCAATGTCGATGTTTGTAAGACGACATACGAGGCGCTGACAAGGAGGACCACGCGTCTCGATCCTTAACCTTATGTATGTCATCCGTTTCAACCACAGCCAAGTCTATGCTGTCCGACATGATCGCCGAGCATGGATGGCATCTCCATGTTTTCGCGGCAATACGGACCGGGCTCGTTTATGTCTAAGCTAGACTAGTCCCAGGAACCTAGATGAGCAAGCTCGTTCTGCTCTTTCCCGGAGCCAGGGATGAACATAGCAATGAGCCTCTCACCAGAGCAAGTATTTCTACTGGGACACTGTGTCAAGCATCTTGGTGCGGATAGATCGATTATTCTCTAAATCTGCTAGCCTCCACAAGAAATCGGATGTACTCAAAGTTATCACTGGACAAGCAATGGCGTTGACAGTAATACTCGACTTGCTTGTACCCACGTTGGAATGTAGTCTTGTATTACTTTGACCACACAAAATTCCAGGTTTATCTGAATGGGACAGACCTTGCAGAGATTGTGAGAGGTGACGACGTTTTTCCTTGAGCAGTTGATATATGAAAACCCCGAAGCGGGCTCCTATGACGATGGCGGCTACCTAGCAGACACCCCTACATCGAGGCACCCATTCCGCGTCTTTGCTGAGGCTGACACTGAAGAATGTCTCCCATGCTGTATTTCATGCGAGGCTTGAGACCTCTGTGTTCTTTTTACTCCGGATTGCTTGTTTTCGGGGATTTACATAGCTGCTTCTAAGGCCCAAGCTCGCAACTTACACGATATCCTGGGGTGAGGTACCTAGGTACCTAAGTACCCAAATGCCGCTAAAAGATGCTATGACCTCACCTCCAACTCGTCGTCCAGACTGCCTTCATCCCATCAACACCGAGCTCCCTCATCCCTTGAAAGCTCAACATCTCGATCCGAAGTCGTACACGAACCCATCACAATGGTTCCCGAAGGCCGCTTGCAGTAGCCCGGACGCCACACCGCCTAAATCGCGCCGCTGCACGTACGACAGTGGATAGTCGTCGGAGCACAGCCAGACAGCCATGGCCCCAATCCGACGATACCTCAGGATATCAAAGTACTCGGTGCTTGAGTGCCGCATCTACCTCGACAACCCTGCCCTAGCACACTCATGGCTGCTCAACCCGCGCAGCCCGGTGTTGCCCAAGGTCATCGACAGCGTACGGCCCCTGGTCCTTCCCAAGCTGCGCGAGGAGCGGGAGCGCAGCCGCAAGAAGAGCACCAAAAAGCGTGGCATCAAGGATATCGTGGTGGAGGGTGCGTTCCCACCCCCCTTTGTTTTGAAACATTCTCAGCAGTCTATTTGCGGCGCAGGCGGGCTGCGCGGGCTGCGCGGGCTGCGAAACATTGATGCCAATGCTGATCACCCATGCGCTGCCCAGACGACTTCGAGGTGTCCATTTTCCTGACCGAGACGAGCGCGCGACACTCGCTGCTGTACAAGCACAAGCACTTCCGCGACACGACGCAGACGAAGCTGACGTCGAACTCGAGCAAGCTAACGGGTGCGTCCCGAGAAGCGCCCATCGATGTCGAGGCGCCGGGCTCAGGTACCGAAGGGACGGCGGTAGTGCGCGAGGAGGAGCCCGATGACGCAGTGGCTCTTTTTGACATTCCGACAATGGACGGAGATGAAACAACACCAGCACGCGTCGGCTCGCCACCATCAATGCGACCATCGAAACGCCGCCGCGGGAGGGGCGCAGGGCTACCCAGGGACGCCGGCGATGACGGAGGCGAACACGATGCCGAGATCCTGACCTCGGACGACGGCGAGGTGGAGGACGGCGAGGACGACCTGTTCGTGGGCGACGATGACTCTGACGGCTCGGCAGCGGCGCCGCCCCCGGCCAAGCGTCGCAAGGACGCCGCTAGCCCTGCCGAACACGAAGCCCAGCGGGACGACAAGAAGAAGCTAGCAATGGACATTCGGTACGAGGGATTTTCTATCTACGGCCGCGTCCTCTGCCTCGTGGTCAAGAAGCGCGATGGTCTCAGCGCCGGGCGGAATGCCCCGGGCCAAGGCCGGGCGCAGGACGGCTGCGCCTGGTGGTGGTCAGGCTGTGATGGAGAACTGGATCACGTCCACTCAGATGCCCGAGGTGGCCCCTGACGACATTCCAGGGGCGTCTTGAGGCTGCAGATTAATTGAGACAACTGCGGAAAAGGACCTACGGTGTTTTCTGTCGGGCCGAAATGTCCGTCTGCTCGGTGTCACTCGAACTCTGATCGTGATCTTGAGACGATAAGGCTGAGGAGATCGCATGGCTTGCTGGGGTGTCAATCGCACAGTGCGGCATCTCCTGTAGATTATGGCGCTGTTTGGACCACACGAGACCGCGTTCGCCAATCACCATGCAGCATCGTGAGCCTCCCGTTTCCGGGATGGTGAAGCGAGAGCGAACGTCGATGGCGGATCTTGTGGAAAGTCTCACTCGATTTCTGTCAAGATCCTTGGCGCCACACCTTGCCCCTGGCCGAGGGGCTCGTGTTGTCTCTGCCGCAGAAATCGTCCGATAGGCCGACGGGATCTCGATCCACAACCTGTCAAGGCTCAAGTGTTTCAATAGAGTGGAAACTAATGTGGTGTGGACGGGAAAGCACTGTCTCGGCCAAGCTGGAGCGAGGGGACCGCGCCCCGGAATGTGGGCTGATGGGACCGACGTCACCTCGTGGCATACGTAGTATTCCTCGCGGGAGCGATGCATAGCTCTTGAAGTGGAAACACTTGCTTTGTTCTCCAGACGTTTCGAGGGTTTTCTCTTGCCCGGACAACTGGGCATGCCGGAACTACGGCTCCTAAGCCGTTGAATTATTGAAGACCGGAGGCAGCAAGTTTCCCGCTATCGCTTTGGACTAGGCACAACTAGAGTCTACCGACACGCTACCATAGAACTGTACTTCCAAAGCAAGAACCTCGGAGTAGTCTGGCGATAAAGACGATTGCTTCTAACTCCATGCACTTGGCTGGTGCGTCAAGATAACGCCGTCGAAATACCACAATGTAGGCATTGTACTACGCTCAGTCCTAGAAGAGCTCGCCTCGGTAATTGAAACTACAAAGTAACTATAATACAACGATTTAAGATCCTGAACAAACTACTATTAAGGACTATGGTACAATTGTAAGTTCTAAATAAGTAGTTATTACATGGCGAAAGCTAAAGTTTTACATCAGGCAAAGTTATAGGCAATCCACCATAGACCGACGAATGGTCCAGACTATTCCGAACCCCTTCCACAGTCACTCCACATTAGCGACCGCTTCCATTGTTCACCAATAAGTTTGGCGAGCCCTCGGGGTCCGCCACAACGTCCGGGATGGCCAGCTCAAGGATCCGGTCCGTGACCTCCTTGGGCGTCCCAAAGCCGCCCTCGAGGCCCCGGAGGTAACACACGAGCCCGGCGACGAGCGGCGTCGCCATGCTGGTGCCGGTCGCGGACCGGGAGCCCGTGTCGGACAGGTGGCTCGCGCTGACGATGTCGCGGCCGGGGGCGAAGACGTCGAGCTCCGGCCCGTAGGCGCTGCCGTAGATGCCCTCGATGACGTTGACGCGGGCGCGGTCGGGCTGCGTCATGCCCACGGTGAAGGACTCGGGCAGCCTGGCGGGCGAGGCGTCGGTGGCGGGCTGGTTGTCGTTGCCGGCTGCTACGATGCTGAGGATGCCCTCGTTGTATGCCGCCAGGACTGCGTTGTCCAGGGCCGGGACGTCCCTGCCGCTGAGTGACATGTTCAGGACGGATTTCTTCTGAGCGCCCTTCGACTTGATGTCGTTCACGGCCCAGGTGATTCCCGTGAGGATGGCCGAGGTGGAGCCCTTGGAGATGTTAGCATACCGTCCCCTGGACCCTGGGCCGGGTGGAAAGTAAGGGAGTATTACCGTATCGCCCTCAAACACCTTGACATCAATGACCTTGGCCTTCTTCGCCACGCCGTAGGTCTTGCCGACAATAGTGGCCGCAACATGCGTGCCGTGGCCGGCCGTGTCCGAGTTCGTGCCGTTGGGCGTCGTCGATCCAGTGACGCCGTTGATGCCAAAGCTGGCCCTGCCCTCGAACTCCTCGTGCGACAGCCGGATGCCGGTGTCAAGCACGTACGCCGTCGTGCCCTCGCCGGCCGTCTCGTCGTAGACATACTCGGTCGCGCCGGCCTCGAGGTGCGACAGGTCCCCCAGGCTCCAAATTCTGTCCGCCTGCGTCGTCAGCGCGCGCTCCGGGAGGATGTGTGACGTGCCCTCGGTCTGGTCGACGCGGATGACCTGGTCGCGCTCGACGGCGAGGACCTCGTCGAGATCAGAGATGGCGGCGAGGGTGGCGTCGTCGAAGCTGCCGCTGTAGGCGTTGAAGTCCCCGATCTGGAACGTCTTCTCCAGGGCGCCGGCTGACCCGTCGCGGCGGCGCAGGAGGCTGCGCACCGTGGTGTGGTGTGAGGTGACGGCGTCCGGGCTCGTACCGGGCTTGAGCTGGACGATGTACTTGCCCTCGACGAAGGCTGGTGGATCAGCCCGGAGGGTGAGGCCGTTCGGCGCCGCAAGAGCGGGCACGACGGCGCTGAGGAGAGAGACCAGGGAGGATGTCTTCATCTTGGTCGGTCGGTAGAGAGAAGGGGTGCTGGGCTAAGCCATTATCCGTCATGATACGACCTGGCTGACCTTGGGAATTAATATAGGTAGTATGCTGTCGCCATGATAGCTGCGAGAACTCCTGTTGCTGGATCGGGCAAACAGGGGTCATAGTCAACTGCCATATCGTGACACGGAGCCATTATCCATTTCAAGACCCTCGATGAGGCGAGCCACCGCGGGAAGATCGGTCCCCCGGCCGGTCCTTCTCGTCGGCGCTTGCCCAGGACTCCATATTTGAGCTGTGATCACTGAGAATGAGTGCATGCCGGATGTCATTTTGGCCAACTTCCTCCGAATGCCTCACCATCGCACCCTCTTCTGCGATCAAGTTCACATGGGAAAAAATCATAGTCGACATTCTATTGAAGTCTCTCAACCTCGTATCGCTCTGGCTGGAAGGAAATAGATACTACTATCCATGCAGGGGAAGCTAAGAAACTGCCCGCCGAAATGCGGCTTGGGTCGTATTGATACCCCGGTGACGAACCACCGACCTTCCCCATTCTTCCTAACCCGCCCCGCCAAGCTCACTGATTGCTGCACAATCGGTCAATATCAGCTGGCCAGCTACAGAGTTGCATTGATCAAATAAATACAGGCGCGGGCTTGTGCCATTGAGGTCCACTGTGATACCATGTTTGGCCGAACGAATGTGTGAACTTCATGTCGAGCCTTGAATATTTTGAGCGCCTTCACTGTGACATAAGTTGAAAATAGAACGAGGCCCAGTTTCACCAAAAGAAAGAACAGAAGAAAAAACGAAACATTCAGGTTGGTATGTTTTTTTGCTGGGCTTCATTTGGCTAGATGAGGCTTGTTGCTCAAAGAAACGTGAAGAAATCGAGATAGACCCAAGGTTCTGCAGAGAGCTTCTAGGCTTCCTGTACCATATCATGGGTAGGTTGGACTTAACGAGAGAAGCGTATTCATAGATTTAAAAAGAGGTCATACATGGATTTTTGTAAAAGAATGAATCCAGTGTGTAAGACATAATCATCGGGTTACAAGAACAATTAATGTGTACAAGTAATTACGGTCGGCACAGCTTGAAAGTAAAAATACTTGCCAATTAATTACAGTAAACCCACAATAGAAGTTGTGATTTCTACTCCTTGCTGAGAACCAAGCAACCAGGCCATGAACCTACCTAAGTACAACAAACTAAGGCGTGGTATTTATCTGGGCAAGTCGGCTGAAATTATAACGCACTTGCACTTCAACGTTCTCCAAACGTGAACATGGAGTGGAGGGCGAAGAAAAGTTCAACATGTGAGCACCCGTATCAGTGACGAACTCAAAACTCTTAGGGTACCTAGGTATACACCCAGTTCCCACTGACTACTTCGCACACATTTATTGTGTTCATCATATCCCAAAACATGGTGACCACATTACCCACACTCAGGGTCATCTGCAAGGCAACCCACCCTCAACAACAGAGCGGCAGCCCTCCCCAACCTTAACGCGCCTCGAACTGACATACGGCCTTGGTTTTCATCTTGTGGAATATCCAGCCGCCACAGTAATCGCACTGTAGACGCTCGCGCCTGTTCCTTGTTACCTTTGAGGCACACGCGGAGCATCTGTACGTGACTCTGGGCTCTACGCGCGGGAGTTTCTCGTATGCTGGCGGTTGCGGACTCGTTTGTCCGGTCTGGCGGCTGGGCGACTGGCTGGAAGAGACGGTGCTGCTTGGGCTGGAGCTGCCCTGGGTGGTTGTTGGGACGGTGTATGCTTCACGAGACATTCTTGGTGGGTAATATGTAGTGGTGCATGCAAATACTTGCGGTCCTTGGCTCTATTGCGTGACGGGATGAGGTTGTTTACGCGTACATGCTTAAAGAATAGAAGTTTCTAAGGAAGGGAGGTTTATACAGATGTACTTGAATGTTGAGGAATGACTCCACGCTCTTGAGGCAAGTTGCATATTTTGGAAGCATTTGGAATGCGAAGGTGGCGTTGGGCGGAAACAAAAGGCCAGCCACAATATACTCAAAGCTTGCTCGTCTTCCGGATTTGGAACGCCGGGGTTTGAATTTGCGCTCTTCATAACTGAAAGATTCTCAGTTGACACTTAAAAAGGATCAACTCGTCTCGTTTGTGGCAGCAATAGTGATCATCAGAATGTCCACACAGCTGACTTTCTATCACCTCGTGTTATCTGTGCTTGGACGAGTCCAACACAGCATTGTGTGAAGCGCTTGAGCTTTAATACCCTGGAAGATGACTGGTGAGCTTAACAGGTCAATATTGAGAACAAAAGTAAATCCGCAAAAAATGCAAAAGATAGCAGCTGGTCCCGGAGAGGATCGAACTCGCGACCTTGGCATCACCGATGATTCCTTGTTGAAGGAATTATTAGTACCACGCTCTAACCAGCTGAGCTACGGGACCGCTTCTTATTGAATTGCCACCTGAAACAGGACTCTTGTCGATGTGGCAATGCAAATTTCTCAAAGGTGGGCCGGAAATTGGTCGAGATATGCAGACTTGGCCGGGCGGCTAACACGGAGTTGCCGAGGTGGGGCCCGTGCGCTAACCGTGGACGGGATGGTCCGGGGCACGATTAGCTAATCCTAAGATATCAAGGTACCCGAGAATCCATGAAATGGAAAAAACGGCCTGCCTTGCTTAAGACTCCTCTGACAATGTTGAAGACTCCCGTCGTATGTTGTGTATTGGCCAATTGCAGTGATTGGATGGAAGACGTTTGTTTTGGTCAGTGGTAGTTAAACTTGCAGCACCACATGCGTACCGACTTCCAACAAGTCGATAGCATAGGCCCAGGCTGAGAAAAATGCAGATCTTGAACTTATTTTGCAGCGCATTCAACAGTCACAATTGTGATGGACGGTTATCCTATCACTATTCTACCCATCCCACATAAGATTGTCCCAAAGGTTGTCCCACAACGCGTCCTGTGAGAAACTGTGAAGGTTTGCCTCCAGTGGGTCTCGGAAGGTCATCCCTGCAGGGTGTGACAGGGGTGGTAAAGCTAAGACGCGCCCGAGTTTTGCGACCGCGACTTTTCTCTGGGGACGACGTCAGCAATTCCACATGTGGAAAGAATGCATGAGACTTGAGGACCATGTCAAAGTCGTGGCAGTCGACGCTGAGACTGCCAAAGGCTTCGATCCCGTAAGTCTGTCCTTACTCCTACCACCCGTCCCACCAGAGCAAACAAGTCTAATAGCACCTCGACCAGACCTCGGCCGACACCACAGCTGCAAGAGCACTACCTCCGGAGATGCACCGATGCACTCTATGAGTGGCAGGCAGCGAACCGACCTGCAGACAAGCAGTTCATCCTCCACGATGGCCCTCCCTACGCCAATGGCTCGCTCCACGTCGGCCACGCCCTGAACAAGATCCTCAAGGACACCATCCTCCGAGTCAAGGTGCAACAGGGCCACAGGGTCAAATACGTGCCGGGCTGGGACTGCCATGGCCTGCCCATAGAGCTCAAGGCCCTCGAGGCCCTGGGCGTCAAGAACATGGCGCCCGTCGACGTGCGCACCGCGGCCAGGGAGCTCGCCACGAACACAGTCCTCTCGCAGATGCGCGAGTTCCGGTCCTATGCCGTAATGTCCGACTGGGAAGGGCGCTGGACGACGATGGACCCGGACTTCGAGATCCGGCAGCTTGAGCTGTTCCTCAGCATGGTCCGACGGGGCTTGATATACCGGAGGTACAAGCCCGTCTACTGGTCCCCGTCCTCGGGCACTGCTCTTGCCGAGGCGGAGCTCGAGTACAAGGATAATCACAACTCTAATGCTGCCTACGTGACCTTCCCGGTCACCTCCTCGGCGGATGGCGACGCTGCACTTCGAAAACTCCTCGGCAACGACTTTTCCGGCCAGCTGTATGCTGTCATCTGGACCACCACACCCTGGACGTTGCCTGCGAACAAGGCGATCGCTGTACACGACGAGCTTGACTACATAATTATAAGACACGGGAAGGATGCTCTCATCGTAGGCCAGGGGTGTCTTCAGCAAGTCCTGAAGACTTGCTTCGATTGCACCGAACTGGATGAAAACGACGTGATCGCCTCATGCAAAGGGTCCGACCTGCGTCGCTTCACGTACCGGCACCCACTTCACGGGGATCATGTCGCGCAGCAGCCCATCATCCACGCAGACTTTGTCTCGGCCGAGTCTGGTTCCGGCTTGGTCCATATCGCCCCTGGCCATGGCCACGACGACTACGAGGTCTGCAGGTCCCTGGGCCTCGAGGTCTCTGCGCCTGTTGACAACGGCGGACACTTCACAGCGGAGGCTTATCCCCAAGATTCTCAGCGTTTACAGGGCCTTTTCGTCCAGGGCAAAGGGAATGCAACTGTGCTGGAAATACTGGGACCTCATGTCTTGCACGTTCACAAGTACCAGCACAAATATCCTTACGACTGGCGCACCAAGCGGCCAATCATCGTCAGAGCAACGGCGCAGTGGTTTGCCGATGTCGCAGGTATCAAAGACGAGGCTCTCCGAGCCCTGGAGGACGTCCAATTCATCCCCAGTGGTGGAAAGACCAGGCTGGAAAGCTTTGTAAAAGGGCGAAGTGAATGGTGTATCTCGAGGCAGCGTGCATGGGGAGTTCCTATCCCTGCGCTGTATGACAAGAACGGCGACGCTGTCATGACAGAAGAGAGTGTGCAGCACATCAATTCCGTCATACGTGAAAGAGGCACCGACGCGTGGTGGTCTGACAGGCCTGACGACCCGGCTTGGATAGTGCCGTCGTTGAGGGGGCAAGGGGAGTACCGACGAGGAACAGATACCATGGACGTCTGGTTCGATAGTGGCAGTAGTTGGACTCACGAGGGCGATGTCCAAGCGGACGTCTATCTCGAGGGCTCTGATCAACACCGTGGATGGTTCCAGTCCAGCTTGTTGACGAGAATCGCCGCTGCCGCCGCGGGCGACTCCGACAGCGGCAGCCTGATCAAACAGACTGTCGGCCTTGCCCCATTCAAACGCCTTATCACGCATGGTTTCACCCTGGACAAGGACGGCAAAAAAATGTCCAAGTCATTGGGCAATATCATCAGTCCCAACCAGGTAATGGACGGAACCCTGCTGCCTCCGGTCAAGAAGAGAAAAGATAAGAGCGCACCGAAAGACACGACGAGCAAAGCTCCTGCAGGACCACACTATGATGCTCTCGGGCCAGATGCCCTCCGCCTTTGGGCGGCCAGCAGCGACTATACCCGCGATGTGGTGATTGGGGAGTCAGTCTTGAAGTCAATACACATTTCCCTGATCAAGTACCGGACAATCACCAAGATGCTGCTCGGGTCAATGACAGAAAATGCTCGGACCGCACCGCTCACGACCACCGATCATATTGCCATCATCCAGCTTCGAGATACGATGGAGGAAGTCGGCAGGGCCTACGACAACTTTGAGTTCTACAAGGGATTCAGCCTGCTGAACAGGTGGGTCAACAACGACCTTTCCGCCTTCTACCTCGAGGCCCTGAAGGACCGGCTGTACTGCGGCGATGGGGGTGGCGTGCTGGAGCCTATATTCTGGGGTTTCATGCGCATGCTGGCGCCCATCACGCCGATGCTAGTTGAAGAGGCCTGGGATCACGCGCCGGAATGGCTAAAGAAGGACAGCACCCACCCCCTGCAGCAGCTCTACGCGTCCCCGGTCATCGACGAGGCGCGGCTGCCGGGAGGAGGGGAGCAGAGGCTGCGCGAGGTCATGCCCGTGCTCTTCGCCGTCAACGCGGGCATCAAGTCCGCCACCGAGGTGGCCCGCAGGGACAAGAAGGTGGGCTCGTCGCTCCAGTGCTCGGTCGTGCTGCAGATCCCGGATCGGGCCATTGCAGACGCCCTTTCGCGCTTCGACGAGCTCGAGAACTCCCTCGTGGTCTCACATGTGGGCACCAACGAGCCCGTCCCCGAGACTGCGGAATGGAAGTACTCGGTTGACTTCCAGATTCCGAGCGGGAGGGACATCGCGGTTCCTTCAAACTGCGAGGGTGGCGACGTCCAGGCTGAGGGCTCGCCTAGTGGTGTGACCTGTACTGCGTGGGTGCTGCCTCCGAGGGCGCACAAGTGTCCTCGGTGCTGGCGCTATGTTGCTCCTCAGGAAGACCAGCTCTGCGGGAGGTGTGAGGATGTCGTTGAGCAGGGCGACATTGACTAAGTTCTGGAATTATTGGCGATAGGCACATTGGGAACCTCAACTTAGTAAAAAATGTAGACAATTCTAGAGATACCCATTCCTCTCACAACCTCATCCTCCGGATCTGCAGCGTGAGGTGCCGCCGTTATTTCAACAATATGCAGTGCGGCTGAAAGCGTAGATGATTTTTGGCAGAGCAGCCGGGGATGCGTGCTCTGCTCATCATCGGCCGTCCCGTCACCCAGAGTGCTTCGGCGCCCGACTTCGGGCAGCAGCGACTCGAGCGACAGCGGATCGCCGCGGCACTAAATCCACCATCAAAATGCGACTGGACTTCTCGGACCCGGGCATCTGAGAATCACACTGCACATGTAGATCTCAAATCACAACCTGCAATGCGCCATGCGTTGTTGATAACCAGATTCGCTGCCAAGCCCACGCTGCACTCACCCCGGCTTCTTGTCACAGGCTGCCGCTGCCCTCGCCGATCCAAGATGAGCAGCAGCACCGCCCCAGGGAGGACCTACGAGGTGAGTCCCAGCACAAGAAATTGATTTCAACCCAATTATCCCGGGGACAAATATATCAGATAGAAGAAGACCCTCGCTGAGACAACCCCCCCCCCCCAAAAAGGATGCCATCGACGCCCTCAACACTTTCCAGACGCCCTTCGCCGTCATCGAGGCCCGCCGCAAGGCCGGCATCCGGCCCGATGAGTCCAGCGTCCGCGAGATGAAGGCCTACTGGGCGCGGCTGGGCCATAGCCCGGAGGACCTGGACCGCCTCAACGTGGGTGCACGTGGCGGGGACCAAGGGCAAGGGCAGCGTGTGCGCCTTCGTGGCCTCGATCCTGGGGCGGCACCAGCGCCGCGGCGGCCAGCAGCCAGCCGGCAAGCTCAAGGTCGGCCTCCTGACCTCGCCGCACCTGGTCGCCGTGCGCGAGCGCATCCGCGTCGGCGCGGCCCCGCTCTCCGAGGCGGCGTTCGCGCGCTACTTCTTCGAGGTGAGCGACGCGCTGACGGGCCCCCGCGGCACTTGCGTGCTCCCCGACGACGCGGAGCCCGGGTCGCGGCCCATCTACGCGCGGTACCTGACGCTGATGGCGCTGCACGTGTTCCTGCGCGAGGGCGTCGACGCCGCCGTGGTGGAGACGGGCGTGGGCGGGGAGTACGACGCGACCAACATCGTGTCGCGGCCCGCGGCGGCGGGCATCTCGACGCTGGGCATCGACCACGTCTTCGTGCTCGGCGACACGGTCGACAAGATCGCGTGGCACAAGGCGGGGATCATGAAGGCGGGGTGCCCGGCGTTCGCGGTCGAGCAGCCCGCCTTCCCGTCCGCCGAGAGCGTGCTGCGGGCGCGCGCGGCGGAGAAGGGCGTGGACCTGAGGGTGCTGGGCGTCGACGCGCGGCTCGCGGCCTCCGGGGTGGCGGTGCGGCCGGACGCGGCGTTCCAGAGGCGGAACGCGAGCCTCGCCGTCGCGCTGGCCGAGGCGGCGCTGCTGAGGGTCGACCCGGAGGGGTTCAGGAGGGACGGGGACAGGCTGCCGGCCGAGTTCAAGGACGGGATCGAGCAGGTCGTGTGGAGGGGCCGGTGCGAGGTCAAGGAGGAGGAGGGCGGGAGGCTGAGATGGCACATTGACGGGGCCCACACGACCGACAGCCTGAAGATGGCGGCGAGGTGGTTCGCGGGCGCGAACGGGGGGCGGCGGGGGCCGAGGATCCTGATCTTCAACCAGCAGGGCAGGACGGAGGCCATCGACTTCCTGGACGGGTTGCACTCCGGCGCGAAGAGGGAGGACGGCTCGTCCTTTGACCATGTGGTGTTCTGCACAAACGTCACGCACGCAACGACAGGCTACAAGCGAGGTACGTCAATGGTTCTTATTTGGAAAGCAACTGGATGTAGACACTGACAACTACCAGACTTCGTAAATCACCAGTATGACCCCGAGGCGATCAAGAAGCTCACGGTGCAGCGGACATTCGCGGAGCGGTGGTCATCCCTCGACCCCGGGGCAAAGATCACCGTCATCCCGAGCATCGAGGAAGCCATCGACGTAGCGCGGGATCTCACAAGTTCACTCAAGGAGGGCGAGACGGTGCAAGCTTTCATAACTGGCAGCCTCCATCTCGTGGGAGGAGCCTTGGGTATCTTGGAAGGGGCTGATGCTCTATGAACGGGAAGAAGCCCGCGGGCTCATTTTGTTTGTTTTGCCTCTCTCTCCTCTTGATATCCTCTGGGAAAATAGAGAGCAAGGATTAGATACGATAGAGGGACAAACGTGCTCAACGCACCCGGTGCATGTATCCAACCTAAGGTTCACCACCTGGTTCCAACAGCTTCAGCGCCGGTCCCACCAGGTTGAAACTCCCCGTGACCAGCACTTGCACCTTGAAGTTGTCCTTGCTCTTCTTCGACCCGAGCATCACGTTCCTCGCCATGTCCAGCGCCGTTGATATGCTGTCCGCGGGGATCGCTGCGGTGAAGGGACAGAACTGCCGGATGACGTCGCAGTTTTTCCTCTGCACGGTGAATTCTGGTTTCTTCATGAAACTGTTGGCCTCGTTGGTCGGGCAGAAGGCATGGTGGAAGATCTTTTGGTTGGGGATATCGGTCTCCTTCAAGATGGTCTCAAGGAGCGTCTGCAGGAGCGCGGCAGAGTCACGATCTTGCTGGTTGAAGATGAGGACCCGGATAGAGTCCTCGCCCGAGATTTTGCCAGCGTACCACCGGCCCACCTGGACAAGGCTGTCCTCGGTGTGCGCGCCGTCGAGATACCACTGTATGCGGTCATGCGTGATGGTTTCGCAACGACCCCGAAGTATTGCGGCCTGTAGGCCGGTGATGAATTGTTCGGGCATGTCGCCGAGCTTGCTGGGAAGTGGTGAGCCCCCGCTCTCAAAGAAGGGAAGCTCAAATTTATGGCCCAGGGCCTGCAGATGCCGCCTCGAGATGACTGCGGCGAGAGCCATGTTGGATTTTTGAAAAGCCCCCTCCAGCTGGGCATTCTGCACCCCGGCCCATTTCTCCAGCACCTGGCTGTCAATCGAGTCCAGAGTGGTGCCTTTGTCATGTGCCCGCTCGCTCAACACCTTTGAAACGCCGTCTCCGTCGGATCTCCCGGCCTGTTGGGAGTACGCCGGCACTCCTTTCTTGAAAATGCCAGCCTTGTGCCATGCGATCTTCTCCACCGTATCACCCAGCATGGCAACATGGTCGATGCCCAGCTGCGTCACAGCCGCAGCGGTGACAGCCTCCGGAGGCAGCACGTTGGTGGAGTCGTACTCGCCCCCGATTCCACACTCGATGACGGCGGACTTGACGCCCTCCTTCAGGAAGGCATGGAAGGCCAGCAGCGTCAAGAAACGGAAGTAGAACGGCTTCGTCGATGGCCCGTCTGCGCCCAGCTCGTCGCCGTCGGGCAGCTTGTCCCCGGCCTTCCTTGCCGCGTCGGAGAGCCGGTTCCACACCTCGAAGAAGTACGCGGTGAACTTTTCCTGGGAGAGGGGCTCACCATCCAGGCAGATGCGCTCCCTCACGGTGACGAGATGTGGCGAGGTGTAGGTGCCGACGCGCCCTGCGACCTCGGGATACTGGCGCAGGATGGATGAGGTGAAGGCGCACGTGGATCCTTTGCCCTTGGTGCCGGCGACGTGGATGCAGCGGAGGCGGGCCAGGTCGGAGGGGCTGTAGCCGGCTCTGGACAGCCAGGCCGTCATCTCGGGGATGGCGGAGGCATTGATGTCTACCTGTGAGCCTGGGTCGGCGGTGAAGAGATTGATGATGTGCTTGTTGGACTGGAGCAAGGACAAGAGGTGGAGGGCATTGTCATAAGTCGGGACAAGCTTATCTGAGGCGGCCATGGTGGAGAGGGACTTGGGCCTTCTGGAGGTGAGACTGCTGAGGGTGAGAATCGGGCTTGGGCAGGGTGCTGGCCTCAGTGACACAGACAGGAGCAGAGGTGAGGCCTTGAGGATGTTGGAGCCGATGAGGGCTCGACACATCTGCCCTGAGCCTCGAGGTTGTGGTTTTGGTTTCTGTTGTTGTTGTGTCCGAGTGTGGCAGTCCAGTCCAGAGTAGAGGCGTCTCTGTCCACAGGTAAGCCTATATAGCCTCAGTTATCACTTCCTTCGACGGCAGGGAAGCTCCAGATTTGATGCTGACTGGCGATCGAACCAGATCAAACCAGGCCAGATCGGAGGAGGGCCGCGGTCAGCAACGGCAAGCACCCGTGGACAATGTCAATCCCTCAATGTGGTGAACTTTTGGAGAAGCGGACCTTCTGTAGCATCCAGGCTGCGAGCCCCACCCTCCCTCGGTTTCTAGCGCTGGGACGTGAGTGGGCGTGGGCGGGCTGGACCTCCCGACGGCCTGTACGGTACTTCTGTCTCCCCGCCAAGCCCAGCAGCACAAACAGATCGGGGTCTGCAACGGGACCGCGGGGGGCCTGCAAGCACACGGGCCCCCGTCTTTTCCATCACTGATCAAACGTAGGCTACCGAGTGGTTCGGCTCGCGGGAGGCGCTGGCTGATCCAGACTGCCGGGTGTCGAGCTTGCCCCAAACGGTCCGGTGCAGCCCACCGTCCCGCCGAACGCAGAGGTCCTTTTGTAACGGCGGTCTAGGGATATGCCATGCCATGCAAAAAGGATCTCTTGATGAGGCCACTGCTGTTGATCTCTCATTTCGCGAGATCATGCCCTACATGCCCAGAAAGTACACCTGGCGAGCTACAAGAGGTCCATACATGTGTAGAAATGAACCATTCCAAATCACTTACATCGTCTTGATGGAGGCTTCCACATTAGGGCCACGGGCAAAACAAATATCTAATCAGTCGCCCCACCTAGTCGCAAACGATATGTAGGAAGGACTCAGGTCCACCAAGGGGAGAAAAAAGAAATATACAACTCCACCCTCACAACCACGCAAAAACAAAGGATATGACAACTGTGCGACTCGAACGCACGCCTCTTTCGAGACTACGAAGATGGTTTCACCTGAACGTAGCGCCTTAGACCACTCGGCCAAGTTGCCGTTAAGATCAGGGACTAATAATATACTATGATCGTGTGTCATGCGCGGAGCGGGTCACCCGTGTGGTCCGGAGGTCCCGAAAAGTAGTGGCGGGATCCACTGCACATGCCTGCTTTCTTTCCATTTCTAGATCGGTGATGTCTATTGTTTCGCGAGGTATTTATCAGGATGATGTTGGATTGATTGCATAGTGACAGGTCTTGTTTTGTTATATCTAGCAGAGCATCCGTAATCATATCAGCGTCCAATATCTGGGATCCCTGCTAAACTTGAAGCCTGATCAAGGGATGCGGGACCTCGCAACTCATAGCCAGTCACTGTTGAGCATTTTGTGTGGATTCTCTACCCGGGTGTTACCCGCGACCAGGCGTCTAGGCAACAAACAACCTGCCCGTAATAAAGGTTGCAACAGCTGCGCCGTTTATGCAATGTGGACTTGAATGGCTCTTCCGAGGGCTGGGACATGGGCAAAGAGAAGGAGAGGAGAGAAAAAATCGCGACCTAGAAACCTGATTCGTTGAATCCCAAAAATTTGCAGACACGAGGGCGATCATCTCGACATGGAACTGCAAATATTATCAGACCTCCATCTCGAGAGCCCCAAGGCCTATGACTTCTACGAGATCAAGCCTTCTGCCCCCAACCTAGCACTTCTGGGGGATATCGGTTGCGTCTGCGACCCGGATTACCTCACATTCCTCTCCACGCAACCGGCCCAGTTCCGGGTCGTCTTCCACCTCCTAGGCAACCATGAACCATTTGGCTCAACCTGGGACGCAGCCATCAAGACGCTCCGCTCGTTCCAGGAGCAGAACCGCCAGGAGCGAGCGCAGTCGCCAGGCTCCGGCGTCGGCGAGTACGTCCTCTTAGACCGAGACGAGTTCCACCTCCCGTCCCACAACCTCACCGTCCTCGGCTGCACGCTCTTCTCAGACGTCCCGGCGCGCTCCACGACGGACATCAGCTTCGGCCTGAACGACTTCTTCCGCATCGGGGACTGGACGGTGGAGCAGCACGTGCAGGCGCACCGGCGGGACGTCGCCTGGCTGAACGGGCGCGTGGCCGCTCTCGCGCGCGAGCAACCCGGCCGCCGCGTCGTTGTCCTCACGCACCATAGCCCCACGGTCGACGCCAGGACCGTCAACCCGAGGTTCGCGGACAGCAAGATCTCGTCAGGCTTCGCGACGGACCTGAGCGGGGAGGAGTGCTGGGGGAGTGGGAATGTGGTCTTCTGGGCGTTTGGGCATACGCATTATAACTTCGGGCGTTTTCGTGATGAGGGCACTTGGTAAGGTTGTTTACTCGAACCAGCGCGGGTATTACTTCGCGCAGGCGGCTGGTTTCGTGGGGGACGATGTGGTGAATTTTGAGGGACTTGCCTAGCTTAGGAGTAGCGTTGAGGCATTGTCAAAATCAATGCATTTGATTAGATGTCCTGTATTAGTCCGAGAAGAGCTCCCATTGTATCTACGCGTCTCTACTGAATCACGTAGTCATTTCGAATACATATGCATGCTTGGAACGTATACAAACTCCACCATGGCTCCCGTATTCTGTACCGAATGAACTACTCATCCGGTATGTCAATTTGACGCAGTGTTGCGAGATCAAATTCAAATTGTTTCTCAGAGCTTCAGACGAGTTTTCCCTCATTTATTTCGTCAGGATGATCATGGTATCAAGGAGATGGATTTGTAGATATAATCTCATTTTCTGCCCACCACTGCGTACGCAGTGAATTTTGGCCATGGCCACCCATGTTGCTAGAAACTCCTAAAGCAGCATCCCATCTAGTATGTACCATCGGGAAAGACGAACGGGTTCCAGACTTCCTGAGGATCCATCGCGAAATCCATGTCCTCAAAGTCCAGCCCTTCAAATGCTAGCATCTCGGGATCATATGCAAATTCCACGTCTTGGTTATGTGTTGTCCCGAAGGAACCCTCCCCTTCCGTAGCAGGATGCGAGTGGCCGGAAAATACATCCCGCCTGGGATTATCCTGCACGGTGCCGGAGACAGTCTCATGACCATGCTGATTCCCAGATGTGGCAAAATCGGACGCGGGAGTTGAGGGGCCATGTCTCGCGTACCAGGATTCCACTGCTTCAGCCCGAGAAAGGAACTGGCAGAGAGGATGTGATTCGGCATCTGTATCTGTGCGCTGTGATATGGACATACGCAGGCGCTCAATCAGTCCCCTCAAGGTCTGGGCGATATCCAAGGACCTTCGGAGCTCGATTGCTCTTACGGAGCTTATGCCACAGGTCGTGCACAACATGTCTAGCTTCACTCCCAAAGAGAGGCCGTAGCCGAGCGTGACCCAGGCCAGATTGGTGAAGCAAAGTTCCTGGTCTGGCTCGGCAGAAAGCAATGTGTCCATTAGAGACTTCACGGCGTGTCAAATAATAGCGTTGGATGCTTAGTCTATTAGGCTAGCTAACGTCTATTCAACGGGAGGGAAGGCCCCTATTTATAGTTATTATCCTCCATATAGTGGCAAACGTATGGGGAAAAGGATATCCCGTATTAATAATAGCCTAGACATCTAGAATATTCCAATAGCCCCCCTTAAACTAATTCCCTTTTATTTATTTATTATATATAAGGGATTTAGTTTATAAAAGAGGAATATTCGCTATATAATGAGAAAACCTTATAAAAAGGAAAAACTCACTTATATAAGTGTGTGTATATATATATATAGGCAAAAAACCTAAAAATTTGCTGTCACTTAAACTTAAACTTATAGCCAATAAGGTATTACATATTAAATTATGGTTTTATATGGGATTTACTAGTTATTTTATAATGGCTATAGTATATCACGGCATTTTTACACATTAAAGTTACACGTCATTTTATTTATATTATACATTACGGAAATACGTTTTCTGTATAGAATGAGACGTATATAAACGCAGTATAGGTATATTGTGACTGTGTGTATATGGTATATATAGGCTGTGTTAGTGACGCTTATTTTTCAGGAAAAACCTTTATTATTTTAGTTATTTCTTCTAGGGGAAAACCTCCAGTATTTAGGGTAATATTATATGTATATATAATTGAGTCCGCTTTATTTATTTATATATTTTATAAGTAGAGGAAAAAATCTTAACCCTAGTTATTAAAGAGTAAACACCTTAACTTATTTTGCGCGCATTATAATATAAGTGGAAAATCTCTTTATTCTCTGGCTTAATATTTTTATATTATTTTTCTATTAAACTATACTTTTCTTTGGACTCTTTATAGTATAATCTATTTATTAATTTTATAAGCCAGTTTGCTAGATTCTGCTTAAAATCTATATGTTTTAATATTACTTTATTATTTTCTATTGCTTCTCTTATATAATGATATGCAATGTTTATATGTTTAATTTTTTTATGGAATAAGGTATTTTTAGCTAATTTCTCAGCCCCATTATTATCTATATATATAATAGGGGGCTTAAGATTAAAGCTAATATTTAAATTATTATTAAAATATTTAAGTAAATTATTTAAATATTTAACTTCTTTTATAGCTTTTCTTAAAGCCATATATTCTACTTTTACAGAGGAAAGTGCTAGTGTTTTTTGCAGCTGAGAATTCCAGCTTATGGAATTTATTTTATTATTATTATTATTATTAATATTATATAAGCTAAATATATAACTAAAGGTGCTCTTTTCAATAGATATATCGTTATCTTAGTTTAAATCTATATAGCCTATTAATTGTAAATTATTTCCAGAGTAATTATATATTTTAAATATATATGGGAATTTATATATATATCCTTATATTTTATTTAATTCTTTTATATGCTTTAGTCCTGGGTTTGCTATATATTTAGCTAACTCGTTTATAAAATAAGTTAAATCTAGCCTTGTTTTTAAGCTAGCATATAATATAAATCCTATTTATTGCTAATATAATTTTATAATATTTTTATTAACTTAATTAAAGTATTTTTCTAATTTTCTATTAGGGGTATATAGTATAAGTTAAGGGATTATTTCCTTTTTCTCAACCTTTTCTTTTATATTAAATCTTTTTAATATTTTATTTATATATTTATTTTGGTTTATGGTTATTTATTTATCTTATTTATTTATATATATATCGCTTTTAAGGAAATTTATTAAATCTCCTTAAAAATTTAATTTTATATTCTTATATAATTTATTAATTATTAAATTTATATTATTATTATTAAGTCTTATAACGATAATATCATCCATATAATATATAAATATAATTTATTTATTAAGGTATATAAATACCCCTTTATTATATAGGCAATGTTACGGTTTAAGCTTTGCTCATTATGATTAATTAGTAGGCTTTGGCCTTATAAGAATAGGCTTTAGCGCGAATATAAATGGGGAGTAAACCTTTTCCTTTGCATTTTAAATATAAACCTTATTTAAATACCTTATAGCAAACAACCTAAGGCTAACCTATAATATATATTTAAAGTTTTCTTATATTATAAACCTATAGTATAATTATATAAAACTTAATATAGCAAGATTTAAAAAGAATAATAATAGCTTATTAAGTCCTTCCTTATTTAAAGGAATTCTTATTTTAAGAATACCTAGCAACTTAGTTAATAAAGATAAGGGCTAAGTTTATAGTAAATAAAGAGGCAATTAGCATTAAAGGGGCTTAATTCTTTTATATATTTAATTAGCTAAGAACTTTTTATAATTACTTTTTACCTTATATTAGTTTTATAAAGATATTTAAGGGGTAGCTGGAAAGCTTCTTAGAGAAGGTTTGCCTTATGCTTAGGGACCCTTTTAAGCAAAGATATACTGGGCTTAGCTTAATCGCGTTATGGCAGCGCTATAAGGAGGGGATAATAGAATTTCTTGCTTAATTTAATTAATTAGCTTATATAGCAAAGGCTTAAAGTTAGCTAAATAAATATAAAATATTATTAATAATTAATAGCTTAACCTTTATAATAAAAGCTTAGCTTAATTATAAAGAGTAGCTAAATATATTTAAGGCCTTTTGCTTTATCTTATAGTAATATAAGAGCGTTTTTAGCGCCATAGCAAGGGAAAATAATACTTAATCTTAAAATAATAAAGCAATAAATATTAATATTATAGTAATTTTAATAAGCAAAGTTAAGTATTTATATATAGCTAACTTAGCTATTATAAGCATAATTATCCTAATTATTATAAAAGAATAAGGATATAGCTTTTATTAATTAAGGTTAATAAGGGAAAGGAGTTTATTTAAAGGGGCGTAAAATCTTTTTTATAGGGTAGGGCTTAAAAGTAATGCCGGTTTAACGCTAGCTTAAACTTAAAGTGGATTAGCTATATGCTAGTTAATTTAGCCTTATAAGAATGCTTAAAATTTAAGAAATTCCCGTTAATAAAGTAAATTACTTATAATTAAGCGCTAATTAATTGCGGATTATATAATAAATTTATAGTCTTAAGGTTTTAAGTAAGGGAGCTTATATAAAAGGCTTATATTAAAGGATTATAAAAATGCTATTAATTTAACTATTGGTTTATATTTAAATAATTATTTTTTATTAGCTTGCTTTAGCTAATATGTTAAATTATAAGGATTAAGGCATGTTAATTATAAATAATAAGTTAGGCCTTTAATATAATTAGGAGGCATTAAGGTATAATTAAATAGTTAGGTAAAGAGCAATATTTAATTTATAATTAAACCATAATGTTCTTTATTTTTTATTATATAGCTACCCTTTAGGGTTTATTATAAGGATTTGGAAAAAAAGGATATGTTATGGTTTAGGCTTTGCTTATTATAATTAATTAATGGGCTTTAGCCCTATAAGAATAGGCTTTAATGCAGATATAAATGGAAAATAAATCTTTTCCTTTGCACTTTAAATATAAACCTTATTTAAATACCTTATAGCAAACAACCCAAGGCTAGCTCATAACAGGCAAATAATAAATCTTAGCTTAGTTAATATATTTTTTAAGTATTTATACCAAAGCATAGGTAATTATTTTAACCTATATAAAGCTTTATTTAGTTTTACAACTTTATTTTTATATTTTAATTTATTATATATATAAGAAGGTAGTTTTATATATATTTTAAAATTAATATTAAAGTATAAAAACACGTTTTTAACGTTATAATTATATATATAATATCCTTTATTTATTGTTATTATTAATAATATAATATAGGTTTTAGGGCGGCAGACTATAAAAAAAGTCTTTAAATAATCTATGCCTAATTTTTAGTTATATCCCTAAATAACCCATTTAAATTTAAATTTAATATTATTTTCATTATTTATTACCCAACTAGGCTTTATAATAGCTAAGTTATTAATAAATTTCTTTTTATATACCTATTTCCCCCCTAAAGCCATATAGCCAAGTGGTAAATCCATTATTATATAAGTATTTTATTCTTATAAATTATATATTTCATTTAGCATAAATTTAACCCATAAGGGTTTTTCTAAGTTATTTAATACCTCTTTTAAAGAAGAAGGTTTATTAATATTAGCTGCAGTTAAGCAGTATTTTAATATATTTTCTTGGGAATTTAATATAAATATTTAATTATTTAATAATGTGTTTTATATAGTATATATATAGTCTTTTAAATTTCCTTAAATTATTATCTCATTTAAAATAGGAGGGGAATTTTCTTTCCTTTATTCTTATAATTTTGGGAATATATATATATTATTATTATTATTATTATTATTAATATTAATATCGTTATTATTTATATATTATCCTTTTAATATCTGGATATTGTGATGGGCTTGGGCTATTGCCTAAGCTATAATGCATGCCCATGCCAGGCCTATATTATACCCAACCTTCTTATATAACGAGGCATATACTTAAAAGATAAATCCAAAGTTAGGCCCTTTTAAGGCCTAATTTACTTCTTAAATATTATAATTTATAATTCCTTTTAAGTACTTTTTAATAAACGCTTAAGGCTAACTTATAATATTAAATTGCAATCTTTAAACTATATTAAGAAGGATATTTATATTATAAAGATAAATAACCTTATATTTAAAATATTAATCTTTTTATAAAATATATAATTAGGGATTTCTTAACTTACTTTAATATTAAGCTATAAAAATGCTTAAAAAGTACCTTAGCCCCCTTAGCTATTTATAGTAATGCTTATTAATATTAATGGTAATGTTATTATATTTTTCCTTGCAATAATACTTTATTAACTTATAAAGCTTAAAGCGCATATAAACTCTTTTAACTTACCCTTAATTTAATATAAGCTGCTTTTAATTAAGCTTTTATTTAATAATAATTAAGATAGCTTTTTAGCTTAAAAGATTATAATATAATATAAGTTATGAATTAATATAAACTTTATTAAGGATTT